AAGACAACACGAGTGACTTTAACTTATGTAGTGAACATGTTTTATTATACACAGAAACAGACCTGTCACGTATATCACTACTAAATCAACCTTGTAGAAAAAACTTTCTTATGGCCAATACACAAGTTGCTTGTATAAAGACAAGTAGCAACAAAATGTAAATGTAATATGTAATTAGTCAATGCTTTGATTCTTATTTCATTTTTTTTTTCATATGAAAAAAAATGGCATGATTAACATAGCAATTTCTGCTATGGCACTGTCGTGACAATCGCATCTTCTCAGCTCTTTCTGTCAAACTTCGGATAAGATATTATACATAATTATTATTGATAATAGCCGAGATGTTCCGATTGATTGTCGTGACAAGTTTCACACTCCTATTTCCATGAAATATAAAAGCCTATCCCTAAATAATGCTCCCGTCAACACAAAAGTCCTTCAGTCAAACATATTGACAAATTTTACTAGTAATATGTTTTTACGCTATAATATTGATAATATTAGAATCGGCAGCGCATTTTCTCATGCTTGGCGAAGCGCCCTCATATCCACATATCTGTGTATTGTATATGTATTTTGACAATACGTTTTATATGTTCCTCTAACCAAATCGTGTCAATAGCGACTTTTTAGCTTAAATAGATTGCTAAAAAATGTATTTATGTATTTATTTCTTAATAGTTACGCAACTCTTTGGTGACTATTTTTATTCTACAATTGCAACATTTTAACTAGTTTCAATGGCGCACATATTAATGGACAGTTCTTTGAATCGTTTCGAGCCTAGGGCGCAAAAACACTTAAACATATTCGTAAGAAGAAAAAAAACGAAAACATACCCACTTGTTTATAAATTACATAAGACTATTCAACTTTCAGTCGATAAAGGAATGAAATTTCAACTTGCCGTGAGCACTGAGCTACATCAGCACGCTCATCATTGCAGACTGGACTGTCCACTCTTTCAACCATTCACACACTATATCTCAAATGGACTTGTCCGTCTTTGAGTCCGGACAAAACCATTAATAATTTTAAGGGTAAAAATCGCAATATGTACTGACTAGGTTAATAATAAAATGACCAAATATGGTCTGAACTCAAAGCAAGAGGAAAAACTTTATACAAGTCAATTTGGAAATGAATAAGTTTTGGGATATAAATGTATATTTTTCTTTATATAGTTTATATAAATGTCAATATGATTAATAACTAATTGTGTCAAATAAATGTCAAATCCGTATGTTTGCATAACTATATCAATCTTTCACATAATTGCAAACATACAAAAATATCCGGTTATAAAAAATCTATTGGAAAGGTTACATATGTGACACGTACAGTACATGTAGTACATACATACTCTCGTGCCATCTGGACTATTATTGCGGTAAGGTAGTCAGTGGAATATAAAGCATGCACTTGTTAATATATTATGACACAAGCATCTATCTCTGTTATTATCGTGTAAACAATACGCCAAGAATGAGTTCATTTGAACGTTTTCCCCCCTTTCTTTTTTCTCATGTTCAACACCAACTGACTGTTGTGTGCTTAGTAAATACTAATGAAGTCTGTTCATACTTTTCTCCGCTTCAACATGCAATACAAAATGGAAATATTAGTACATGCATATATATATGTATAATGGTAAGATGAAACGTGTGAATATCTCACGAAACTGTACTTTAACTTTCTAAATTCAATCGCAACTTTTCGAACCTTTCCGTCCAACACCGGACAAAGACATTTGGACAATCTGCAAGATGTTTCGAATGGTTCAATATAATGAAACTTCCGAAGCATTAAAAATAATGCCTGGAACGAGACAATTATGCTCTAACTCCGGAAAAATATAAAAACAACTGAGTCATTACAAATCATGAAAGGTATGGACACACGAAATGAAAGGAGTTGATGCAAGATGATGTAACTATATTGAAATTGAACTTCAACAGCGGACGTGTCCACTTCCTTTTTGGACCTGTCCATTATGATCATCATTTGGAAATATCAGGATTTTAAATTGAAGTTGGTCTACAATAGAGCCTGGTCAAAGTGCATGGGTGGCCGTGTAGACTGACCTAGCTGTATACTGGTGGCAATGGTTAATTGCTTTCGGTTTCAGCATGGTAAGAGGTTGAAGACGAAACTTGTCAGCGCCTAAATTATGCTTATTCCTTAACATAAGAAAGTCTGCACTATAACAGTCAGAGTGTAAATCTGTAAAAATAATAGTGTTATAACACAGATAACTAACAAATCTGGACTGGAAAATTTCCTGATTTAATTCGTCTGCATGGTTGAGAATGCATCAAAATTATTCAAACAGATTACAGATTGAGTCAATGCTCATTTCCAATATTGATTGGGCTTTCATGAGATTGATCTATCCCGTGAGTTTTGAAATTGGAGAAATTAAAATATAATATAAGCTTATACAGTGACAGTGTATATTTTGAACTATTCTGTGGTAGGTATTGAGTCATGTAATGTTTTCTTGTAAAACTGGTTTATAACACACTTTTTTTCATCAGCTTCATGCAAACAAGTACCCTGCTATTATATGTTCTATTTTCGTCATACATAACTACAAATGTCCCTTAAATGAGCCAAAGATGCGAGACAAATACGGTAAAAATATCTTTATAGACGAAATGTCAATATTTTCATATATCGTCCATTTTTTCTTCTCACCCACACACATTTGCATACAATTACATAATGATGTTATGAAACCCGATGTGAAAACCAGTCCTGCTTTTTTTCTTATGAAAAAGGCACATTGAACCCTATACTTATCAACCACAAATGACATTTAATATAAATTGCTGGTGAAACAATAACAGCATCAGCATCGAATTCTCATTTTTCCCTCGTCAATACAGTTAATATACACAACACACAACTAACTGTTGATATAATACGAGCTTAAAGAAGAAAATTCTCCGCCTTTCTATAGAGTGTCCGTTCAAAATCAATAAACCGCGCCAGCCTTTAGCAATACAGCACTACCACAGTATCGATTCCGTATGCATTTCAGGACCTACTGTAAATCGATGCGGGAATATACTTTAAACAAAAACTAAACGGTTTAAACACTCGGTAACAGCTGGTACTATCATGTCATTGATCAAATAGTTTAGTATATAAATACAGAAAAGCTAGGGCAATTATTTAGTACATTTTATTCTCCCATTAGTCAGTCACTGTATGAACAATGTCAGTGATAAAACGGGTTGCTATAGCGACGTTTTGAAGTTGTAACTTAGAAACAGTGATTAAAACGCCATATTTAATTGTATTTCTGCAATAGATATAGAACGTTTGCACTTGTTGTATAATTAGAAAAACTCGTGTATAAACTTCTAATTGTGTGTACCATTTAATCATTTTTTTAAGAGAAAACACCTCAACTTTTTTTAGAAAAAGACCCGTTGTAAGAAAACTATCAATTTATTTAGATCGAATGGTGAATATATTTAATGCCAAATGACAGCAGCAATGTACCTGTTCTTCTATCTTATGATACCTAAACTTATACCAACCCTTTAAATAATGATGTCACTTCCGGTTAAAATATCCTTTAAATGGCTGCCATCATGGGAAAGTAAAACTGGCAATAGCATAATCTAAGAACTTTTTCGTCTTCAAAAATTGAAGTGTTGTGTACGACGAGATCGTACCTCTAACATGTTACAGGGCAGGCCTTTTTGAAGTAAACATCACGGTCTGTTCAAACTAGCTTTTGTTTTTTTTTCATCAAATAAGACTGACAGCACAGCTACAGAAAGCCTGGAATTCATTTTTTTGCATGTATGAAGGCTTAAGTCGGCCTTGAACTTTAAATGTAAGTCAGTGCTAACGTATCGTTTTTAACTGATTTTGATGCATTTAAAGTTGGATAAGATGGTAATGATTTGCCCTTCATATATACTTAATATTTGGACCTTCATATATACTTTATATGTAGATATGAAGCTATATTCAAGAGTGTAATACACATTTTATTATGTACATGTAGCTGTTTCAGGTATAACAGTTACCTATCTGAACATAATGGAATAGACCTAACTATAAACAGTACATGTTTTATCCTCTACTAATCATAACAACTGATTTTTCGCTAGAAACAATCTATTTTTAGACAGAGTGAAGGGAAATCTATATTATCCGAAATATCTGTGTAATTTACAGCAAGCAGGTGTACGTTATAAAGCGTATTAATATGTCAGTTTCTACCAAATACCTTATTGATTATTGAAAAACAATCAGTTTAAAAGCAGAAAAGGGTAGCAGAAAAAAAACGATTATCAAAACGACTTAATATACAATAATAAGAACTTGTTTTGATAAAAAGGGCCAATAGAATGTATGCACGACAGGTGATGTTCTTGCCACTTGTCAATCAATAAATCGATATGAATACACGGTTTTTAAATGACCACTTGCATATTTTATTATAATAACGTTTTTTTTTCCTTTTACAAATCACACCAGGCTAACGTATCGTTTTTAACTGATTTTGATGCATTTAAAGTTGGATAAGATATCTAAACAGTAATGATTTGCCCCTCCCCATTTTTTATAATAAATTTATTCTCATTGTATAGCACTGTATATACTCCTCACTATTGAGAATGCATCCTTGAGATTTTTTTTTTCACAACATTCCCCCGGAATGTTACCAGTATCAACGTACATCAATCAGTTAGTGCTACATCCTCGAGGCATGATAAGATAAGATAATCTAACGCGATAATTTATACAGAGTAACACTTCGGTTATTTGAAACCCCTTTACCTACATGCAACCAAGGCATTCACGCGCGAAACACGTACCTAGTACCATTCAATTTAAGCCTATACAGCACAAAAACATAAACAGAATGCAAAAATAATGAAACTGAAAAACAGATATGAGCTGTTATGAAATTATACAGGTAAGTGAATATATAATACAGAACAAACAGAAGTACACAACACCAGGATTCTTACTTCATTTGTTTTACAATGGTGCTCTTTCCAGATTCTCCTGCGCCTAAAAACAGAAAAAAGAACACATTACAACGTTAAGACTGATATAAGATAGCAAAAAATATCTCAACCCTATGAATAGTAGTTATTAATCTGCAGAAACATTATTTTTTTCTTCCGCTTTTCTAAAAATAGACACTATTAAACGGCACAGAAGCGTAATGCTAAGTAGAACTCGCTTCATCAGAAATTCAACATGGCCGCCGTTCCGAGGCTGACAGGGTGAATTAAAATTATAAATTAAGCGCTTAATAAGTCTGATTAATTACTCACCCAACAGCAGGAGCTTGATGTCTTTTGCTGCTTGTATTCCATCCTCTTTTAATCCCTTTTCAATCGCCTTACTTCGCTCCATAGCCAACCGATCCTCAGCACTCAATGTACACCCCATGATTGATTTTAAAGAATTTTGGCACACTTCTTACAAAAATAAGGCAACCTGGGAACCCCTATCTATCACAAACCCCTTCTGACCGCACAAGGGGCTTTATTAAAGGTTGCTATGCCCTTGTTGATTTGATTATATCCATAAATGATTAAATATACATTCCTAACTTAAGCCACTAAATACACGACCTAGATAGCGCTGAATTCTTTACGGGCTTGGTTCGTGCGAATATAGGAACCGCATACGTTATATTCCCTAAGTTTTGTTTCACTCGGGTGCCCCGTTTACATCCAACCTACGGCGCGGTGTCATCACGTCTGCTATTATTCCCAAAACACTGCACTAAATTTTAAACATACAGGAACCAAGATTTGAAAATAAATTCCGGGCGTTGTTCCTACCACCGTGTGACGTCGCTGTGTAGTAGAGTTAGAATTGATGATAAAATATTCTGTAGCAGGAATCGCTGTATAGAATATTAGTCTAGTGGTTCTGTTATTGGAAAGCTTGCGGGTTCGACGTGACGTCACTTTTCGCACGGAGTCGATATCATTAATATTTGCAGACGTGTTTTCAGAAATTATGAAAATCACCAAGAGAACGTACTGTATAAAGGCGAAACATCGATAATGCTTTAGACCAAAGTCGCTGTAGCTATTTATATTCCAATAAGTCAATACCTAGCTAGGAAAAATAACCAATGAATGCGATGTTGGAAGCTACCATAAGCACATATCTGATTCACTTTTATTCTTGTAAGAATTTTTAGATTCTGCTTCTGTTCACACAAAAATACTGTTTCCTTAAGAACGGGGTCTTCTGTTCATCTATACTGCGTGTCTACAGACGCGATACCAAATATCAACCATTTGCTTTAAATATAGTCCTACTGCAAGGTGACAATTTGGCCTGCCGTCTATCTTAAATGAATGACGGACAATTAAGAAATCGGTGCAATTAGCTTGAATACATGTATGCTATTTTTAAATGGTTTTCAAATTTGATACATTACTACGTCAAGTACAAGATGGAAAAATAAAATCAACCCAGCCTCTGTAAGACTTAATGAAACAAATATCTAACTGATCGGTTCTAGATTATCGATCTCGTTTTCATACAGAAGTACGATCGCACGTTGCGAACAGAAGCGTCTACGGGTGAATAAAAGCACGATTAATACAATGGGAAAAATCGGAGATCAATTTATATTGATTTTTGGATCTCGGGACTACTAATTATAATGCGGCGGACATTTAACTGTTTGTTCGCACACGCGCAACAAATTACATTTTACTGCACTTGAGATTATATAGAGAGCCGACTGAATCAAGCGTTTAAGAGTTAACGCTCTTTTAAAAAAAATAAAGCTCAATTTTCAATTAAATAACGTCACTTTTATGCGATCTATTTAATTTAATATACATTTAGCCAACGTTGTTTCTTTTTAAATAAATAAATAAACAAACAAGCAGGATCTTTCAAATAGTATTTCTTTTTAATGACCCTAAAATAAATAAACAAATAAATATTTCGTTAATTCACCAGCAATGACAAAATAATTCAAGAGTCTTTCATTTTCATCACTAGTGTTGTTTATTTTTCAAAATCCCACAAACTAATCTCCGTTTTAGACAGGCTCTTGTGGGGTGTGGTGGGGGCGGGGGCACTGCTTAATTAGTGTGTTTCGAACAATGGACCAAGTGTGTTTAAAGTCAATTTTTCTACAATAGGCAAGTTTTCCATAAGTATTTCAAATATTGATAAAACACTAAAGAAATGTATAATTTGGATATTCTTAAAAACATGCTTGAAAATATTAATAATATTCTAAGTATTCTAAGTTTTTAGTATGAACATTTTATGATGGATGATACTATTTTGTTCAAGAACAATTTATTATCTGTTATATGAATATAATAATTCATTATGTTATATCGGATATGTATCTCTAATCCAAGCATAATTCTTTCATAGTTGGTTGTTATGTGTGATAGCACCGTAATTTTTATTGTTTTACATACCTTTCATTGACCAATTCACTTTAAACTATAAAATAGGCTAGCTTCAATGGTGGTACGTTTAGTCTTATTCCACATACTTTTCACGCCTCTGTGTACCTTGCCGCATCGTTATTTGCCTAAAGGACTGGTGGGGGAGAAAATCGGAGTCACCGGTGTACGGTGCATATAGGAGGGGGGGGGAGAAAATGAAAGTCACCGGTGTACGGTGCATATAGGAGGAAATTAAAGTCACTCGGTGGCCCGGGACATTAAAGAGGAAATCAAAGTCACCCGGTGCCCAAGTGCATTCAATTCGGAGGAAATTCAAGTCAACCGGTGTCGCACTGTGCATACTTCTGGACCGGTGGTTAGCACGTAGACTGAAACAAATTTGAACTTCGTAAACAAGCTAAAACGCTTCATGACTATATACTGGGTATTAAATATAGATTACAATTTTATTAAAACATATCATTTTTATTGAATAGCTCTCCATTTATTTTCCTTGGTGCAGTGTTTTTGGTAAAAACACTTTCATAATGCACACTTCGAAGTGCCAATAAGTTCTGAATTCATTTATTGAAACATTTAGCGCCTTAAAGCAAATTAGCCTTATAGTAAATTTGCGCAATAGTCAAATGAAACAGCTAACAGTAAGAACCCACTGTGGCATACTTGTTCGTGTTGATAATTATACATGTAAATGTTACCGATGTACAAGGAAGTCCTACATACTCGTAAACAGTGTTTGTTCCTCATTTCTATTTTTCTCTCCTCTTCCGCTACCGACAAGAATACTGTATTCTGTTATGGCCATGACCATTCAACGGACAGACGGACTGACATACAGACAGAGGGCAAATCTTTAAAGTCCCTGGTAGACACCAGACTATAACATTTTTAAAAGCAAAATTCTTAGTCCAAGGAGGAGATAACTCTTAAAATAAAAATGCTAGAGTTATGAACCTTGTCATACATGATGTATGTGGGTGATGACAAAGAAAACTTCTCTTAAGCCTAAAGTAGATACCATTTATAGTAACAAAGAAGAAAAGTGAAAAAAAAATCAAATAAATCCCAAGTTTAAAATGGACATAATTCTGAAAACCAAGGTGCTAAGACTAATAAATGTAATCACGTATGATGTAGGTGTTGATAACAAACATATATTTAAAATTTGAAGCAAATCCGCGAGGAAATAAGACAATTACAAATTCAAAGTTTAAGGGGGAGATAATTCTGGAAATATTAATGCTGGATTTATACACTTTGTTACATTATTATGAAATAATAATTTCTAGAAAAAAATCTAAATTCAAGGCGGACATAATTTTGGAAGTTAAGGAAGAGTAATATAATAATTTTGATGCTAGAGTCATGAACCTTGCCACATGCGATGTGGGTGCGGATAATTAAGGAACATATAAGTTTGAAATATGTCTTAAGAATTAAATTAAATCAGCTCAGTAAAGAATAACATTTTTTAAGGAAAAGCCTAAGTTGAAGGGGATATGATTATGGAAATATTGCTTCTAGAATTGTGCACCTTGAGATGTGATTAAGAATCAGGAACATTTATTTGAAGTTTGAAATAGATTCCTTAGGAAATAAGAATGTTATACTAAAACAGACTATACTGCGCAAAAACTTTAAATCAGAAATTTGAACGTTGTTGCCAATGCTGGGCAAGTAGGACAGTGTATAGTCAAAATAAAAAAAAGATGTGCACAATCTCCATACTGCCATCTATCCATTTTTTAAGTTTCATAGCACTTTTTTCAGTACTTTTCGAATTACAACAAAATATTGCTATATTTGCCATATTTTAAGTATATTTGTTGCAAAGGCAACAAGTTTCAATAAAAAAAATGTGCATTATCTCCTCTTATAATCGTCTGCAATGTTTGCTATGTAGTCAGTACATATTTCAAATTTTCCCCAAATAACAAAAATGATTTGGTTCAGATAGGTATATGTTATGGCGATTACATACACATGAACTGTTTAAGTGGATATTAAATATTCCCGTGTTGAAAAGTTCGGCAATTTTAAATTCCAGACATTTCAAGTTCATTTCATTTCAAGGAAATATTAGCAAATTGTGCCATTTTAGAATTTGATGACAGGTAGGTTGATCTTCACACTAGAGGATATTTCAACATTTTTGTGTCGCCTCTACGGAGTAGTGGCGACATATAGGGATCACTTCTCCGTCGTCTGTCTGTCCGTCTGTCTGTCTGTCTGTCTGTCCGTCCGTCCGTCACAAAACTTGTCCGGACTACTCCTCATAAACTACTGGTGCAATTTCATCCAAACTTTACAGGAATGATCAGTACCAAGTCTAGTTGTGCATATTGTCAGCATTTTCCGGTTCAATGATTTTTGTCAGAGTTATTGCCCTTTAATAATTTTTAATTTTAAAGTTTGTCCGGACTACTTCTCTTATACCACTAATGCAATTTCAATGAAACTTTACAGGATTGATCTGTAGCTCAAGTCCTTGCGCATATTGCACGGGTTTTCCGGTTGAATGATTTTTGGCCGAGTTATGGCCCTTTGATAAAAAGGTGTTTTTTTCTGTGTGTTGCCAGATACACAAAAGCTTGTCCGGACTACTCCTCATAAACTACTGGTGCAATTTCATCCAAACTTTACAGGAATGATTAGTACCAAGTCTAGTTGTGCATATTGTCAGCATTTTCCGGTTCAATGATTTTTGTCAGAGTAATGGCCCTTTAATAATTTTTATTTTTAAAGTTTGTCATGACTACTTCTCTTATACCACTAATGCAATTTCAATGAAACTTTACAGGATTGATCTGTAGCTCAAGTCCTTGCGCATATTGCACGGGTTTTCCGGGTGAATGATTTTTGGCCGAGTTATGGCCCTTTGATAAAAAGGTGTTTTTTCTGTGTGTTGCCAGATACGCAAAAGCTTGTCCGGACTACTCCTCATAAACTCCTGGTGCAATTTTATCCAAACTTTACAGGAATGATCAGTACCAAGTCTAGTTGTGCACTGTCTGTCTGTCTGTCCGTCTGTCACAAAATTTGTCCCAACATGAAATTGGCCATCATGAGGCGACACATGTGATTACTGATCGCTCTTGTTCATAAATGCGCCAATATTTCCGATCACTAACACAGTATTCTAGTGCGGCTGTCCTTGCTCTTAAAGAAACATATATGAAGCTTATACAGGTCACGTATCATGAAAAAAAAGTGCAATGACTAAGATTGACGTAAATCCAACTTTCCTAAAATTAACGCTTCAATTTATATGATCTAAAAAAATAAAAAGAGTACTACATTTTAGCAGGCTAACCCAGAAATTCCTCTTACATAAACCTGTTACTTCTATTAGCAGTCAAAAGGTGAAAATACATATATTTGTACATTATAAAACACAAAAAACATAAAACCATTTTTTTTACTTTTATCTTTCTTTTTATTTTATAATTTCATCAAAAAAAATATGTTTCAATAAATTGCACAATACATGCATAAATGATATAATGAAAAATAAAACAATACTTTTAATCATGAATCATTAAAGGAACTCCACTGGGGTCCAAAGGCAAAAGAAAAGTAATACAAATATTAAATGAAACAATTAATATGGAAAAATCTGCAAAGGGTAACAAAGAACTAAACTCAAAATTGAATTGAAAATTGATTTTTATGTGACTATAAGCCTGTTTGACTGTAAAGCATTGCAATGCTTCTCATTTTTGGTCTGTTTTTCACAATAAAAATATTATTCTGGAAAAACAAGGTTAGGAAATAAGTTGAAAATTTGCACACAAGCTATTGGATAAAACCTGAATCAATTGGTACACAAATCTCAGAAAAATATTTTCAGCCCAATCATGTCAAAAAACCTTAGGGGAGTCCCTTTAATGCAACAATCAAACTTAAAGTATACAGCTTAATGTAAACTGTCTTGCTTATTTCTTTAGATAGAATGCCTTCAGTTAAAGAGAGTTTAAATCCTTGTCAAATGATATACTTGAAGTTAAAATCTTTAAGTTGTATGCCTCCAGATAAGCAAAAATGAGCTGTGTCACGACAAAACCAACATAATGGGTTTGTCACCAGCATGGACCCAGACCAGCCTGCACATCTGCACAGTCTGATCAGGATCCATGCTGTTTGCTTACCAACCCTATTACAAATAGAGAAACTGATAGCGAACAGCATGGATCCTGATCAGACTGCGCCAGATGGACAGGCTGGTCTGGATCCATGCTGGTCGCAAACGCACTACGTTTGTTTTGTCATGACACGGCTCAAATATTTCACAAAATCAGCCTCAATAAAAATATTCTAAAATGTACTAAAATCCTGGATCACTGGTATGTTTAAGTTTTTTATAGTCCCCCATCCCCTCCAAAAAATTTGTTTCTCCCAAATGCATTTTTCCCTAATTTTATTGTTGTTTCTTTCTCTTCTCTACGTATGTTCTTTTGACAGGTTGATAATAAAACTTTCTGAAATGTTTTTGTGCCATTATCCAGCAGCTTTCCATCACACATACATCATATTTCTATCTCCCCAAGAGCCATAACTCTCAAGACATGGTTATACACAAAGTGCTCTCTCTTACAAATAAAACCAAAAATATACAATATGAAAATTTGGTGTGCTATCAAATATCAATAACCTTTCACAAACAAACAAAACTAATATTTTGTTTCATAAAATAACAATTACTCTTACATAACTACTACATTAATACACAACTACAAAGATGTATGATGAAAAATGGTGCTTACAAATCTATATTTATGCTAGAGAAATTTGTATCAAAACATTCCTGCATATACTCAACCACTCAGCATAAAAAAATCAAAATCATTTTCCGCTTATTGATTAAACACTGTTTCTCAATGTTAAAGATCAAAAACAAAAAACATTTACTGCAAATATAACTTAGCAATGATGTAGGAAGGAGATTTGAGTAAACATTTACAGTATGACCAGATTTTTACAATGATTCTATTTCACAAATATCAGCTTCTAATGATTCTAAGCTCACAAATATCAGGTTCTGATGATACTTAGCTCACAAATATCAGCTTCTGATGATTCTTAGCTCACAAATATCAGCATCTGAAGATCAAAAGCTCACAAAAATCAGTTTCTAATGATTCTAAGCCCACAAATATCAACTTCTGATGATCATAAGCTCACAAATATTAGATTTTGATGATTCTAAGCTCACAAATATCAGCTTCTGATGATTCTAAGCTCACAAATATCAGATTCTGATGAGTATAAGCTCACAAATATCAGATTCTGATGATTCTAAGCTCACAAATATCAGATTCTGATGAGTATAAGCTCACAAATATCAGATTCTGATGATTCTAAGCTCACAAATATCAGATTCTGATAAGTATAAGCTCACAAATATCAGATTCTGATGATCATAAGCTCACAAATATCAGCATCTGGTGATCATAAGCTCACAAATATCAGCTTCTAAAGATTCTAAGCTCACAAATATCAGCTTCTGATGAGTATCAGCTCACACATATCAGCATCTGGTGATTCTTAGCTCAAAAATATCAGCTTCTGATGATTCAAAAACAAAGGAACAATTGCTGCAATAAGGAACAATTGCTGCAAATATAACTTAGAAATGATGTAGGAAGGAGATAAGAGTAGAATTTAGGACCAGTTTTTTACCATGATTCTAAGCTCACACATATCAGCTTTTAATGATTCTAAATTATTATAGTATCAACCTTTAAAGAGTCTTTGCTAATTACAAATATCAGCTTCTGATAATTTTAAGCACTAAAATATCAGCTGTTTATAAATCTAAATCTCAGAAATATCAGCTGAAAGGTGATATGGAGCTTATAAATATCAGCCTTTAAACTCTGAAACATTTGTCAGTAACATGCAATTGTTATATTGTTCATTTTTGTCCCATTACAATAAGTAGTGTTGCTACATTTTCCAATCAGAAAAGTCTTATTATAAATATTCTTACACACTAAATTTGAATTTTATACAGGGATTTCTTAAATCTGTATTTCATACATCAAAGTTCTGTTGAAAATATCTAGAACATTGCTTTAAAGTTCTGGTGTCAATTATAATTAATCAACAAATTATGTAAGCAAGTCTGTAAGTAAATAAACTGACTGCTTCCCAAGTATTCATTGTCAGGTAGTTGGTCTTGGCTTTAAAATAAGTTTCCCAGTCTGAAAATATAGATAAAGAATAATTAACATATCAGTAGCAAAATCAGTCATGTAATATGGAAAATGACACACAATAACATAAAATTCCTATAGTTCACTTTGTTGTAAATTACATGGTTATAACAAACACTCTTAACAAATTGGCAGGTCATATCTATTGGTATATACTATGATATTTACAGCTATTTGCATATTTCTATGAAATTTCTTTGAAATCATGGATAAATGATAATTATGGTAGACAACACTTTCTATGTTTAATATTATTAAGGGCTATAACTCTATTTGAAATTCATAGTATTACAAATAAAAAATATGCATAGGTAAGTTTTAAGTTCATGTACGTTTGTAATCATAGTTCATGTACACATAGTTCATGTACACATAGTTCATGTACACATAGTTCATGTATACATAGTTCATGTACACATCAAAAGTAACAATTCCGACCTTCATCTTTACACTTGAGACAAATGAAGTAAATTAATTTTATAACTGCATTGCAAAACATTACTGGCTATTCCTTTTTTCTACCTTTTGAGGGTGAAATTACACTGTTATAGTCATTTGGCAGCTTTCCAGCAATACTACTGGAGAACTGGTAGTTCAGCTCTACCCTGCATTATATCTGGCACAAGCCAGCACTTAAGTGGAACCACTGACTTCTTATAACTAAGTAAGATAGCTTCCTAAAATGAATAAAAATTCACAGCCCCTGTGGAATTCAACCCAAATGGAGAGGGGCCAGTAATCATAAGCCAGCAATCTTTAAACATTTGGTCATGTAGGTCCCTTCACTTGTCACACACTGTAATTTATCTGTCAGTTGTAACCTAGCCCCTTTCAACTCCTTTGAAATAGTTGTAACTTTGCTTTTACAATTTGGCGAACCCACATCACTTTTAGGGCAAAGTTCATGCAGAAAATGCAAAATGATACAAATTCTTATAAATTTTCTATAAAATTTTTTTTTCATAATACTCTTACTCCTAAAATAAAGTTCATATAGAAAGCACTTTCCTTGGCAGTCAGCAACATGTATGATATGTAAAGTACCTCTGACTTTCTACAGTCTTTTCTTACCTGTTTCATTCGATGGAATGTTTTGAACAATACATGTATGCATAGATGAATCGACTTAATCAGTTGAGAAAAGAGAAGACTTAACATCAAGTTTTAACATTCAAGGAAAGTGCTTCCAAATTGGTGTTTATGCGCTTTATTTAAAGAAAATTTATTCAGTATTAAAAAGGAAATTTGTGACGGGTGCATAATGAGAAAAAGAAATTTTATCAAACATACTCACATCATCACAAGACATATTGTAATCTGCTAAAACTTGTCTACATCTTGCAGCAATACTGAACACAATAGTTAAGGTTTGATTTGAAAATACAGTTATGCATTTAAAACTATCATTCAAAGAATGTGTTACAATCTTTTATTACAAGGTGTAAATAATCTGTTTACAATTTCTTTAACCAGTAACCTCAACTGATCAGCTGTAATTGTTAAGAATTTAGTTGAAAAATTCATCTTTTTTTCTTTTTTTGGTTTACGTCGCACCAACACAGTATAGGTCATATGGTAACTTTCCAGCCAGCTTTTCTAGTTAAGACCTCAGGTGCGCCATGTGTATTATTTCAGACACAAACAGGCACCAGAGAAGGACTGCTGACATTCCATCAGCTATCTGGATAGCACGAAGAAAACACAACAGCTGCTGTGGTGTAGTGATTAGCGTACTGGACAGGCAATCTAGCTGCATCATGCTGATTTTATGTGATTTTTGTTTGTATAATTTCCCACACATGACTTTCTTTCTTTCATATTATATATCTATCTATAACCTAGTACACAAAATAATACACATTTAAGTCACTCTAATGTAACTGGTTTATAAACCACAATGGGATGATCAGGTTGGTTAAATTTAAATGTATGTTAGTTTACAAATTCCTTCATTTTCAACATATGCCATGTAAATGTGCTTTTTGTAACCTTTATTACAAAAAAAATCTTGCTAAACAGTTTTAGCAATGATGTCACTGACCTAGATCACCATCCCCATATCAAGACAGCAAGTACATGTAAATCCATAATGATATTATATTATTGGACAAGGCTTTTAGCAAGGTTGGTGAATGTATATATATTTTGTATGTTATATGTTCTCATTCATAATGTTCTGAAATACATTGTAAATGTAGCAGGTAAAGACACATTTTTTGTTTTGTTTTGATTGGGTTTTACGTCACACCCACACAGTATAGGTCATTTGGGGACATTCCAGCTTTACTGGTGGAGGAAGACCTCAGGTGCCCCTCCGTGCATTTTTTCAGGCATGAACGGGCACCTGAGTGGAACCACCATCGCTACATAAGCTAGCTGGATAGCTTCCTCACATGAAAGAATCCAAAGTCTCAGTCGGGATTCAAACCCACAGCGGTGAGGGGCAAGTGGTTTGAAGTCAATGACCTTAACCACTCTGCAACGGACGCCCCCATTAAAGACACATTGTAAATGTAGCAAGTAAAGATACAAGGTAAATGTAGCAGGTAAAGATACAATGTAAATGTAGCAGGTAAAGATACACTGTAAATGTAGCAGGTAAAGATACACAGTAAATGTAGCAGGTAAAGATACACAGTAAATGTAGCAGGTAAAGATACACTGTAAATGTAGCAGGTAAAGATACATTGTAAATGAAGCAGGTAAAGATACACAGTAAATGTAGCAGGTAAAGATACACTGTAAATGTAGCAGGTAAAGATACATTGTAAATGTAGCAGGTAAAGATACACAGTAAATGTAGCAGGTAAAGATACATTGTAAATGTAGCAGGTAAAGATACATTGTAAATGTAGCAGGTAAAGATACATTGTAAATGTAACAGGTAAAGATACATTGTAAATGTAACAGGTAAAGATACATTGTAAATGTAACAGGTAAAGATACATTGTAAATGTAACAGGTAAAGATACATTGTAAATGTAGCAGGTAAAGATACTTTGAAAATCAAACAGGTAAAGATACTTTGTAAATGTAGCAGGTAAAGATACATTATAAATGTAGCAGTTAAAGATACATTGTAAATATAGCAGGTAAAGACACAAGGTCAATGTAGCAGGTAAAGATACAATGTAAATTTAGCAGGTACTGGATACATTGTAAATGGTGATTACTAGTTCTAGAGTCTGTGAAATTGCTTCCTGAACTCTTTAAAATTATTACATTAACTTATAGTGATTCATGAAATTCCAAGTTTGAGATTCTAAAATGATCAAAGAAAACTTTTTGTGAGTCCTTCCAATTATTCATAGAATTTTTTTTTACACTTACTGGTCATTTCCATTCTTTTTTCTCCCATGGAGACCCCGTAACAAATTTCAGTCAATTTTCAGAAATTCTACATAAATTCATGATTTTTGTCAAATTTTGTGTCTCAATTTACAATTGTTATTTGGAAAATAAAGCTCTGTTCTGTCTACCATGAAACTGGGGTAAAGCTCATGTAGCCTTGTGGGAAAATCAATGGTTAATTCATACCTTAAGACATAAACCATGGATGGAAAGAATCTGAATGGTTTGATTATACCTTAAGACATAAACCATGGATGGAAAGAATCTGAATGGTTTAATTATACCTTAAGACATAAACCATGGATGGAAAGAATCTGAATGGTTTAATTATACCTTAAGACATAACCATGGCAAAAAAAATAAGAATTGATTAGTCATACCTTGAAGCATAAATCATAGGCATAGGCAAAAAGAATGTTTTGCCATACATGTACAAATGTACTTTGAACTGAAACTTTTCTGAAAGGATACATTGAAGGTGCCACAACTCTTTTATGTATACCACACAAGAATAACGCTACCAGCGTTAAACAGGTCAACGTGAAAAATGGATGGTTAAATAATGACTGTGTGAATGGAACCTGAAGAAAGAAAAATACATCAATTTAAAATGTTCATACATAAATATATGAGGCTTATTTAGTTCTTATACATGAAAGTTTATTCTTAAAATAAATATAAATATGGACACTTCCAAGAGATAATCTGATCGATAGAAAATTAAATCTTATAAGCCATTATGAACCAAACATTTTATTATTTGGTTGGACTGCAAGCCACACGATACTGTGATACTGTTAAAGACATGCAGGAATTTTCCAGCTTTACTAATTGTGGGAAATGTGTTAAGAAGAAGAAGAAGCTTAATCATGATCATTGCATTTCTTGTAACAGAGGATAATAATTCAGTATTAATTCTGAGATCATTATCTTTCTCATGGACGATTAAATGCAGATGAGACCCGATTGTGTTATCAATGTTTATGATTGAGGATTGATACTTACCTGTGAAGTGTCAGGATCCCACAACCAAGTCCAGGCTCCAACTGCTGTACATATTGAGATGAAGATAAGTATAACTGAAATATTTAAAAAGCTTTATATTTCCAGTAACTCTGTCATATAGTTTAAAATGTACATAGTTTACTCAGAGTACAATACCGGTAATTATAGCAATAGTTTTACTTCAGGAAAAAGAACATCCCAATTTACTGCAATTTTTATTCCAAAAGATCCATACCCTATAACTGCTCATGGCCTATGCCATCAGTATAGAGCCAGGCTACCCTGCCAACAGGGCTTTTTTCACAGGCTGGGGAAGCAGCCCTTCCAATAATTTTGGTGGAAAATTATATGGAATTTTTGTAAAATGAGAAAAATCTTCTTGATGACAATTAAGTTGTCTTGAAAACTGCATGATTTTAAAGATTTTTGTTTTCTTTGGGGAAGTCGCCCTTAAACTGCTATAGAAGAAAACTAGAACTGCCACTATCATGGCTTGAATACCCCCGCATACCACTTTGTCAGAATCAACAGTGGCCATTTAGAGCTTAAGGACAACCTCCCTGCAAAATCTGAGGTTATGCCAGTGCATTGCTAAGTTATGTATTCTACATGCTTCAAATGTGAAAATGTCAAAATCAATAAATTTTGGACAGGACATACTTTAGCAATTAAGAAGAAAAGCTTTTTTTTTTGTCAAGGTCCCTGTGACCTTGACCTTTGACCCAGTGACCTCAAAATCAATAGGGGTCACCTTATAGTCATGATCAACATCCATGCCAAATATGAAGACTGTGGGTCAAAGGAATCTTAAGGAGTGGACAAACTTTTTGAAGTCAAAGTCCATATGACCTTGACCTTTGATCCAGTGACCTCAAAATCAAAAGGGTCATCTACTAATCATGATCAACATCCATGCCAAATATGAAGACTGTGGGTCAAAGTAATCTAAAGTTATTGGGCAGACAAACTTTTTAAAGTCAAAGTCCCTGTGACCTTGACCTTTGACCTGGTGACCTCAAAATCAATAGGGGTCATCTACTAATCATGACTAACCTCCATGCCAAATATGAAGACTGTGGGTCAAAGGAATCTTAAGTTATTGGGCGGACAAGCTTTTTGAAGTCAAGGCCCCTGTGACCTTGACCTTTGACCTGGTGACCTCAAAATCAATAGGGGTCATCTACTAATCATGATGTACCTCCATGCCAAATATGTAGACCGTGGGTCAAAGGAATCTTAAGTTATAGGGCGGACACGCTTTTTTAAGTTTAGGCCCCTGTGACCTTGACCTTTGACCTGGTGACCTCAAAGTCAATAGGGGTCATCTACTTATCATGACTAGCCTTCATGTCAAATATGAAGACTGTGGGTCAAAGGAATCTTAAGTTATTGGGCGGTCAAGCTTTCTGAAGTGAAGGCCCCTGTGACCTTGACCTTTGACCTGGTGACCTCAAAATCAATAGGGGTCATGTACTAATCATGACTTACCTCCATGCCAAATATGAAGACTGTAGGTCAAAGGAATCTTAAGTTATTGGGCGGACAAGCTTTTTAAAGTCGAGGCCCCTGTGACCTTGACCTTTGACCTGGTGACCTCAAAATCAATAGGGGTCATCTACTAATCATGACTAACTACCATGCCAAATATGAAGACTGTGGGTCAAAGGAATCTTAAGTTATAGGGCGGAAATGAAAAAACCGACGGCCGGACGGACGGCCGGACGGACAGCCGGACAAGCTGATTCCAGTATACCCCCCTTACAACTTTGTTGTGCGGGGGTATAAAAACCCTGGCTTGTATGTGCAGTCAATCGAGGCTCAGTCATTACATACTGATAGGAGCAGAATTTTTTCCTTTTGACATCATAACCCCCTACCAGTAACTTTAATAAATGAACAATGCAAAATTCAAGGCAGAGTAAGTCCATTTTTCAAACATCACATGAGAAGTAATAAGTTGTCTTAGTCTGTATCATAAAATTTTGTATTTTATAGAAAGCATAGTTTTATTATGTGCAGTTTGAAGGGAGAATCTGTTGCTAATGTTGAGATAAATTGTGAGTCATCTCTTATGCCAAATATTCTAAATTACAGCACTGCATTTGTGAGTCATGCCTTTTGCCAAATATTCTAAATTATAGCACTGTATTTTAACTGTCATTATATGTATACTCATGTTTGGCAATGAAATATTTTAAAACATGTGCAATATTCATTTAATTTTATTTATATGCAAATCTGAAATTAAGGTCTAAAGAATAACACATAATCATGTGTCCTTCCATTGCCACAACCTCTATCAACATGTACAATGTGCTAAGAAGATTCATTGAGTACTTGCTTCGAGTACATATCTATATAATAATCAATGAAAGCTTTATTAAAATATGGTATATTAATTCTATTATAATATATTGATATATCCTAAACACCCGTCTTTAAATTTATTTTATAATCCATTTGATAATAAGAGTCTTATTATCAAATGGATTATAAAATAAATTTAAACTAACTTCTCCAAAATCTTGCGGCTGGTTGAAGTTTATCGATAACCTCTGTTAACCTTCGCTCAAATGCCTTCAAATCTGAAAAAAGTACATAGAAGAATTAGAATAAAACAATTTTAAATAAAATATAGTTTTCCTTGAAACATATTGTTCTAGTTGTACTACTACACTCCTAAACTTTTTCTTGTAATTCACTTTAATTATAGAGAAAGAGTCATGGATTCAATTTGCTAGTGACATTTTTTCAAATTTTCAAAACAAGTAAAAGATACGGCACAATTATCTGAAATCAAACACCAACAACTGACTGAGAATGCAGCATTATGTTTTAAGGCTGTTGCACTTGAGATGTTACCTTTATTTGAAGAAAAACAAAATCCATGTTTTAAAATCCTAACCCTATTCCATAACTCTCTAACCTTTACCCTAACCCATAACACTAACCCTAACAGTAATCAGAGTGATTTTGTAGAAAAACCTAATTATTGAAGAAATAATAAAGGTGACGCGATAGCTCAGTTTGTTAGACCACTAACTGTCACTCTCGAGCTCCCGGGTTCGATCCTGGGTAACACCTTGGGATTTTTCAGACACTTTCAGTGTTTTCCACCTACCTAGAGGATGTACTAGTAAGAAATCCTCGCATGTATCAGTGCTATACACTGGGCATGTAAAAGAACCAAGGGGTATATTCAATAAGAGTTAGGGTCCAGTAAGAGACTGGTTCCCGGATTCCCTTAAACCTCATGGTTGTCTCTGAAGTCTAGAGTCATTTGACTGTCTGCGTCTTGCATTGGGGTTTGACATTAATGGAAGATAGATAATATTAGGAAAAATCACAATGTTAAAAATTGGCTAATACACCCATTGACAGTCTCTATATGAACTACGTAAATAACCAAGGTATATCGAGTGAAAAAACACAAGATGTTAGAGGTGTCATCGATAAGGATTTTTGTATCGATATATCGGTAATGAATTATCGGCGATACAGCGATATATCGATTGCCAGGCTAAATTTTAGCTTTCAAGTCTTTTTTTAATGTTTCCTAAGGACACTGACAAAGCAGTTATATTTAGACAAATGCAAAAAAGATAAACTATGAAAACTGAACAATTTGTTTCTTTTTTATCATATAGCTATAAATGAAAACTAATGACTAGTAACTATAAAGTTTTAAAGCCTTTTCCATTTTACTTTAGTTGTTGTTGTTGCTATAACGTAGTTACTGATCATGCTAAATCCCTTCCTTGCCGTTTCAATTAAGCCGTTTTTAATTGGCAAATTATAGTGTTTAGAACCTGAATAATTATTAAAGTTTAACATTTTGTAATCAAAATTTTTACAAAGAAACACTGACAAATTTTTCTTGGCATTTTCCCTTCTTAAAATCTGAATTGAGGGGTCTTGACATCCACTTAGCAGACGTGCGAGATTACAACGAAATTCGGCAGCATTCGTTAGAGACACTGGGAGGTAACTTTGGCATTGATTTTCATTTTAGAAAAAAAATGTTTCTGGCTTCCATAACTTTATATGTCGCTTTTATTTTGACGTTTTGCGACAGTAAACAGGACTATCACTTCTATAAAACCTGTTCACAGAAGTCTGTTTAGCTAGAAATATATGTGCATTCGATATCCGATATTTAAAAAATGGAATCGATATCGAATCGGATAACAAAGATCGTTGATACACCGATATCGATTGAATCGATGACACCCCTACAAGATGTTTCCCTTATCTTCAAGTAAAATAGATATCTCTAGGGCTAAACAATGCATAAATTTACCGTTTTTTAACTGCTAGTTTGGGTTGATTTAATGACCGATTTTAAAATTTATTACACCAATTAAAAGCTTGTGATCTTAGCTTCGTCTCAGTATATATTTCAACACATTGTTTGACACTGAAGGTAAGTAAATTTACGGTTAAACCTACCACAAGTCAGACCATTTTACAAATGTTTTATACAGTGCGATACCCAACCAATTATCTTTACTCGCAATTCTACTGATAAGAATAGCCTGTCGTCTGCTAGTTCGGAAACTGTCAATCTGTGTATTCTAAAATTCTAAAGGACAGGGAACCAAATTACCTCCAACGAAGAGCAAGCAAACTTATTATCCATAATTTTGTTGTACTTCTGGCAAAAATTTTCAAAACCATCAATTTTGAAGATACTGGCATTAACGTAATACTCACATTTCTGTAAAGCTTATAGTATGTCCCAGTACTCTTCGAGGGAAAAGAGTCAACTTGGCCCTATACCAACTCGGCACGGGTCAACCCGGCACGGGTCAACTCGTCCCACTTTACAAAAATATATAGGCCTATAACGTATTTACTTTGCTTTGCATGTTGTTAAGGTAAATGAATAATAAGAAATATCTTATTATTATTATATAATTATACATTGTACCTCTGCTGAAATAAAGTATATTTAGAAAAAAAAAAGTTATTTATTTGCCTTGCAGATTCTATAAAATTAATATAGACACAGGCACGATTATCGAACCTGGGAAGAAAAAATATGAACAGATTGATAAAATAACTTCATATTTTTTCTTCCCAGGTCCGATACTTGTGCCTGTGAATATACATGTAGATATAATAAAAATGTGTTTCCTTAGATGCATTTTGTTTGTAAAGTAATTTTCAAAAAAATATGAAACAAAAACGTGTTTACTTAATAGCATAAGCTTCTAATTGATTGCAGGTGGTCACTAATCAAATTTGAATGAATAAGTCAATCATAATTATCATTAATAATAATTAATCGGTATATTTAACATACACATTGATTGATAATAATAGCCTGTGACAATAGGAGTCCTTTGATGTCCTTTACCCATTTTTAAAAGTGGGCCGAGTTGACCCGTGCCGAGTTGGAATAGGGCCGAGCTGACTCGGGGGCCGAGTATGTTTTAGGGCCGAGCTGACCAGGATTCCTCTTCGAGCTTGGTTTAAAAAATATAACTGTTTGATTTTTATGACACTTTCTAAATCTACCTGAACAACATTTTATATACATTGGTAACAACTTAATGAATTCAGTTTACAGAATTCGCAACAAACTTCCTACTTAAAGCGATTTGACTTTAGATTAGGAAACACAAAATCAGTTTATCCGAAATAGGTACAACTTTATCAGAATTGATTCTTTCTTGGAAAAAGATTATAATGCCGACTGAAAAGTTTCTAAACCATACAAAATAACGATGGAAATTATAAATGAAATTAATAATGTTTAGAAAGAAAAAAGAAACATGAAAAACCTTCAGTTTGTTCGAGAGACATAGTCAAACTCCTCGCAGCGGTTACTTCCCCTGATCTGTACAGTAACCACTGCCACCACAAGTAAATTCGGTCGAATATAGCCGGATATATTTTTTTCACTTTTAATTTTAAAATAGAATACTTTATATCATTTTAGTTTTCTTTCGTTAAATAGTTATGCTTAATGTACAAGAAAGTAAAAAAATATACGTATAAAAATTATTTTGTAAACATAACGAAAGATATTTTCACTGTGACACCGTATGCATAGTAAACAATGGCAGAATATAACAGTTATTGAACGATTGCACAAAAAGATTTGATCCGGCACTTGTTTTAAAGTGATAACAAATAGTGTGTCTTGAACTTATTTTGTCTGGTAAGGATGTAATTATAAATCTGCTAGTTTGATATGGGATCCTTGGCGTTCTGAAACTGGCCGCCATGTTTTTGTCACATGATACAACTATCATCACGTGATTTCAGTGGTGGCAGTGGTTAAAGTAGCAAAGCGTGACGTAACCGCTGTGAGGAGTTTGAGACATAGTTGTTGTTGTGGTTGTTGTTGTTGTAGCGTAGAACAAATGCCATCCGAATACGGTCATTTCGGTTGTCCGGCACTGTCATTTATTGTAGTGGTATAACCCTGTCAAGTTCAGATAAATTGACAACACATATTAAAGATTAACTGTTATAATGAAGATTGACAAAAACTTTATATTAGAAAATATTTAAGATAGAAAATAAATCTGCCTAAAATATAAAACGTTACAGGATATTTACAGAAATTTCCTTGGGCCACACAAGCTGCAGGTAGTCAGACTATTCTCTCCCTTTCCAGTTCCTCCCCTGACGTTTCCTCCCTGACGGTTCTCTCCCTATTTTGGGGGAGAACCGTCTGCATATTTGTAAATAAGCAGACAGTTCCTCCCCATTCTTATTTTTATTATTACATTATTATTAAAGTATTTAGATGATAAATAAATGGGTAAGTTTATTATTCATTGATATATATTAGGAAAAAAAAGATTTTACTGAAGTGTTTAGATGTTAAATAAATCATTAATGGGTAGGCTAAGTTTATTATAGAATGATATATATTAGAGAGAGAAATACTTTAATGAATTATTTAGATGTTTAATAAATTGGTAACTTTATTTTCAATTGATATAAATTAAATTAGAAAAACTTTTTTTAGCATATTAGTTAATTATTATGATTTTTTAAATTAGATGTAATGTATACTTTTTAATGTGTTTTGCCATTGAAAATAAGTAATGAATAATTTACTTGATTAGGATAATCATAAGATATTATTTTTTTTTTTTTATAAATAAATATGAAATTTATAAATAAAAAATGATAAATGAGTTATAATTGCTAAATTTCATACTTTTGTATAATGAAAAAAGGAGTTCAATACACACATGCTGTCAGTGATAATTGAGATGTTTATTAATTCATTACTCAAGAATCAAGGTGTTGATTAGATTAAAATAGCTGTAAAAAGGCATTGATGAATAAGTATTTACAAGCTAGACCTTAACATAATTACAGGTGTCCAATCATTGTCCAATAATCTATATCTCTCACAATGAAGGTGTTGATAGGATTAAAATACCGAAAAAAGGTGTTAAATTTACGAACACTTTTCAGCTAATTAACATAAAACATAAAATGCAGTTAATATCAAACACATTCTTTAAATAATCTTCATTAAGAAATATTTTAGATTACAGTAAGTCAAAACTAAATGATAAAAAATGGGGGGAGAACTGTCTGCATATTTCAAATTTGGGAGAGAACCGTCAGGGGAGGAAACGGTTAGGGAGAGAACCGTCAGGGAGAGGAACTGGTAAGGGAGAGAATAGTCTGTCATTCTGACCTGCATGTACTAATCGTTCATGCGAAGTAAACTTTTGTGTTGTTCATTATTATTATTATTTAAATATTTAATTTTGTTAATAAATTTTTGGCTTTGTAGCTTCAGGTGTGGAGTTTTTGTATATTTTACTATATTTTTACATCTTTTTATTATTTCACATACTGCCAAATATCCAGCCGAACAGGAGAAAAGTTATAAAAAAAGAATTGAGTCCATTCAAACACATTGACATTTAAAAACATAAAAATAAAACCCTCGTAATCTAAGGATCTAGTGGTTCAAACCACCTCAGGGGAAAGCTGTTGTTGTCTGAAGTATGAAACTATATGTACTGGTTGGTTCTATCCGGGATATAAGATCTTATGTCTCATGCAGGTTCTATTAACGGATTCAGATCGAGTTCTTTATAACCTAATTAACAGCTTAATTAAATTAATTCCCACACAATCGAACTAAAACAAATTCTAATATAAACTAACTATTTTTGTTCGTTTGTTCTATACTCCCCCCAGTGTGAAATATATCCACATATTTGGTATCACAATTGACACAAACAGTTTTTTAAGGCAGTTCTGTCACATCCAAGACTTAGTGTTATAGAGATATCGTGTTTAAAATTTAAAATGAACATTTCAATGAAATCATTCCTTCGACTGGTATGAAAGGCATATATTTTCTGCATGACAACGTTTGTGCACACAAAGGAGCTACCGAAATTGTTTGTTTGTTTGTTGTTTTTTTTTTCAGAGACATAGATAACTATACATATCTATGACTCTGGTTTTTTACAAGAGAAACGAATGACTGTCTTAAGTGATTATTTCGAAGGGTTGAAAAAAATAGTAAAATATTTGCTCTTTTGTTATTTATTGACAATTTTGCATTACATATTGACCCACCGCCGTAGATGTGCAAAAGAATCAGTATTTTCGGATAATATGAAAAAAGTTTTACCGTTCGTGAATAAAAATATAAGATTCTAGACGAGAGAGACTACAGACCAGCTAGTCTTTTGACTGCATTGTCTAAGGTATTTGAGATACACATATTTTAATAGTATTTTAAATCATGTTCTTAATGCATTTAGACAAGGTTATTGTTGCAACACTGCTTTTTTAAAAAAAATGTTGAACTGATATGGGACACGTCCAAGAACAAATAGGTATGGTTAGAAATCAACAGCTGCTAAACCATGACATTATCTTCTGTAAAACTTTAGGAAATCAACATCTTTTATGCAGTTTCGATTTTAGATAAATACATGGCAAGGGGAAAAAATCGTTTCTGTTCATCAGGGTCTTTGAACAATTGATGTCTTTATCATATGATATTACAGAATACATTTTTAAAACCATAGTTTAAGGTACGTACATGTAGCGACAAACTGTTTCCCCTCAATTTTGTTGTGTTATAAAAGAACATTTATTAAAGAAGAATATTATGTAATTTAAAGCTCTATGGTTATGCAGCTAGCTTTCCTTTAATATATATTTTTTGTTGTTGTTGGAAATTTGGCTTCGTAACAGTACTGTATACTTATTTGTTGTTTCTTAACCATTTATATACATTTGCTTTAACCATATGTCTTAACTGTGAAGTTGTATGCTTGGTGTTTTGTTTAGATGGTGCATATTTTATTAATTAGTCTGTAACATGTATTTAAATAGGCCTGGATCACTGGGGAGGAAGTGTTACACGAGGGATGGAGTTCCTATGATAACTTGTCAAGGAGTTCTTGTGATAAATGTCACGGAGTTCGTCGGAAAACTAGCTATTGTATATACTGCAAAAACACTCGTCAATTTTGAAAAATGGTAATTTTCATCTTTAAAAAATGAGTTTAAGGTGCTAAATAGCGACAAACTGTTTCCCCTCAATTTTGTTGTGTTATAAAAGAACATTTATTAAAGAAGAATATTATGTAATTTAAAGCTCTATGGTTATGCAGCTGGCTTTCCTTTAATATATTTTTTTTGTTGTTGTTGGAAATTTGGCTTCGTAACAGAACTGTATACTTATTTGTTGTTTCTTAACCATTTAAATACATTTGCTTTGACCATATGTCTTAACTGTGAAGTTGTATGCTTGGTGTTTTGTTTAGATGGTGCATATTTTATTAATTAGTCTGTAACATGTATTTAAATAGGCCTGAATCAAGGGGAAGGAAGTGTTACACGAGGGATGGAGTTCCTATGATAACTTGTCAATGAGTTCTTGTGATAAATGTCACGGAGTTCGTCGGAAAACTATTGTATATATACTGCAAAACACTCGTCAATTTTGAAAAATGGTAATTTTCATCTTTAAAAAGTGAGTTTAAGGTGCTAAATTAAACTTTCATGATTAAGCTTGCCTTACATATTGTATTATGTGTCAAAATCTAATTCATAGTCCATTTTTCATCGCCTCTTGCGTAAAATCTGGGAGTTTTGAGTAAAATTTCCAAATTATTTGCCAATTCGCAAGTATTGACCTGTTCATCCTTGCCATATATAATTACCTAATTATAATGCAAAATCGCAAACATAAAGCCCCGGCTAACAAATTTATACCAGATTTTTCTAATGTCCCGGAGTTCTTGTGATATCTCAAAATATGTCCTGGAGTTCTTATGCCTCTGAAACCACTGATCGATCACCTAATTTTATTTGTTTCCGCCTAGGACTTAAGTCCCAGGTTCCGCCCATTGTTTTCTCGTTTAGAACATTCTTTTATTTGGGGACCATTCGCCGCTTTTCATGGAATGACACTTAATTGTCACCCTGAAGGTTCCTTGATAACCGACGTACGTGTTGTTGCCATATGAACATGTATATATCGTTCAAAAAGTTACCATTTCACGTTTTAAATGTTGAATGCTATAAAGAACGTAGGTGGTAACACCGTCCATGAACAGACTCAATTAAACCAAGCCTGCAACATTTATAAAATTGCCGTTTTGGACTTTTTGTAGGGATTCCATTTCTCGATTGTCAGAACAGTGCGCGCGTGCAAAGCTCATTTCGGAAAACGTGTGCGCGAATTTAGACATACCATTTATGTTATTCGTAATTTTATTGGACAATAAGCAAACTAATAAACCAATGAAAAATACCGTTTCACCTTCACATCAAATTGAGGCCGAAAACACATTGTAAAATTTTGGCAAAGTTTTTACTGAAAAAGGTAATTTTGTGAGTTTGTATATGAAGTTGACTTAAATGGAATGCATTATTAATGTAATTTCCTTATATGCTAACAGAAACATAAATGCAGAATGCACAAACATGACTCAATTTCATCGGCCGTAACAAAGAAGTGCAGCCAGTTTGTGAAAAAATTTACGGTTCCATGATTAATTCTCATTTTATATAAATTTGGAAAGAAAAACGTGTAAGCAAACTTTAAGATGCATTTAAACATATTGTAGCACTGGAGTTCGAACACTTTGGGTTCTAATAATTTAGTTGGAATTTTACTGTGAAGAAAGTTTTTTTTTTCTTTTCATTCTCACCCGATTGTGTGGATTTAGTTCTGGCTTCCAGAACTTTATGACCTGCTTTTTAATATTTTTTTTGTTTCGTCTGATGCTGCATTAAACTTTTGTATCAGAGCTGTTATGAGAAACCTTTTTTAAATTTGCAAATATTCTTTTCCTAATTAATTCTTGCGAATAATCATAATCTAAATAAATATTGTTTTAATGTTGATCCAGACTATTTAAATTGTAATATATATATGAAAAAGGCAAAGCCTCAAAGCGAGCTCGATTTTCTTTTACTGTAAAATAGTTAAAACAATCGTTCATTTTTATTTTAAATTTTCCGTTTTAAAATAGTCATTCAGTATTTTATATACTGCTTCCGTTTATTCTGGTTCCTCCTTATTATGGTTTCAATATAAGTGCGCGGGACACCAGTCTACACTTCCGTTTTCAATCAGAGTACATCAGCTTTTATCCTTATCTTGTAATTTGAAAAGTTGCGATGTGTCCAATTAGGTACTTCGGACGGAAGTTTTCAAAACCTGCCCTCACTTAGCAGGTACTCGCGTTACCGTTAAGCTCGCTTTAGGAGCAGGCCCTTCGGGCCAGCTCATCGAGCTCGCTATTAAGATATTAATACTGTTTAGTCTCTTAATGAAATTGCCGCGAAAACATCAATAAAACCAGCTGATGTTGACCATGATGTTGTTAGGAGTAGGAGTTACGTCACCGTGAGACCTCGAATGACATAAAGTCGTAATTTGCGGTAATCACTTGGAGTACTGGCATACATACTATATTTAAAACATCTTTGTTGACATGACATGATTTCAATTTTATTTCAATTTTATAAGTTTACAGTACGTAAATAAAATTGTAGAATTAGCCAGTGAATCACCTTTTATAATTTTTGAATTTTTTTATTTAGTTAAAAAAGATTAAATCATTTAAAGCACATGGCATTGTTTTCGTACCTTCCACACATATTTAAACGAACCCGCAAAGGTCCATCTGGTACTCACATAGTCACGTGATCAAACATTTTGTTTAAGATGGTGGCAAAACAGTGAATGTTTTCACCTATTCAGTATTGGAAATTATTGGGTAGTTTATGTTCGGAATAATTTTTTTTATATGTTGATTACATGGCTTGTTTTAATAGATTATATATAGTTTTATCAGCATGTGCTTCACTTTTATAAATATGCTTCACTTTACTCAAAAGAGTGATTCATGAATAAATACTAATGTGCCAGATTCCTGGCATGATTATTAGTGGACTTTCACTACAGCGTTTTCTTGGAGTACACATCCTGTAGGCCTAGCTAGTGATTACCTGTTAACTGATCTCAATCCTGACATGAGTCATGACCATGTTTTGACACCTATCTCAAGATGAAGTTCTGGTTACTCAAAAGCATTATAATTTGCAAGAATTTGTTATGTAATCAATGTTTAAAGTGAAGTATGATCATGAATCCATGATAGTCAACCCTTTTAGCATTTTTAGAATTTATGTTTTGTTAACAATTTTTCTAAATTGTTAGACCTTTGTGTCAATGAAAAAAATAATTATGCTTAATAAATCCTTTTTTTGTTCTTGAGTAACAGAAATCTCAAGAGAAGCTGCGATGTAAACAAAATAAGTATCACACTTATGTAGCAAACCGGAGGATATAAATTATTATGATCTAACTGGTGTCATTTTGACTTTAAACTCTACAATAAAAAATTTATGATTTGACAAATTGGTATACATATATATCCTTTAAAAAGATATTTCTTTTGTCTGTTGATATCATTTTAAGCTAAGTGATAGTCATTATATCATTTTGAGACTGATAACTTATAAAATTTCTGTAAGTTATAAAGTTCTTATATTTTGCATTTTGAGACAGTATTTTTAGTAATGATGTTTTTATACAACCATAGTTCTTCAGGACATACATGTATAAAAATATGGTGTTGTTTGTCCATCTGTCTGTCTGTAATCAATCATTTTCCTATGCATAACTTTGCAGGAATTCAGGAATCCTTTTGATGATTATTCACAAATAAATGCTTTTATTATGTTTTAAACATGCAAACTATTTTCAGGAACTTTTTTTACTAGAGAGAGTATTAATTATATTTTTTATTCATAGTAGCAATAACTTCTTTTTATAAAATTTATGGGGCAGATTTAACAGACTTTTCCTTTTTATTGAAAATATTTTGTTTCTTTTATCAATTTTATGCCAGTAAGTATTAGTTAAGTTGTCCTATTGTATTGTAAGCCTAAATTTAGACATTAAGTTCCCTGCTTAGTGCTATTATTATGTTATTTAAAAATACCATTTTATATATGTATATAGGTTTATATTGCTTTGAAAATTTGATATATATGATTGGAGTAATGACGGTTTTTGGAAGCATTTTCAAGAGTTTATTCGGTGTTTATTCGCCTACATTTTGATGTTTTTTGACGTAACAAATTTTTCATTTTGTACTTGCGGTTATTTTGTTTGCCTATCACGATAAAGGGGACAGGTAAAGTTGAAGTTATGTTTAGATTTGTTCTTTCTATTCGTTACTTATACTACAAACATAAATATACCGGAAATATTGTAGCTATATCCAGCTGCAAGGTTGATAAAAAAGTTTAAGTCTTTGAAAGTGATTTTTTTTTTCAATATATTTATATACATGGGTGCCTGTGTAATTTCAATGTTCATAAATTTTCCATCTTTGTCCCTTGAAACAAATATTGTATACATGTACATCAGTTACTGTTGAAGATATGCACACTAACTGTATAACCCAATCTTCAACAATTAATGCACACCATTTAACTGTTCTTTAATTAAGGGCTAAAAGAAAATTTTCCAATTAAGTGAACTAAACAATAAAACAAAAAATCCCACAATGAGAAGTATCGAATTAAAATCATTTTGAAACAAAGACAAAAATTTTGTGAATACTTTAAAAATTTCTTTTAGTTTTTTGTTATTGAAACATTTAATGGATAGAAATGAAATAAAAGGTTCTGGAATGGAGTCCTGCTTAAATTTTGATTTAAGAAGAATTGTTTTTTTTTAATTTCACCACACTGAGAATTCGGGTTGCAGACATTTACACTTTCAAAAACTCATTTTGGTTGTCTGGACGCCAAAATAAGAACAGAAGTTGATATGAAACCCATTTTATGAATGAAATATATAGCTATTTCTTTTCTTTTTTTATAAAATTTCTAAAATGCAGCTTTTAAATAAGTAGGATTTTGCTAAAATATTTTAGAAAAACTTGAGAAATACAGAGAATTTAAAACAAGAACTTTAGGAAAAATAATGATTTATTAAAATGTTGATTGATAAAGTAAATTTTGGGTATATACATGTAATCTCTCTGGATATTAAAACTGGTTATATGTGCTGGATTAAAAAAATGCTTGTAGTTTTATCTTTGCAAGAAATACTAGTATGAACAAATTAACCCATTTCTCATCAATACTTAACATTTTGATAATGGAAATAATTTTCATTGGCTGAGAAAAAATACCTATATTTGGCCTTGGAAATTTGTTTGATAGCCCCCACCTGTATTAAGGTAAGTATTGTAAAAGAAAGTGTGAAATGGATGATCTGAAGAAAAAAATTTTAAAAGTCATACATCATCGGTTTTAACTTAAGTTGGGGAAAAACAGGTTGTTATTTCATTAGTATTCTCAAGACCAAAGTTTAAACATTCACCCCATGACTAGAAAATTTACACAAAGACAGTTGATAGACAGTTGATACTCCAAAAATAAGATTGAAATTTGTTTTCTGACATTGAAATTTTAAGAAAAACATTATTTGTGTTTTATTATTGATTTTATAATAGCCCAGAAAATTTCTTCACATGACATATACAATTGTATCATGTACCATTAGGAATTACATCAAGTTCTTTTTTACAGTTTATTAATTGCAATATTGGCATATTTTTTCAGAGTTGGGCACCAATGGTTAGGACCAGGTCACGGAGTACAAGCAGAAGCCGGAGCCGTAGTCGCTCCCCACGTGAACGTATAGATAAATTTGGAAGAGTCATACCTCCTGGTAAAAAAAGATCAATGTCCAGGTCGCGGTCCCGTTCACGTGATCGGTACCGGAGAAGAAGTAGGTCACCAGTTCGTCGTAGACATTACAGGAGTCGGTCCCGAAGTAAATCGAGAGAATCTAGAAATTCTAGAAGTGAGAGGCGGAGTAGTAGATCTCCGTCGCGACACTTGAGGGATGTTAGAAGTCGGACAAATATTGAAGATCCGGCATTTTTAAACGCTAGAATTTTTATTGGAAAGTTACCATCGGACAAATGTACAAAAGAAGAATTAGAGTCACTTTTCGCACCATATGGTAAAATTTTAGGTAAGTTTACAATTCAAGTTATATTTAATTAAATAGTAATCTGTTTCATTTGTAGAAATGATGGGACATCGTTCTAAGTCAAAATGTCTTTTTGTTGACATATTTTTTGCAAAATGCACTATTATTTCTAATCAAACTTTGATTCAGTCAAGGAAACAAAATTTACATTAAAAGTGATTTGTCAAATATATAACAATAAGTAATGTTTATATTATATTGAATGGTTAGAATTATTTATTTTGGCGAAGTACTGTGATTTAAAAACTTTGCATAGGTGAAATTAGAAGCTTTTTAAAGAGATTGTGATAATGTACTTTCTAAATACCAGCTTCATTTGGTCTAAGATACCTGTATCAAATTACATATATGTTGAATGACTAAGTAAAAAGAAAACTTACTAAGGTTAGAGATTCTTCAGCACTTACAGAAGTAACTTTGTTCTGATTTATATTTCAGATTAGAATTGCATGTTTGTCCATTTAGACCATATAACAATTATGGATTATGGACACTAGTTGGCATTTATGCAATTCGCCATATTCATTTTAGTATTTTCTTAAATTTTGACATGGCAGTGGAAAACACCCACTCATATCACTGTAAATCATCACTACATGGAAACTGTTTAAAGAAAGCAGGAGCAGCTTGTGTTCTTAAGATGCATTGCCCTAAATTTGTCAATATTTACAGATCCATTAGTGTTAACTGTTTGTGCTTGTTTTTCTAAATTTTATTCCTGTGGCTTTACGGCGCACTTACTAAGTTAAGGTCATAAGGCGCCAAAACAGGAAAAGTTATTTTGGCTAGCCGCTAACAGTGAGTGTAAAAAAAAACTTCAAGCAACACCAACAAAACCACCTCACCTGCTGGAGCTAAGCGATGCATAGTTAGATTAGTTACCAGTAATTCAGATCCATTTAGTTGCCTCTTATGATCACACAGAGGGAACCAGAGGGAACCTGTGGCTGCAATTCTTAAAGGCAGTCCCTAAGCCACAAGGGAGTATTCCTGTGTCTCTGACAAAGCTTTATGATAGACATTATTCATCTGAAATCATTTTTCATGAAATCATATAATTGAGTTCATACCCTTCTTTGTTTCATAAAATTGAATCCATGCCCTTGGGTTTTGTTAAAATTTTGTGTGACTGTATGAAAGTAACATTTGTTTGAGTTAAGTACATTATTTCAGGTGTTTCAATCCATGACCGTGGTTTTGGTTTCGTGCAATTTGAGAATGAAGAGGATGCCAGGAAGGCACAAGAGGCTGAGAATGGAACAAAATTTTTAGGACAAGTTCTTGGTAGGTGCTCTTTGTTGATTTTTCCTTTCAGTGAAATATTTGCTTTGGGAGAATTTTTGCTCACTTATAACCTTAATATAGTTAATTAATAAAAAGGGAATTTTTGTTTTGCAAAGTAGTTATGGTGGCTGACTATAAATTTTGAATTCGAACAGGAGCTTTGGAGTTTTTCATGCAAGGAAGCTTTCCGGCTAGTTTAAAAAGTTAGTGGTTCTAACTCGGGTGCCTGTTTGTTCCTTTAATGTATGGATCAGAACTGGGGTCTTCCTATATTTATAAAGCTAGAAAGTCGCCATATGCCTTTATCAATGTTGGCATGTCTTTAAACCTGAATTTATTTAATGGACTTGCCTGGCTTTGAACTTTGAACAGTCCATTTAAAGTTTTAAGAGATTTCGGTGTCAAGATGCAAAAATGGGGGCATATATATGTACAAATTGATAGAATTTGATGCGTGACATTTTTGGTTCGAACCTCTGTTCTGTTTCTAGAACTGAGAGTTATATTTATTTCTTGCATATCAAAATGGTGTTTCAGTTATTTTTACATTTGTACCCATGCTGGAAGTTTCTTTTGTTTTATGTACCGGTAATACATAAAAAAGCAATTGAAATGAAGGGTTGTCTTGCAAGCCATCCATGAGTGTGGTAAAATTCAGACTGGTAACAATACCATGAGAGTTATTGAAACTTGAACATGATCAAATGTATATAATAAATTTTCTTTACAATGTATGTTTCGTTAAACAATAACCATTGTTAACCGCCATGTTGATAATCAACAATAAGCTGGTTCAATATGACTAATTATTATGCGTCTTGCCACAAATAAATAAAGATTTTTAAAATTATTTATCTGAAGTTGGAAATAAAACACTCTAAACTTTATAGCGCTCTTTTAATGATTTTTCCTGAAGTTCAGGCTTTTGATGTTCCTAAACGCCCAAATTTTAGCTTGATTATTCGAAGAACAGAGACAACTGCTGTACTAATAACCCCGGTGTAACCGTCACACTGGTTAAGTTTTCTCATGCAAGTATGTGTCCCAAAAAATATCTGAAGTGATTTGAGAGCATAGAAGGATGTCAGGCTATGTAAGGCTCATAACTCTTACTTGGATTTTAACAGAATTATAGCCCTATTTGAATGTACAAAATTCTATATTATCCAGAAGCTTTATCAAGCACTGAGAATAGTCGAGCATGCTGTCTTACAGACAGCTCTTGTCCTATTTATAAGTAATTAAAATGCTCTGAAAATAGAATGTGATATTATTAGTTATAAAGATTTTTTGACATTATAATTATGGCCCTATATAAATGTTTGAGCGGCTCGGGTTATATTGAAAACAACCGTTTATATACGGCCATATAACCTGTTAGAAATCTTATAACAAATTTTTAATACAGCAAGCAACATTGTTTTCTTCATAAATCGACAGCAGCCGTGCATATAAAACTATATAAACGTCACAATTATCCAATGAAAAGCGACATTACATACGTGCAGTATTATTAAAAGTCAAATTAATGTGTGTGTCAGTTAGCTCCAGGAAGCAATCTTCTGTGTGGTTTCAATAAGCTTCAAACTTTTCATCATTATGAAATTAAAATTTGTTCAAACTAACTATAAAATTTACTTCTATATTTTCCAATTATATAAGAATAAATATATGAAAAACACACACTACATTAAATATATGAATAACAAAAAAACACAACTGAAGAATGATAAATATATAAAAAAAAACTCTACATAACATTATATATAAGAATAGCAAGAAAAATTAATACAACTTTACAAACATTTAAATGAAAACAAATATTTTTTGTTAATGTATTTATTGTATACCTAAAAATTTAACCCTAAAATAGAGACAAATCATGAAGCACTAGTATGATTCAACACATTGACATAAAACGGTACCATATAAGGAAGAGTATTTTTCATCGTTGCTTCCCATCTTAGCTGTGCATTATGTAGCATTTAAAAATGGGAGCTGATACTTCTGAGGGTCGGGCCTCTTTTGTTAGATTTATGTAGTCATCCGTCATTCATGAATTTAATTTCTCAACAAGCTATATTTCCAATAGAAGTCAAGTAAATTGAAATTCTTTTAGTGATAATATTTATAGGTATGTAATAAACGGATCATTATGTTGTAACCTTTTAGGGGCCATGTATTTTGCTACCCTTTGGTCTTGTGAGATATTGCCAACACTGCTGGTAGCAAAATACAAAGCCTCAGAAAACCACTACAGCATAATATGCTATACCTATTTCACAGTAGATAAATGGGGCGTCCATGGCCGTGTGGTCAAGGTCGTTGACTTCAAACCACTGTCCCCTCGCGCTGTGGGTTTGAATCCCCAGAGGGACTGGGGATTCTTTCATGTGAGGAAGCTATCCAGCTAGCTTACGGAACGTCGATGGTTCTACTCAGGTCCCCATTCAAGGCTGAAATAATGCACCGAAGAGCACCTGAGGTCTTCCTCCACTAGTAAAGCTGGAATGTTGGCTTATGACCTATACTGTGTCGGTGTGACGTAAAACCCAATCAAACAAACAATTCATTAGATGAATGTGTCACATGTTGTTGCCAATGTCTACTGTTAAAAAGAGTTACCATAGCAATAAAATAATTTGTTTTGATATTTTATGTCAAAAGTCTCATAAGTGCATCTTGCAAGAAACAAATCGTTTACTTTTAAAATATATTGTAAAAAAGTTGTGGTGAGTTGTCAGCCTATCAGCGTGACATATTGTTTACTTTTTAAAATATTCGATGTAAAAAAGTTCCAACAATTTGTGTTGTATGACATTAATTAGTAAGACTACTAAAATTGAAATCGGTAAACAAAATTTTGATTTAACGTTAAAGTGTTTAAAGCTATCGCTGTTAAAATAAGTAGAACGTTCCTAAAATACCCAAATGATGAGAAATATGTAATATTTCCTTAAAAGCTAAATGCGCATGCACAAAATCATTGATGAACAGTAGAAAACCTACTTCAAATAGCAGTATATTCACTTACAGAACATGTTAATCTATAACATACAATATTCATGCGTTTTAAATAACCCTTTAATTTTGGAGAAACAGTGAAAAAGAGATATAACAGTATGTGTTTTAATTTCTATAAACTATACTAAAATAATCCTTAACATATTTCCTCAGCATATTATATACAGTTAACTTATTCAGTTGTTATTCTTCAAAATGTATAACAATAAAAAGGTTGTGTTATTTACTTAAAAAATTTGAAGCGCATGATTAGCAAAAAAATCGATTGGGTGACGTACACAGTCCCATCATATTAGCTTAATTGTAAAGTAAGAATTGAAATAGTTTAATACGACATTGTATATTAATGAAAATATGTAAATTTGAGTATCACAATCATAGTTAAAACAAATGCATCTTTGTTGTTGAAACAAAAATCGGCAAAGCGATAGATAATTTTAGCGGCAGTACCTGGTACCACATGCATACACTAGTACGGTGAGTGAAACTATACATGTTGTTATTTAAATAATACATAAAAAAACGAATGAAAATAAAACTTCATCCATAATTCAGTAATTCGCCTGTAGTAGATTATTTTTAGAACACCACGGTACATATATATAACATAATTATATTAAATTTTCATTTATTATTCACTTTAAAATTTGTGTTCAGATGAATGGATCGAATATAATATTCATCTCTCTATGATCTACAAGTAGAAGAGGATTTTATCATATTCTTTATTACTATTGTTGCATTACGTATTGATATAAAATAGCAAGCATCTAGTTAGCAGACGAGAGACTGTCTTAAAATGCAAGCTGATTTTATGCTGCCCGATAAATTTTCTGGGGAGCTTATAGTTTCTGGTTTTTCCTTCTATACATAATGTGTACTTCTTCTCATTGTTCCTTAATTTCTATACTGATGTAGATATTAAATATATTTGTACCTAGCAAAGGCTAAGATAGACGTCTGCCCTTGTGTGAGGTTTTTAAGGGTAGTTGAGGGGTGGGGAGAGCGATGGTGAGATTTAAGAGGTCAGTTTGGATAAAAATATTTAGATAGATTTCTGTACTGTTTGTCATATATATATATAAATGAAGAGAATAAAAGCTATGTCAAGGGCCCTCAGGAGATTTTGTCAGTGTTATTCTTCTTAAACTCAAATTAAAATATGCTAATATTGAATTTTTGTGTTGCCAGTAGTGGCAACATATATGGATCACTTCTCCGTCGTCTGTCTGTCACAAAACCTGTCCGGACTATTCCTCGTAAACTGCTGGTGCAATTTCATCCAAACATAACAGGAATGATCAGTACCAAGTCTAGTTGTGCAATATTATCAGCATTTTTCTGTTAAAGGTTTATTGTCAGAGTTATGGCCCTTTAATGATTTTTATTTTTTAAAGTTTTGTCTTTACTATTAATGCAAAATTAAATGAAACTTTACAGGATTGATCGGTACCTCAAGTATTTGCGCATTTTAAACACATTTTCTGGTTAAGCTGTGATTTTTAGCTCGACTTTTCTATGAAAAGGGGAGCTATCCTACTCGCCCCGGCGTCGGCGTCGGCGTTGGCGTCGGCGTTGGCGTCACACCTTGGTTAAGTTTTTCGTACCACCCCACTTTATTTCAGAAGTATTACAAGTATGGCTTTGAAACTTACCATACTTGTTCACCATCATAACCTCCATCTACAGACAAGAGTACATAACTCTGTCAAGGTTTTTGACAGAATTATGGCCCTTTTTTGACTTAGAAAGTGTATTGAGCTTGGTTAAGTTTTTTGTACCACCTCACTTTATTTCAAAACCATTGGAGGTATTGCTTTGAAACTGACCATACTTGTTTACCATCACGACCTTCATCAAGAGACAAGAGGACATAACTCTGTCAAGGTTTTTGACAGAATTATGCCCCTTTTTGACTTAGAAAATACATTGAATATGGGTAAAATCCACTTATTGCCTTAACCCTTTGAGATATTGCTTTGAAACTTTTAATGCTATTTCACATCATTACCCCCATCTGTACGCAAGAGAAGGTAACTCTGTCAAGGATTTGTTTTAGAAATTAAGGCCTTTTATCGACTTAGTTTTTTTTTCTTTCTTACCAGCCCTCTTTTGACTTAAACATTTCAAACTTTGCTGCAGTGTTCAAGGGTATCACACAATTCAGTAAAATAATTCTTCACTAAATATCTTAATGCTCATGGCCATTGTTCACTTTAAAAATACAGAGATTCTTGTATTGCCTTTTACTGCAAAAACTTTTTTTATTGGCAAGCAATAAAAAAGTCGAGCGCGCTGTCTTACGCTTATTTTCTGGTTAAGCTGTGATTTTTAGCTATGTTATGGCCCTTGAATAATAGTAACACATTTTAGCCTGTTAATAATTTTTGTGCCTCCTGCTACACAGTAGCTGCAACATGCATTTGGCTATCAGCAGGTGACACATGTGATCACTGATCGCTCTTGTTACAGAAACTGGATAATTTGCTGAAATAAAACATATTTAAATGTTCAGTTTGTTTTTCATTTTCATAATAAAACAATTGTTTTTTCTCCCCATAGTTATGTAGAAGAAAGCTTTAAGAGCTCTTCTCTTTGATGGAAAAAACAAAACTGTTTGTAATGCTTGTTCATAGTGGCCAAAATAAAAAATATACATTTAATGTCTCGGATATGTACAGGTAGTGTACAAATAATGATTATGTCAAGTGTACAAATAATGTCAAGTGTACAAATAATGTCAAGAGGATGAACACAGTTTTATTCCACTGTATACCACAGGCCTCTGATAGATATTTTTAACATCAGATTTATCCTAACTAATTGCATTATAGTCATGTATATTGTATTTGTTATAGACACATTTTATAAAGAAATAACATATTTTCCTAGAGCAACATTGCAGAAGTTATAGAATTGATCTATAATTTTATGGATTTCTCATGAAGACATGTTCTGCATGAGAAATACAGTTTTTTTTGTGCATCTGCAATAAAAAAAGCTGATAGATGTCAATTCTTGTTTGTCTATAAATAATAAACACATGAAAATTGAAACAAGTTTGTTGTTGTTTTTTTGTTCCCTCATTTTTACACTGTCATTTATTGTGACATCTATTGATAATTTGATATGAAGTTATATTTTTCAAAGATTCATGATGCTAATTATTAACTCATAGTATGAAGATTAAAAGTCATTAGAACTTTTGATAGTAAAAAATGTTTAAAAAGACTCGTCCTCAAAACAATTTTGAAACCTTATCCCTATAATATGTATTTGCATGTTCCCTGTTCACAAGCAGAAATTCAACATACATTTAACTTATTGCTTAAGCAAAAGCATGGTAAGAAGGAATATATTAAAAGGGATAAAGAATATATATACATACGAAAATGTGTGTTTGTTTTATTTTTGACAGACGTAAAAATGGCAGCAGAAGGTAGACGTGCCGGAGGTCCACCGCGCCCACCATTAGACAGAGGTGCAGGTCGGGGAGGACCAGGATCCAGTAGAGATTTTGATAGGGAACCAGGCGGGTATGTCATTTATGGCAAACTAACCTTTCTTTATATGTTTGAAAACATGTCAATTTCTAGTATTATACAAGAACTTGACCTTTTTGCTGTTAAGGAAAAATTCACCATTACAAACTGAGCAAAGAGGCTAGTGAGTTGGGTTGAGTTCAATTTGTTCAGGTGCTCTGAATTTTTTCAACTGCGATCTGCAGGTTCTTTTTATTTGTAACTTAAATATGACAGCCTAAAATGTTAAAAAATCTTTCCAAATATTCAAGAGATTGTTTTCAAGATATGTAAGATATTTTAGTTAAATATTGTGTATAAATACATCATATGCATAATCTTAAATAGATATCCAGGCAGAGATGGCCGTGGTCCTCCACCCCCAGGGGGTAGGGACAGATCACCAGTTCGAGGGGACCCCTATGATGACAGATTCAGAGACCCTTATCCTAGGAGGGAACCCCCACCCAGGTATGTACTTTCTGAAATCATGAAAGTTTGTCATTTAAAAAAAAGTTTTCTCTTAAGTTTGATCATGTGTATTGATCATTTGATGATATGCATTGATCACTTGTTCATATGTATTGATAACTTGTTCATATGTATTGATCACTTGCTCATATGTATTGATCACTACTTGGTCAAATGTAGTGATCACTACTTGTTCATATGTATCAATAACTTGTTCATATTATATTGTGCTCACTAGTCATCACTTGTTCATTATGAAGTGATCACTATGTTCAAATGTATTGATCACTACTTGTTTTTATGTAGAGATCACTACACCAAAATCATGATGTGATGATTTGCTTTCTTAAAAATGGTACAGATATTGTTGAAATTCTTAATTAAAAATACATATATGTTGCAGTTCAGGACTACAATTCAAAATGCTCATGATAGAAAATAAAAATAAGCACAAAATACCTATTTTTTGTGTATAAAAAAATGTTGTGAATAAAACCTTTAAAAATGTAATAACATTGTCATGGTCTCTTGAAATTACTGGCGGTTATTGGTTTTTAACAATTTCGAGATATTATAAAATTTGTATTTTTAATGTCCCTATAATTTTAGGGACAGTGTTGATATGGCAGGGCCTGCTCCACCAAGGTAGGCTGTGTGTTGATATATTAGCCTTGCATGACTCATTGTTATCATGCTGATCTTTGGAAACAGTCTGCTTATGGGATTATTTCATTGGTCAATTTCAAATGTTGTATTCAAAATCAACCAATCAGAGGCCGGTATTAATGACTGATCTCGATTCAAAATTTTTATAACTCGGGACTTGAGTTAGTTGGTAAATGATAAATTTTGAGAGCATTTATTCAGTTCTCTTATTTCTTTTTATACCCCCGCACAACAAAGTTGTAAGGGGGGTATACTGGAATCAGCTTGTCCGTCCGGCTGTCCGTCGGTTTTTTTTTGTCCGCCCAATAACTTAAGATTCCTTTCACCCTTAGTCTTCATATTTGGCATGGAGGTTAGTCATGATTAGTAGATGACCCCTATTGATTTTGAGTTCACTAGGTCAAAGGTCAAGGTCACAGGGGCCTTGACTTCAAAAAGCTTGTCCACCCAATAACTTAAGATTCCTCTGACCCTTAGTCTTCATATTTGGCATGGAGGTTAGTCATGATTAGTAGATGACCCCTATTGACTTTGAGGTCACCAGGTCCAAGGTTGGAATCAAAGGTCAAGGTCATAGGGACTTTGACTTCAAAAAGTTTGTCCACACCATTAACTTAAGATTCCTTTGACCCACAGTCTTCATATTTGGCATGGATGTTGATCATGACTATAAGGTGACCCCTATTGATTTTGAGGTCACTGGGGTCAAAGGTCAAGGTCACAGGACCTTGACAAAAAAAAAGCTTTTCTTCTCAATTGCTAAAGAATGTCCTGTTCGCAATGTATTGATTTTGACATTTTCACATTTGAAGCATGTAGAATACATAACTTAGCAATGCACTGGCTGTAGTAACCTCAGATTTGGCAGGGAGGTTGTCCTTGAGCTCTAAATTGGCCACTGTTGATTCTGACAAAGTGGTTGTCGGGAAGATATTTTTAGAGCCATTTATAGTCTGCTAGTTTCTAGTTTTGAGTTGTTTTGTTTTCGGCTAGAATATTTGAAAAAATATTTGATGCTGATGTACTCGTCTTTCTATTTGTGTAACTCAATTAGATTTTTGTTCTGCAACTTGTAACCTTTATGAATATGCATAATTATGTAAAGGCAATGGACACATTTATAGTTTTGATTCCAACAAAGATGTTGCAACATCTTGCTAGATATTATTTTATGTTGTATGTCATAGTACCTTTTATTTGCTGTAGTTATTGCTTAATTGCTTTATCCTTTGTACACTTTCAATGGATTTCATCTCACCATGTACACTTTCAATGTCTTTCATCTCACCACAATCTTGTTAAATTTTTTGTTAAATTGGTGTATTTATGTGGCTGTGTCTGATTTAGTTTTAGGCATTATCTTTAAAACTTTATTTACAAAATGCCTAGGCCTCAGAAATTGATTGCCCAAATCAATGGTTGCTTAGAGATTAGATTGAAACAAAGTTATACAGTAAAAAACTTGCACTAGTCAGGGGAGCAGTGGCCTAGTGGTTAAGGTGTCTGCCTTTAAACCCAGAATCATGGGTTCAAGCCCTGCTCGGGTCAGGACTATGTTTCTTCATGTGGCACCAGTATTTGCTGGTTCCAGGAAGATTAGTAAAGTTGCAAGAACTTGTTACGAAATTGAGCTTAAAATAAAATAAGTGCACCAAAGTATATGCTATGTATATTACTAACACGTGTCTAGTATAGCTCGGTTTTGCTGTAACATTGGGCAAGAATATTTATGCTCTTTGTTTAAAAGTCTGGCCGCTTTGCTCAGTAGAGAGAGCATCGGATTTGTAATCAACGGGACAGGACACTGGTTTGGACCTTCGGCAAAGATAAATTTCCCCCTAAGAATTGATTTGAGACATTGCGTCTTATGGTCATTTGCCCCTCACCCTGTATTCAGAAATCATGTGGGATAAGTTGTTGGTCACTTGCTGACAAATTAATAATTACTTGTTAGTTGTCAGGTAAAGCTGGAAACGACTGCCTAGATATGACAAAAAATGTCTTAAAGTCGACATAAAGACAAGACAAACTGTGATTAAAATTGAGGTTGCTGATAATTACTTTTGAACATTCAACTTGTTGCCTGATTTTTTGCTGAATGAAACACGGTACGGTTTTACGTGCAGCATCAATATTCTTAACAAACAGGTCAAGGTCAAACCAGAAGCTCAAAGGTCTTAAATATCGATTATTTTTCTATATATTTGTTATTCATTTTTAAAGATGATAAGCTGCAATTGATTTTATTTTGGAAATTGTTGCCTGTTTCAGGGATGACCCATACTATGCTGACCCATACAGACGACCACCCCCACTTGACGACCCCTACAGAGACCCTTACAGGGACGATCCTTACAGGTATGTCATTTAAATGATAAAAAAGCAGTGTATATAGATTATATTGATGTTATGCTCAGCCAATGAAAATCAGTGTTACAAGTGAGTAGTCTTATAAGACAGGAAAACTGTTTTGTTACTGCTAAATTTAAACTCAACACACCCAACATGATCTGAAAAAGGTAAAAAGTGTTAGTCTTTCAATTGAGTAATATCTTAATATAATGTAGTTATTTAACATTATATGAATATTATGTAGTTATTTTACTTAAAAATTGTAATTTTAGACGTGACCCATACAGACGAGATCCCTATGATGATCCATACAGAGATCCTTACTACAGAGACCCCTTTCTACCCCCACCACCACCGCCAAAAAAGTCCCTTCCGGCAGATGTTCAGATTATTTGTATGAATAAGCAACTAGCGTACGTATATTCTATGATAAATTTGGGCAGAATTTAACAGATAAGATTTAAATATTACAGCTTAACTTGATAATCATTAACCACTATATATTTATTTCATGCTTTCCAGTGTTTTATTGTAATATATCAGATGATTATATTCTGATAAACCACTAGTGAAGTTTATAAAATATAATTTTCACTGTAGCCGGACTATATCTGAATGCGGATGAAAAGAAAATCAAAACTGAATGGAATTACAGGCAAAAATAAATGCCGTCATGCGTAAATTTTGCTTCTTTCGGAAAAGAAAGTCGATGTCACCATACATTATGCTAAAAATGTAACAAAATTAGAGAAATTTAACAGAACTATATTTCAAATTTGTTGATGTGACGTCATGATGTGATGACGTCACGAAGGAGAATGCGCGACGTTACGCGGCAAAATCAGTAAAAATTACTTAAAATTACTTAAAACGCATGAAATAAAAAGAAAATTTATTTGTTTTACATATAAGATTGAAATATATTTCATTCGTGAACACCAGCTATTATATTTTCACTCGTGGCTACGCCACTCGTGAAAATATTGCATCTGGTGTTCACTCAGTGAAATTATATTTCAATCTTACATGCAAAACAAACAAATATCCTCTATATTACGATACATTGCAACCACTGTAGGGTGGCCTTCTGAAGAGCAAATACTCTTCACACCCACATCTGCAACGTTCTCAAAGTAAAACTTCACTATAGATTTAACTCCCTTGAGTAACACCTCAACAACAAACAAAATCTTTGTTACCACAAGATTGTTAGGACATGCACTGTATAACATAGATAAAAATAAAAATAGCATATAAAGTAAATGAATTGAACTTTTACATGAGCAGGTAAAATGTATGTTTATAAAGTGATACTTTGTATATGTTTATAAAGTGGTACTAACATTACAGTTGAATAATTCTTACCATGGCTAAATATGTGAAATGAGCTTGCCTTGCTTTACAGTTAAAAACTGTCCTTTGTTAAAGTGGAAATTTTAATGCCCATACATTGTCTGACTAAAAAAATCAGTAAAATGTGGGGGCATCCATGTGATATCATATGTACTATTTAATCAAAATGTTAAAAAAAATACTATATTTAAAGCAGGATATTCTTGATTATTACAGACAATATGCCGAGTCTATTGAGGCTAGGCTGCGACAACACGCCCTCATCATTGACATCATTGTCATACCAGAGGATCTGACGGTGCCAAATATGGTGGAGGAAGCTGCGAGGCAGAAGTTTTTATTCGCCATCATAATCAATACCCAAAATGAGACTCATAAATCTCTTACATTGAACATTCTTCATGGTACTCCTCAAGGTAAGGAATTTTTGTTGTGGAAATGGGGTAATTTTAGGTACAAAAGTAGAGATACGATGTTTTTCTTCTAAGCAGCTGTCTCCTTATAACTTATTGCGAAATTGTTGAGTTTAAATGAAAGCTGTATATAAAACACATGTTTATTCGGTAAACCATTTCATGTAAATATGGCTCGCTACATATGTTGCATAAATAGTGTTGAAATGCGTAAAATGGATAATCCAAGATACTGTAGGTTGTTGCGTTAGGAGAAAGTTTATAGCCATTTTCTCATTAAAGTTCAATGACCTTTTTCTCAACTAACAGTCCATAAAACGACAAAGACCTATCAATAGCGTTTGATACAAATTTGCAGACTTGTTGCAAACTTTGTGTGTTTAGATGTCTGTCAAATAATTAACAGCTTTCTAACTAAACCTTTATTAAGATTTTTAAGTAGACGTGCAAATAATTGCAAATGGTAGCGTTGTGACAAAACCGTAAAACCGTAAAAACAGATGGTACGAAAAATAATAAAAATAGATTACGTCAATGGTGTTTATTTAAGTTTTTTTTACGATTTTTTATTTCTAATTAACACCCCCCCCCCATTTTAAACAAACCCTTATAAAAAAAGAAACTGTTCAAATTGAATGAGTAATCTTGATGCTCATTGGTTGAACTCGTATAAAAAGATGTAAACTTACGTTTTACCGTTCGCGTCATTTTGTTCGAACAATACCTGGGACAGAATAAATTCTGAATGCACGATGTTGGGGAACTGTTTTAAAATGAATAAAAACAAATAGTTTACTGCATTTTGTTTTTACTTTTGTTTAACTTTTCTCTAAGAAATCATATCATCATTACTAATACATTTACATCATCATCGTATTCATCATCGTCATCATCATTATAGCTCTTTACCTTTAAAATTTAGAAAAGCCGGTGTTTCCAGAAAACTTTGTGCCGTACAAAATTGTTATGCAATAGATATAACACAAAAACTTTATGAAATGTTAAGTGTTAAGCTATTAAAAGAATTTTCCTACCCAATCTAAATAAGCCAATGTGAAGATGTATATTAAGTACATAGTATATAGATATAAAGGTATTTCCAAATTATCGATGTGAAAAGGTGTACAATGTCCTTAAAGAGTCCCCACTCCTCTGTAATTCCCAATTAGGTTATTTATATAACCCTAACAAATCGTGAAAGTTCCTTTTGTTGGCACTGTGTGACCTTGTTGTGTAGATCTCAAATATTATGAACTACCAGTATACCTTTTCCTTTGTTTTCATTTTCTAATTTTAGGGGAGACAGCTGTTTAGTTATTTCAAGTATTCGCTTTTTGTAAAAACTGATGCGGAATGATGTATTTAACTATTTAATACACGGTGTAAAATATGTTTAATTTAATCATTGTGAAAAGTACTTAATTTCTGGTTGAAAGTATGGACTTTTTTTAACGCTTGTGGCGATTGTAATCAGTCTGTGACACAAGTATAAAATCAGGTCGGCTTTCACATAGAACCAGACCCTAAATCGTTAGTTGCCGAATTTTACGATTGTTATATTATAATCCTTCATATTTTAAATGGACAGTTTGGCGTTACGAACCGGATCGGTCCATTACCTGTTGATACAAATAATATGCGTTTAAATTTAATGTTAAATATATTTCAACATTATTCTCGGTTATTTCGCAATATTTTATACTATGTCGATTTTAAATGATTGTATTTTAGTAGAAATGTATATTTATGTATATTGTTCTTTGATTAAATAAAAATAAAAAATGGTAAGTTAAAATCTCACATGTATTATAAATTGAATAAAAAAAATTTTTTTTCTTACTTTTTATAAACTTTTAAAAGGCTTCTTTAAGCAGTTAAAAACCCAGCAAGATATAAATTGTCAAAAAGCAAATAACTCATCAAAAGCAACCTTAAAGTTATAAAATCAAGATGTACCATCATGAGTAAAAATAACATAAAAGGACATACCTTCATATAACACAATACAGGGACTATGTTTTGACCTTTCGGCCGTTGTCACGGTGGATTTGGATATAGCCACTGCCAATATAGTTAACGCGTATCTCTTAATATAGTGTGTAGTATATAAATTATGCACAGTTGATAAAATATATTGAGTGGCCTTCAGTGCCTATAATGGCACATTTTTGCCCCCATAAAATACTGATATACCCAACAGTATATAGATGATGCGTAGTTTTGGATAAACTATTGTCATTTGATGATACATTATAAATTACTCAGATAGTTGTTGATGCAGCCTACAGTTCGATAAAAAATAAACTGATATTGTCTAAAGTATATTAATGACACACAGTTGTTTTATAAACTATTTATATACCCTACAAAATATAGATGACGCGTAATTTTGAAAAAAGCCAAATTCGACCTGAAATATATAAATTGCACAAAGTTTTTTTTCCTTATAAAATGCATAATGTACAAGTGACATGCATTTAATGAAATATATAGATTTATCCTGTAGCATATAAATGATGTTGAGTTTTTGATGCACTTTTGATATAGTCGCACAGTATATAAGTTAAATTTAAACAAATATTGATATCACCTTCTGTATATAAATAATGCATAAAAACCTGTTAAAATAGGAGTTAAATGAAAAAACCTGACAAAGGAGCAAACTAAACTACATGTAAAATAATATGAACAGTAACTCTAATTCAATTTCATCGGGACACGGGATAAAGGTGAGAGAAAAGGTATGACCCGCATTCATTGTACAGTATCATAGTATTTCATAATCAACTGTATAAGTGCTCTAAATAAGTCTGTCACTGTTTTGTTCACGTACATTCTCTGATTTCTCTCCGAAAAAAAAAACCCGAACCGAACACAAGTAAGAAGTCTGTGATAGTCAAATATTTCGTCAGCGATCGACATTTTACAACAAAGTCGTATTAAACATCCAAACTTAACACATTAAAATTATTTGGTAATATCCTCCTAGAATATATTTCTGAATATTTTCGGAGTTAAGAAAACCCCCAAGAAAAGCCATTAAACTAGAATAGTAGTCTATAAAGCAGGATAACACTTCTTTGACATATTTGTTATTTAAAATGTTCACTTCACGTTCTTTATATGCTTCTTGCATATGATTAAAAATAAAAAAGAATTTTATTTTCCTTATTGAAAATGATATACAGTATAGGAAATAGATTGCTGAAAAATATAACAATTAGATGAAATAAAATTTTTGATATATCATGTTCTAAATAAATATAAATCATCGGCATAAACATAAGCAATAACAAACTCATTTACATCTGATTCTGATAGTACAGTAATATAGGGATTTTAATTTGATTTAAAAAATAAAAAGCAAATTCTGTTTTACATGAAAGATATAAAAAGTAAAGTAATCAAACATTTTTGTGTAAAAAGAAATAAATAAATACAAAATTTTTCGGATTTTTTTTTCTTGGTCTTGAATGTCTGGAACTAGCTAAAATGTAACTTAAAACGGTAAGTTTATTATTTCTTTCAAACAAAATTGTATAGGCTTAAAGTTTTTTTTTAGATAAACATAGTATCACTGTTTGCAAGTGAGAGTAAACAGAAAAGTTTAACGTATATTTTGAATGTTGTAGTAACGTCATAAATAAACAATCATTCCACCGTTTAATCGAAAGACGTATGTTTCCTCTCCTCGCAGAACACCGCAACATGCCGCTGGAAGATGCCATGAAGCTAATCGCTTCCAGTTTTGAGAAGTACATCCAGACGCAGCGTGAGAAGGCAGCCGCGCCACCTGCGCATTGCCGGGAGCAACTCCAGCACCAAGTGCTCCCCCGTTCCTACCAGCGTCAGCTGATATTGCGTACCTTTTAAATTTACTGGCAGATAATCGCCAGCTTACAATTGAAGAGTTAGGAAAAGTTATCGACTATCTAAAAGAACGTAGGGAAAAACTGATGATAAATGAGGGTATACGGCCACCAGCAGAGAGTAAGTTTAATTTAAATACAATAATGAAATATTTCCCAGTTTTTTGTACTCTTTTTATTAACAAAGCAAACTTAATAAAAATAAGAACAAATATACAAAATGAATAAGATGTTTCTTAAAAGCGAGTAGTTTTGGATGATAGCTGGGCTTTTAATCCATTTATAGCAGGCGTCTTCTCCATAGAAAATTCGTAAAAATAGGCAGTTTTCTGTTGAAATTCAATTTTCTTCTCTTTTTGCAAAAAAATACTTTGCTAATTTCCCCAACTTAAAGGGAAGGACCCGATTGGTTAAAATAACCCTTGTATAGGGCTGTCTTGCTGTTGGTTTGGACCTTGTTGAAAACATCATTCTTTTATTCAATTACTCCAAGTATTATTTTTTAAATGTATGAGTTTATAGAATACCAGGTTTTGTCATTTAGAATTAGAGCCAATAAAACAGTATTTTGTTTGAAACTTTCTGTTTTATGTAAAACACATTTGTTCACCTCCCAGTCATGCATAATTCACATAATTTCATGTGTGCTTTTGTGTGAAGATGTTTTGACCATGTTTGACAGTCACAGCTTAAACAGTATATTAAATTACTTCAGTTATATAAAATACATAACGTGTTCTTCCTTCATGGTGCAACCACTCTACCTGTTTTGGAAAATAAGCACTATTTTTAATAATTTGGAGGATCAAAATATATTGAATGCCTATCAGTGTAACACTGAAAGAAATGTAGTTACTAGTGGTTATGCTTGTAGGGTAAGCTTTGACCTTGTGGTAAAGTTGTGTGCCTTTATGTCAAAGCTTTATTTAGATTTGTTTTTAGATTAAAAGTTGGTCGCTTACAAAGAAATCCGATAATTACTGGTTAGTTATCCAGCACAGTTGGTTAGGTGATCTGACTGCTGAAGTAATTCTAGAAATTTGTTACAATAGGTGTTAAAACCAATCAGAAACCAGGAGATCATGGCCATGTTTCGCATTACAACAGGTTTTGTTCTATGAATCTCATTTGGAACAGGTTATTAAAATTTGCCTGAATTTGTTTCATAGTCAAGATTCAATAAATAGGTTTAAACTGATATACATGAAAGGTCATGTTCCGCAATATGTCTAACAGCCATTTTGAAGATTGAAACACTTTGCCGGGCATTTTTAGAGAATATCTTTGTAAACAATAGTTTGAGAAATTTTTTTCAACTTTTCATTCAATCCTTTTACTCTCAATATTTGCCTCCCTGTTTTAGCCTACATTGTTCCAATTCTGTCTAAGTCCCAGGAAAAGTAATTGGCTAAAGATAGTTTTTCATATATTTTGAAAATCCTTGAGTGGTTTTAAAGTAACTTCAGTGATTTTGAAAAGATTTGCATTTTGAAAATGTTTTAAAAGACATGGTGTTTATGATATAAGATTAAAACCATATGATCTGGCCAAATCATAAGGTGATCATGTCTAACAATAAAATAGATTGAGTTACGATTTGTAAAAATGATTGAGCATAAAATTCATACTAACTTTTTCTTTGTTGTAGGTGCTGGCCCACCAAGACCAGCTCCCACTGGGGTTCAAGCCCCAAGTGCCAGTGCAGGGGACAGTACCTCTGCCTTCCTACAGCAACAGCAACAAGAACTTCAAAACAAAATTCTCAACATACTAAATGGATCAGGATCCTCGGTACCGAGTGCGAGCCAGTCAGCAGCCATCCAAGCCCAGTCCGTATATGGTGGTTCGGGAGGTGGTACCCCAGCCAGACCTCAACAGAACCAGCAAGGATCTAATCCATTGATTAACTTTGATAACCCAAATGTTCAGAAGGCATTAGATAATCTGATTCAGAGTGGACCAAGTCTGTTGAAAAGTTTGCCATCAACTGTGACCCAGTCAACATCCCCTAGGTCAAGTTCCTATCAACCAAATAATCAACAAGGTGCCCGCCAGCCAGGTGGTTATCCAGGACAGCAGGGACAGCAAGGGAGCCAGGGTGCTCAGGCTGGTTACGGTGGATCTCAGTATGGTCAGTTTCAACAGCAATCCCCAATGCAAGGTCAGGCTGCACCTAGGGGACCCCAACAGGGAGGTTTTGGTGCACAGCAACAGAGGGGTCAGATTGGAGGTGCAAGGACCCCACAACAGGCTTCTAGGCCAAGATACTAAACATCAGTCTCTAGCTTTCATTAATAAATCAAACAATTATATTGATAAAAGTCAGTATTTGTGCAGCAATGTTGTTATAGTTTTTGTTAGTGCTTTAATAAATGAATACAGTAATGAGTATGCCAATTAATGATATTTTAAATATCCCTTTTACAAAACAATGTATTTTAAAGTTGTATATATTTTTCAAGCAGACAGGCATTTTGAGAGGTAGGTTATAGGTTAGTGTTTTGTCACCTTAGGAATTCAAACATTTACTACTGTTTAATTAAACATCTTACAAGGTACATGTATTGTATAATGAAATTTTCTGTTGTTCAGCCAATATTTCTCTTGCTGCATGTTGATGTTAATTTAAATGACATAAGCATACAAAATGTACAGTGTTAAGTAAGGGCTGCTTAAATTTCTTTTCTTTAATAGATGAAATAAGTTAATAATAGATGTTCAACAAGTATTAAAGTGTTATCCAGTCACCGGTAGTGGTGCATACAGCAAGGCCAAACCTCCAGGACAGAGCCAGGCCAAACCCATTGGAACAGTCTATAGTTGTTTTCTTTGTTAAATGTTGTACTTTTATCACCAGTCATTCATTTTCATATTGACATTTCATGCCTAATCATGTGACATCAGTTGTTGGTGTACTTTACCTTTGTAAATTTAATAAAAGATTGACTAAAAGTAATGGTGTTAGTTCCTTTAACATGCGTTATTTCATTAGTTTTCATTATCACTGTCTTGTCATCAAATCATCTAAAAAGTTTTCCATGATAGAGTCATCAACATGTCTACCTAATCATCATAAGAAAATTGCCAATCTCAATCAATGTCAAGTTATGTTCTTTAACTTTTTTCTTCACATCAAATTTTATCAGTTTAAAAATAAATTTTCGTTTTTGGGGATATAGAAATTTTGTCGGTAAATAAATTGTCTTTTTTGAAACGTAAAAAATTATAAGGATACACAATGATTTCTGATGACAACTTGGTCACACGCGTAGATCGTACCTAATTTCATTTCAATTAACAGAGCTATATTGCTAACAAATAGTTCTTACGATTTCGGTATTTTGTTTTGCTCTTCCACATCTTACACAATAAGTTTACTCCTCGTTAGGTCTACCATTTCTACTGGCCTTTATAATTATGAAGACCTGATTGGTTTATAATACATATAATATGTACTTTTACCATTGTAACACCATTCATAGTCATCAAATCAGTGTTTTATTAATTAATTTTAATTTAATTTTATTAAGAAGCCATGAACTTTTACAGCCACTGCAGGTTGCAGGACCCCCAATTGTTCACACGTCGTCAAGTTGTTTGATTGTGTGCCTTTTTCACCGTTCTTCAGTGATAGCTAGCTTTTACCACAAAAACCGCATCTTGTTGGACGTCCAGATCCTAAGGAATCAATCCAAGGATTGACATCTCCAAACAATTGCAAGATGTATATAAGGTGAAGTTAATATCAAAAGTACGCTTTGTTATTAAACCTAACCCTTGTAGAGTGCAAGAGAACAAAGTGTTAAGCCTTTGTCAGGCCAGTCTTAAACATTTGAGCTGTCATAACTTTTCAGAATAGAATTCAGCTTTTCATCTCTATATACTCTAATTGACATAGGGAGAAATTATACAGGCTGTAAGCTTTAATTATAGGATAGACTTTACATCACTTCGTCCAGGATTCTATTGCCAACATACTTAACCTATCTTCTAATGAGAATGTATTTACCCAGTTTCTAAAATCTGTTGCAATAGCCGGTCCGTCTGTTGATGTGAAACTGAGGTGATCGTTTGTTTTAGTTTAAAAAAAAAAATTAAAAAAATAAACCCGCTTAAATTTTAAAATCAAACACAAACCCCGGATGAGGGTTTGGGGAAAAATGGTTTTCCCACCCGGATTTTTTTTTAACCCTTTTTTTTTTTTCTTGTTGGGGACATTTTTTCTCACTGCTGCCCCCAAATTCATTCCCTTTAATCTGATGGTGTTTTTATGATAGTGCCATAGATTTACAATATCAGGGGTGGGTTCTTGTCGAAATTTTAAAAGGCTAAAAAACTGTTTACTTTTAAAATCTTGCAGTTTTAAAGTATTATTTTACAAATCTCCCGGAAATTTTTAAATATTAGTATCTCGCCCCTTGCCCGGTTCGGATTCCAATGCTTTGTTTCTTTCCAAGACTTTTTATTCATTACCTATCAGTCCCGTAATTGCCATGCAAGCATGTCATTTCGAGATATGCAAGTAATTTGACGATTTCTTGAAAGTGTTCAATTTCGGAGGTCGCCAATTCATTCAAGTGAACTTCAGCTACATCCATATGGATAAAATTGCTGAGTAGTGTACATAGATCACTAAGATCAGTACATTTACGTGTTTTGTCAACATTGCAATTCCATGTCTATGAAAAATTTTGTTTAGAAGGAGCGAGCATATTACAGCCCTCATTGATGTGTCACCCAAATGACGGGACGATGACGTGTTTTTACAAGGAGAAGAAATATGAAATGAGGTAAGACCGTAGTTTTTGCAGCTATCACTCCGAGTCCGCTGAACATTAGTAATTTACTGTATCAAATATCGGGAAATCTATAAAATATCGCGTCATAGACAAATCGTTATTTACGGTAGGCGCGATTTTTTCCCGAATAGTTAAAACCGGATGCGCAAGAAGAAAAATGAAGTATGCACTCCCATCATTGTAGGCCATCATTTAAAATGACATTTTAACTGCACTTAGTTAGTCTTCCTAGTGCACGCATTAAGAAATTCCCTGTCCTTTACAAATATATTATACTGCCCGTTTTCAAATGTTTTCGGATATTTTTTCAACACTGACGTTATTTCAGGCGAGTGCTTTTTTGTTTGATATTCACTGTATATTGCAATGAATGAATGAGTTCAGTATCAAGCTAACGCGTTTCTTGTTATTCATCACAAAGAAAAAGTCATCAATAGATATTCCAATGTTACGTTTGTATGGTACGTTGATACAGGCATACATGTTAGTATGGGAAAAGAAACTAAGAATAAATGTAATATAAATTCTGAAAAGGGACACATTTGTGACACTGAACAGTAAAAAATTACAAAGATAAAAATTAAACAATTTTATTATTTACAATATATTCTTATTTTCGTGTTATTAAGGTTCAAGGGAAAATATTTTCGTCCGTTTTGTGCGATCACGTTTACCGGTGAAAAAAAAACGACATTTTTATACTTCATGTGCTGTCACTGCATAACGCGTTTGGAACTCCTTGTCGATGGTTCATAATCATCTCGGAAATAAAATTTATTGAAAAAAATCTACTGAGAAAGGACAAAATTATACTGCCTTTCATTTGTCGATAATCGTAATGTTTCAAAAATATTAAAAATGTTTGAACCCCCTTTAAAAAAATTTCGTAAAACCAAAAATTTTAAAAAATATATATATTCACCTTTTTTTTGTCCAAAAAAAATGTTTTTTGTCTTTTTTTTTCGAAACACTAACCGGGCGTTTTTTTTACTTTGGGGGCTGTCAAAAGGCATAAATTTCGTTTGGGGCACCTCGCCGGGTGGGTCAAAATAATCTCCTTTGGGGAAAAAAAAAAGATTAGAAAAAATCACTGTGAAAGGACAAAAAATTTACAGCCCCTTTTAAATTGTCGATAATGGGCAAAAACAAATGTTTTTAAAAAAGTTTAATTTAGCTGTATAAAAAACATTTCATGAAAAATTCATCAAAACATAAATTTAATTTTTTAAAGGAAAATATTTTCGTTCCTTCTGTGCGATAACTTTTACCGGACGACATTTTTATACAACATGTGCTGTCACGACATTTCGCGCCAATGATTCGCTATCATCTCGGAAATAAAACTGATCTGAGTCTTCCATGTAGCGATATTATCACAGAAAATACAGTTCCACAGATGAAAAATTAACAATATTCAATTAATTCAAATTTTCGTGTCTTTTATGTTTACGGGAAAATATTTTCGGCCGTTTTGTAGGACCTTCTGTTGACCGGTGACAAAATAAACGACATTTTTTTACTTCAAGCGCTGTCACGGCATATCGCGTTTAGAACACCTCGCCGATTGTTCATAATCATCTTGGAAATAAAACAGACTGAAAAAAATACCATCATGCGACTTTTGATTTACAGGGTGTAATCTTTTTATAATCAGAACGTATTATTTTGTTGAAAGTTTTCTATTTCAATTATAATTTTGTGATTAAAACATATGTTTGTCATTCAGAATCGATTTAAAAATACAACTAGACAATTATAACCAAATCCGAATTATTTAAAATTAGTTGGTCGTTTGTTCTTTTGGGTTCATGATATAGCCGATTAGATCAACTAATGATCAACCCAAAATCTGCCTTTGCCATCCAATAAATAAAATGTTGACGAGATTTCAACGTTTGACTTACAGAACTGTTTGTAGTGTAGCATGAGTATTATGAAATTTAAGTGAAAAAATTACTACCAAGTCATTAAAGACGGTTTATAAGTAAATTTGCACAAGCTGCTTTTTTATGTGACCAAGTAAATCCTGGTGACATGTTTTACATTATTCATGTTTATCGTGCAAAAGAAAGGGGAAAAGACAACATATGATATTTTACTCGGACGTTAATTCGTACAAAACATACGCTGTACTGCATGAATATGCATTGTACTCAATATTTTTACAAAACATTCTTTCAATACGGACCCTTTCATTCGTAATTTTTAAAAAGGGGCATATTTGAAGGTAGAAAAACTGGTACCTTGACGTATTTTAATACGATGTGCATAGTGATTTTTTTTTTTGACAATATATAAAATCTTCGGTAAAAGGTCAACTGAATAAAATATAGCTCTCACTTTTAGATTTCTTGGCGAAAATCAAAAATCGCCTTCATGATTTTGCAGATTACAAATAACCTCAATTGTATTGAAATTCGTGTGTTCTTTCCGACTTTTTTCCGAAACTAAAATACATTTTTTTTTAAAAAAAACCTCGTATTTATGCTTTTCGCAGCTAATGATCATAACCGATTTAGATAAATTATAATTGTTAACCGTCGAATCAAATAAAAGTTATGAATGTAAAAATATCTGTCTGTTATGTATATTAAATGTTATAAGTGTTTCCAAGTGGTCTGCTATTTGCAGAATTAATCACAACGAAAAAAGTATCGCTGCATGCCAAACCTATTAATAGTCTGATAATGTTTGTCACGTGGATATATTTTTATATTGCATTACTTACAGTCCATTTTGCAAGTAATCAGGACTACTACTTGATACTGTCCTTGTGTATAATATCTATCAAACTGAGAAACTAAAATTATTAACAATGGTAGTTCACCAAAGACCTTATCAACTTAAGAAAACCTTAACATTGCTCTTCTGTGTCAACAAAGGTATATCACTGTATGAAAGGTTGAAATATCTTCAAAGCTCAGAAAAATTAAAGATTGTCTACTGCATAAGGTCATGGAACGTTATATTACATTCTGTAATAATAAATTCTGATAAGGTCCTATTGAAGCCGTGGTCCGGACACATATTTTATTAAAATATGAATTTTTGAATGCAACATGGCACCGCTTGTTCACTGTCTTTTAGTGCACGGTGATGTCCTCTATACGCGGTCATGATTTAAAGCCCATTTTGCAAAAAAAATGCAATAAAACCGACACGTAAAACGTTCACAAGTGTGCAAGGCAGTGGACCACTAAATTTTGTATATTGTATAAAAATGAAGTGGTTTTTACCATTCTTGCTACGATATAATACAGAATAATGATTGTAATCACCAGAAAAGCAATTGCATTGTTAATTACAGCGAGTATATCTTACATTAAACTTTCAATTAACAGAAAGAAATATTTTACGAGTTGCCGGTAATGCTTTATCACTGTAAATTGAATTTACATATACACCGATAATTACGATAGACTGGTGAACGAAATATAAATCGGAAACGGACATTGCGACGTAAATGTATTCGAACCGTTCTAAAAGAGTGTCGTGTCGCCATTTTGTTTCGGAAGTAATTTCTTGGGAAAACCCTGCAAGATATTTTTCGAGATTTTAATGCCATTTTACTAAAATGCCTCAATATATTCAGGTAACAGACGACGAAAATGAAGAGGCTGTTGAAATCCCAAGTGAAGAGGATGGTACTCTTCTACTTAGCACAATATCCGGACAGTTTCCCAACGCCTGTGGATTGAAGTACAGAAACCCACAAACTGGAAATTTCCGAGGGATACGCCTAAGTGATAACAAGCTCCACCCACCAGACAACGGCTGGAAAAATCATACATACCTCGTTGTTTTTCCAAAAGGTATACATCAATGACTTTGCAACTAATTAATAGAGGTTGATAAATGATAATGCACATTGTATAATTAGAACATTAAATTTATTGGAGCACTTCGCAGTAAAAGTCCATGTTTCATTTTTCAAACCCTTAGCTTCTAAACCTAACCCTTACCCTTAAACACTTACTCTAACCATATCCCTAGAAGTAATTGAGTGATTTTGTAGAGAAACATCAGTGATTTTTTTCCCTGTATTTTACAGCCGAATAAAGGCTGTTTCCCCTAGCTAAATATAGGTATATTTTCCCCTAAAAAAGCTAATATTTTCCCCTGTTATGCCCTGTGCACTTCACCAGAACCATTACTTAACAGCATCTGACTTATTATATCAGCTAGAATCCCTAAAGCCTCTGCTATGTACCATGCATGATAAATTGAATTGAAATTAAAAATTTTATATAATGTGTGGGTAACTATTCCACTCTCAGTTGTTGGAATTTGATTTCCCCCTTTTCTGATTTATCGCGCTATATTTTCCCCTTCAGAAAGCCACAGGTTGTTTTGAAAATTGGAAAAAAAATCACTGAACATATATATTGAAGAAATAATACTGGGTAAAATTATAATGTGAAAAATAGCTGCGGAGAGATTTCTAAAGTCTAGCCAATTTATTTAATACAAAAATAAAGTAAAAGATTTAATTTGGATCAGGAATCTTACAATTGTTCTCGCCTGACTATAATATTCACTTGCAAATGCAAGCGGGCGTTTGGACCTGTCGAAGCCTGCACTTATTTTAACACACACATCGCCATAGCAAACCACTTGCCCCTCACCGCTGTGGGTTCGAATCCCGACAGGGACTTTGGATTCTTTCATGTGAGGAAGCTATCAAGCTAGCTTACGGAACGTCGGTGGTTCTACTCAGGTGCCCGTTCATGCCTGAAATAATGCACGGAAGGGCACCCTGAGGTCTTCCTCCACCAGTAAAGCTGGAACGTCGCGATATGACCTATACTGTGTCGATGTGATGTAAAACCCAAAACAAACAAACATCGCCATAGTGGCAGTGCAGGCACTTCTCCCCGGTTTTACTTTATACATGTAGAATGGACTTTGACTTAAATTGCCAGCTAAGGTGACAGTAGTCCAATATATTACACGTTACAGGCTTGTTATAGTTTTATGTAGGTCAAGTCTGATGTCTAATAGTTATTGCTCATAAATGCATAGCATTTTTAAAAAAAACAAAAGATGTCTTTTATCTTGCCTTTCAAGCTTTATTCAAAAGCTTATCTTCTTTTCTTTCAATTTCATGCTCAATCATTAACAAAAACTCTGAAACAATGTACTTAATAACTTATCAATTAAAAATAAAATAAAAACATCAATTTAGTTTTGCCAATCGGCCATACTGGTTAAGTAAAGTGCTTTACAGATTGATTCCACATTTTTGAACGAAAAAATATATTCGAACACCCTGACGGTGCATGAGCAATTATTTCGTTAAAAAAATATTCTGTTAAAAACTTCTGACTCATTTAAACGCTTGCATTTGAATTAGCCAATAAGATTTCGAGCACTGTATGGCGGCCATTTGTTTATCGGCTGTACAAGGAATTTAATTATAAATGAGAGGATGTGACAGTTTAATTATTTTGTTAAAAGGTATTTATTTTTTAGCGTTGTTTATAAATAGGTCAAAATTAATGTAAATACACGCTGTCTTAATTGTTTAAATGCATTAGATCTAAATCGATGTCTAATGTCAAATTGTTTGCTACATGTTTTTGCAGTGATCTGTTAAGACCTAACGTAACATGAAAAATGTAAAATATCAGATTAATAACTGATAAATATGAAATAGGTTACGTATAGGTCTTATAATTAGGACTAAGGTGACAGCAGATGCTAAACTCCATGTGAAATGTTTTGCGCATACGCACATGTGTATTTGCCCTTTGATTTTGTGGTTAAAATAGTAATCAAATCACTGCATTGAAAACTGTTATATATATATAATATTTTCATTAGAATTTAGACTGTTTTTTGCAATGAGTAAAATGGCAAAAGTCTGTTAAATTTTATTGATATAGTTTGCTTAATTAATCATACAGCCTGGATGTAATATTATAGATTGAATACCATGTACTTCGATGGTGTAAACAAACATGTTTATGTTTGAACTTACCATAATTTGTCTATAATTAAGTTCTGACTAACACTAAATATGTCAAAAGCTTTTAAAGTTACAATTTGGTCAGGCTGAAGGTAAGAATTAAAGGTAAAGGTTTCCCTTAATTTTGTAAAGAATTTTATTTATAACCAGCAATAACTGAATCGGATATTTTTCCTTGCTTGATTCAAATGTATGGTTTTTGCTGGATAAACAATTTCTAATAAAAATAGCATTACAGTATGCAAGAAAAAATGAAACATGTTTTATCTGGTTACACAAATAATAGAAATACTGTTATTTCCCCCTATATGGCAGCCCTAATCTGCCTGCAATAAATATTTTTTTGCAACTAACTGCCGAAAAATGTTTTATTTCATGCCTGTAAGAGTTACTGTTAAGCAAGGTTGTTTACAAATCGTTTTCTGGTAGGTAAGGGGAGCTACTCCCGGCGTCCCAACAAGTTTAACATGTGACGCATCGATATTTTAGATCCGTATATTAAGAAAAAGAGACATATTTTAAACTTGTGTTGCAAGAGTTGCTCCCCTTTTCCATCGCAAAAAAAAAACGTAAAATAAGTAAACAACTAAAATTTCCCTTCCAAAGGGCACCGACCCCCTTCCCCCAAAAGTGAAAAAAAACACTGATAAAGATAATCTGGTGTTTTGATAGTGTTCTCTGGTTTTTCGGTTTGTTGTGTGTCACACAGGCTGTTTTCTCTATTACAATTCACATCCATGATAGTTCTATCAAAAAACATGCCTTTGCACATGGGGCAAAGAAATTGAACTGATGAACATATGTATACAAGTTTGGTAAATAGTCACATATTTTGTTAATGTTTTATTTTATCACGGATTTATTTACAGACAAGAAGAAAGGAGCTGTAGGCGAAGATATAAGCTTAAAGACTAGTCTCAGTGAAAAGAAATGTAGTGACCTCATCGTGTTAGGGCTACCTTGGAAGAGTTCTGAGGAAGACCTAAGAAATTACTTCTCAAAGTTTGGTGAACTCCTGCTTGTACAGGTACGAAATGTTCAATATAAAATGACCATTTGAAAATGTTAAAGGAAAAGTGGGGTGCAGTCCCATTGGTCAAGATTTCTAATTGAAAATTCCCTATGTTTCACAGCTGTTGAGTGGAACACTAAATCAGGTTTATCGGTTTATCTAAAGGAAAGTTTTTGGGTGTATTAAGATGTTGTCAGTTTGTCTGAAATAGTGCACAAAGAAGCACCTTAAGCTTTAAGGCTAATAAAAGTGGAAAGTTACTAGTTCTTAGTTTGACTATTCAGCCTGAATAAGGTTTCTTACTTTACTGAAATTGTTTCTGCAACTGTTAGGTTTTTAATGCAACTTTCTATGGATTTCTATGGAATTACCGTATTGTTTCCATTTATCGCCCCCGGGGCGTTGCAAAAACGGAAACGGGGGGCGTTAATTAGAAGCACATTTGCATAAAATGAAAATTAATTTTATGTTTAAAAATATCTAAAAAATCTCCCAACTATTTTCGTCCTATAAACCCCTTGTTCACGTACGATAAATAAGCAGCACAAAATTATTGTAGACAATACGGTAGTCTGCTGACCAAGATAAACTTTGTTAAGTATTGATTTTTCCTAAATTAGTACTAACACCCATCAGTTTACCTGTGTGTAAAAAAACTTGATTCAGTGATTTAATCAATACACAATAGAAGGTTGCACTTCTAAGAAAACGTACATGAATGCATTCAAACTGGAAGTTGAATGTTACTTGGAAGTTACAACAGTTAGTTTTTTTCTGTTTATTTTTTTTAAATACACTTCGGATATTAAAATTTTCAAGTCAGGTAAGAATTTTTTTTTCATTTTTCACCCAGGGGGCGCTAATTAGAAGGGGGACTATAAATAGAAACAATACGGTATATTATTACACTTTTGTACCTGTAAAATTTCAAAATCTATCGTTGAAACTTGACACATATCTTCAGTGTTATAGGAGTTGGTCACTTACCGAGACTTATTACTGTACAGTTCCTACTGACAAAATACTACTACCTCATATCTTATGAAAACTAGGTGTTTACTTTTAGCACACAGTATGTAGAGTTGATATTAATTTTTCTTTTGTAATTTGTCAATTTCAGGTGAAACGAGATCAAAAAACAAGCCAATCGAAAGGCTACGGGTTTATACGTTTCCATAAGTATGAAGATCAAATGAAATGTATGTCCCAGCGACACAACATTGATGGTAGATGGTGCGATGTTACCATTCCAAACTCAAATGTAAGTTTGTGTCAAAAAGATTTTTGGTAATATCCATTTTTATAAATTATATAATTATGTGTTTGAAATTTTTTGGTCACTCACGTCTTGGAATTACAAACAGAAGTCGAGCCTTGAACTATTATCCAAGTCCTTAGCAAAACCATGGAGAATCTTATGTTACTGTACTGTCTGTACTTGAATTTAATGAAATTGTATTGCAATTCTAAAATACAGTAACATGGAATTAGAACTTTTTGTGTACACCAGCTTACAATCTGAGTTTTTAATGTCTTTTTCCTGAAAGTAGGCATAGACAAGCATCTCTTGAGAGTTGCATCTTAATGGCTTTTATGGCTGATATTGTTTCCTAGGCAGTGATCTTTTTCAGTTTTCAAAACAACCTGTTGCTTGCTGAAGGGAAAATAATTGCAAGATAAATCAGAAATAGGGGAAATTCTGAAATCATATTCCAACAATTGAAAATGGAATTTACCCAATAATTTTCAATTTCAGTTCAGTTTAAAATGCATGGTCCATAGCAGAGGCTATCTATAGGAACATCTTTCTGTTGTTCAGTCAGTTAAATTTATCAACTAGCTGCTGTTAAGTCATGGTTCTGATGAAGAATGTGCTTGGGGCATTTCAGTTATATAAGTTAACAGATGGCATTGTAAATAGAAAAATGTTTTTATAATATTTTTAATATTATACCCCCCACAAAGTTGTTGGGGGGGGGGGGGTGTCATTTAGCCAGCAAACTTGTCGGTTTGTCTTTCAATCTAGTTTCCAGATAATAACTTTGAACGAAGTAATGGCTTTTAATAATATTTGGTGCACTGATGTTATATCATAAAACAGAGGTGAAATTCCTTATCATGACAGTAAGTCACATTTAATTATTTAATTTACCAGTGCATAGTCCAACCACTGCATTGTTCCCGGTCCGCCTCATACAGTATATATTGTAATGACGACTAATGTCAGCTGATATATATATATATATATATGAAGGCAATATTTATTAGATTGACCACCTTATAAGATATGAGAATCATAGAAAATTCAATATTTGGTTGGGTAATTACAAGAACATGATTTTGAAATGTCATTTTAGGAAGGTGCACACCAAATGATCAACCGTAAAGTGTTCATTGCTAGATGTACAGAAGATATCACATCAGACGATCTCAGGAATTATTTCTGTCAGTATGGCGAGGTGGTAGACGTTTTCATCCCGAAACCATTCCGATCATTTGCGTTTGTCACATTTTCGGACCCTGAAGTTGCTCACAGTCTTTGTGGGGAAGATCATATAGTAAAAGGTGTAAGTGTCCATGTGAGTTATGCGGCACCAAAAGGAACAGACCGATTTGGAGACAAGAAGGTTCAGCCAGGAGTTCAAAATGGCCCTGTTCAACAAAGGGGAGGTAACTATACACAGTTGGTGAATCATCAGGGGACTTGGCAGCCACACAAAAATAACCAGATTGCAAAACCAATGGGCTTCCCTCCAAACATGCCACCACAGGATATGAATGCTGTTGGTATTAACCTATTCAATTCTGCGATGATGGCAGCTGCACAAGCCATGCTGCAGGGTCAGGGTGGTAACTGGGCACATATGACTCCTCCCCCTGGCCCGCCTCCGCAACATCATCAGCCTGTAGCCTCGGGTGATGCAGGGGTTCCTCAAACTGCAGGTCATGTTTACGCTGCACCACAGACCAGTACAGCCTGGGGATGGGGTGGACATCATGCGACTGAGCCTCAGCCTGGGAGTTACGCTGGTTGGAGTGCTTCCAACAGACAGCAGCAGGGGTGGAGCTAATAAAGGTGTTCATGCATGGGTGAAAGAGGTAACTGAACTGAAACTAGAAAAAAAAATCATACTCTTTTGATTTTACCTCTATGTATAATGTTAGATGCTAGTCTTCCAAGTTGGTCAAATGGGTATTGCTCGGTCATAGATATTTCAGATGTAGACAAAGTGTGTGTTTTAAATGCTTGAAACCTGTAATTTGTAAGAAAAATCTTTTTAAATCAGTTTTCTAGTCTTGAATTTACTGATTTACCTATTTAACTTGTCACTTTCAACCTTAAGGTTGCTGTCAGAGCCATGCAACCAGTGCAGACCAAGGTCAGCCTGAACATCCACAACATCTGATCATGGTCTGCATTGTTTGCTATCCAGTCAGTGAATATTTTGAACTTTTCTATGAAAATGATAAATGGTTTGGTCCAGATTTGAAAGATGCAAAATTCCATTTAAGATATATAGCGTTGAAAAGGTTAATTATTCATGATAATACAGTTTCAGTTCAGGTACTTAAAATTCCAGGGGTCACATTCTGTTTATTACTGGCAAGTATTTTAATAAGAGCCAAAATGAATTAGGAAAGTTATATGACTGGAATGGGCTTAATATTGCAGTATTGTGAGCCCTGGAAATGCGTGTAAATAGAGAACAAATACTATGAATTCAATTCAGCATGGGTAGTTAATACTTACAATTTATTACATTTTAGAATTTGTTGTTGTTGTACCCTTATTAGATAGAATAGGCACATCTGTTTGTGGGTTTTGTTTTAGCTGTTTTGTTGAATTCATAGTATTTGTGGGAATGAATTTGTCATGTACTAAGTACTGACTGTTTCAAAGCTTTTGTTCCTTATTAAGCAGAGTGTGTTATAGTCTTTTTGTTTTTCTTTGTTAAGAGGTAGTCGATTTTTGTCTTGCACAGTAAACTTCATATAGCCATCATATACATGGTAATTACTATTTGACTCTGTACCTTTCTTTGAACTTAAAAGCTTGACCAGGTGTGGCATTCTTAAGGAAGTTGAATTCGGGGCCCTAATTCTGAGTGCCCCGTTACTTGTATGTGATTTTTCTGAGATGCAAGGTTTGATAAAGATAGCTTGTTTAATTAAATTAAGGTGGTGTTAACATTGCATAAACCTTTTGCAAGAATGTAATACGTGTCTTAGTATATCACATGACTTAATCTCAAAAGTGAGGAATGCTTGTCACCCAAATTCAAATTGAAATCACGAGTCAATATTCATAGAAGCTTGTGCAAGACAAAAGTAGATGATTGTCATGTATCAAATGAAATTTTGTGTTCTTACAATGCTATTTAGTGCAACCACATGAAAATAGTCTTTCAGGAATGAAACATACTGAATGGGAGAGCTGCTGTGTGAACCGTGTTGTTGTCATCTAATGACATAGTTTGTTCTTGTTACAGAGATGGTCACATGTTCATGTTTAAAGTAGCTAATTGTTATTTGTCATACTGTGAAATTTTAAACCTTACTTAAAGTGATAGACTTTGCCAGAATTTAGTTAAACAAATGTATAGTTTTGGGCAAGTTTTCTTAATGGATGTTCAAATTACTGGTAAGCAAAATTTCAATTAAAAAAAAAAAATATGCTTTCAGACAAAACATAAACACCATAACATGTTAGTGATTTGGGTAAAAATCCCCTATAAATTTCAAACAGTGGTATATTTGTCCGGCTACATTACATTTGGAGTCCGGTAGAGGAAATACCGGCTATAAATAACCGACTTTTCTTTAGCCTCGTTTAAAAAAGGAAATTTAATGATAAAAACATATCATATAGTGCGTTTCTGCAGTGATAAAGTTAGTCATTATACATAACAGCAGTCCTACTGCTGTGATAGTCAAACTTTGTTAATGTGATAGATGTACTTTGCTTAACTGAAGAAAATAGAATGTTAGATGATGCATTGAAATCATAGGCTTATGTATATTAATTGTTGGCTGTTCGTCTGTTTCCATCTCTGTGACAGTGCATAGTGTGATCAAGTTTTGTTTTACTATATTATCACGTGAGATTAGGCCATAGATACAATGCTCAAGGACTTCGTGTTTTCTTTTTTTTTATTGTCACACACTTCAGGAATTTTACTCTGTGCCAAATTGCTCGTGGTTTGGACGATGCTTAAAAGTATGTAGAATGAGTGACGCTGATGTGATTCAAAACCAAAGTTAAATATTACATGTTTTATTCTTGTCAGTTCTTTGCAGTTGTATGGCCTAGTCCCGAGGTTGTAAAATTATAAAATCGAGACAAATTCACCTCATTGGTCGATTTTGAAGGTTTGCAGTTTGAAATGGACCAATCAAGATGCAGTATTTAGATCAGCTCACATTTTATAACCTTGGGCACTGGATTGTTGCTAGACTTCATTTTATGTGGTTGTGTACATTGTTATATATAGAAATATAAAATTATAATTATGGATATGGTTTTATTTGCTGAGAAATTCATTTCTAGAAAATCACATTCTGTGGTAATTTAGCTTTAGGACAGGGACTTGTTAAATTTTAGAAAAAGTTAGTCTTTGTAGGTGGGTAAATGTTGTAAAAAATGTATTTCTTTCTCTCCTTCCTTAGCAAGTAAAGCCATATCTTATGTAAAATTTGAATCCATTTGTTGAAACTATGTTATGTTTGTCTAAAGACAAGTTTGGTAGTATAAAAAAAACAACAAAAACTATTAGCTGGTAAAAGTTAGTCATAATTGTTACTAAAATATTTAAAAGTGGAAAATGTTTTATAGGGAAGCCTTTGAAGCAATTCATCTATCAATGGCTAGTTTAAATTCAGCCATTCACATCTTTCGGTATAGTAAGATAAATTAACAAATGTTGGTCTACATGGACTAGACTGTATTTGAATTTGTGAAGAAATCTAGAGGGCTTTAATTGCCAAGTGGTTAAAGTTACTGACATTGATACACTTGCCACTTGTCACTGTTTGTCAACTCCTGCACAGGACTTTTGATACTTGATGCTCGGAAGATATCCATATAGGATGTTGATGGTTTTCTTTCACAAGTAAAACAGGAAAATCACTAAGATGACTGCTACAGTGTCATTGAGACTTAAAATCTTACAAACAAAAAATGCAAAACATGGCAAAATGGATTGTTGAATTTACACAAGCTATTGATAGTCTTAATATTGGTGAACTTCTTTGGAAAATGATACTGTAGACAATAGTTTCAACTGTGGATTCATTTATTTAAAAATACCTATACTTATATTGTTAAATTGTACATAATACCTTTTTTATATTGTATATATTTGCTTAAAATTGTTAATAATAATGTACTCTAAGTGCTATATAATTCCATGAAGTTTTTACACTGATCACCTATTGGGCAGAAGTGACCTTGACCTGTTTCGTCATCTTGTGTGTGAAATATGTTAGTTTATCCAAGTAGTTAATTATTGTTAGAACTGGAATGAGTCACTATAGTTATGGTTGAGGTTTACTTTTTTTTTTTTCGTTGTTGTTGAAAATAATGAATATTGTTCATTTTTGTTGTTACCATGGTAACAAAAGTGGTTAATTAGGAAAGTGTCGAGGTTTATGAGTAAGAAGAGAGTGGATTTTTTTTTATATTATTGTTAAAGGTGTTTCTTTAATACAGAAAAGACTGGTAATATTATATGACATTGAAAGTTAGTTCCTTGAATACCCATTTACTGTGAAGATCTTGTATGTGAATGGAATTTTTGTAAAATGGCAGTTTCCATGGTAACGGTATATGATATATCTCAAAACCGTGAAAAATAGCCACATTTCTGTAAAGAAACACCTTATACGTAGTATACTGTATGATCATTTATGTAAGGTAATGAAGTAGACAAAGATAAAGGAGTGGGTCAAACTATATTTTTATTGCTCAAAAAAGTCTGAGAGGGCGGGGCGAAATCTGACGAGTATGAAACTTGTATTGTTGAATATGTTATTGTTCCATGATCGTTTTAAGTGGACGGAGAAAGCAATTTTCGTTTTACATATATACAGCATTTTGTTGTTATTGAAATTTGTTATATATTTTTTTATTCTGTTAAACAGAGAAACAGTTCTAGTCCTGCCATATTTTACTTTGCTAATCAAGGTCATTTCTGCCCATACAGATTATTTTATAGAGATTTTTTTTTCAAACCACAATTTGGTTCATTTTTTTAACGATTGTGGTTTTGATAAAAAGTTTATTTTTACACTGTTAAATTTTAAGAGGATGAAAATAAGTAAACAGTATGTGTCGTGAAAAGATTAAGTCTTTTATAAGAGAAGAACGAGCCGTGTTGATGAGAACTTCTTTTTTTGTTGCGGAGAATTAGATGATATTATAAACGTCTTAATGGGTCGAAACTTAACTGAATTGAATGATGGTTGTTTCCCCTTGGAAGAGAATTGTATAGAAGATCTGTGAATGGTAGATTTTTAATTTTTTTTGACAGTGTAGGAGTGACGGTATAAAACTTATGTAAGAGAAATGGTAGTAGAGACTTCTAAGAATGAAATCAGAATTCTTTCTTTTTAGCTTGACTTTTCTATGAAAAGGGGAGCTATCCTACTCGCCCCGGCGTCGGCGTCGGCGTTGGCGTCACACCTTGGTTAAGTTTTTCGTACCACCCCACTTTATTTCAGAAGTATTACAAGTATGGCTTTGAAACTTACCATACTTGTTCACCATCATAACCTCCATCTACAGACAAGAGTACATAACTCTGTCAAGGTTTTTGACAGAATTATGGCCCTTTTTTGACTTAGAAAGTGTATTGAGCTTGGTTAAGTTTTTTGTACCACCTCACTTTATTTCAAAACCATTGGAGGTATTGCTTTGAAACTGACCATACTTGTTTACCATCACGACCTTCATCAACAGACAAGAGGACATAACTCTGTCAAGGTTTTTTGACAGAATTATGCCCCTTTTTGACTTAGAAAATACATTGAATATGGGTAAAATCCACTTATTGCCTTAACCCTTTGAGATATTGCTTTGAAACTTTTAATGCTATTTCACATCATTACCCCCATCTGTACGCAAGAGAAGGTAACTCTGTCAAGGATTTGTTTTAAAAATTAAGGCCTTTTATCGACTTAGAATCTTGGTTAAGTTTTTAGTACCAGTCCACTTTTTGACTGAACTGTTTGAGATATTAATTTGAAAGTTGGAATACTTGTTTACAATCATGATTCCCAAACATGTCCAGGAGAAGGTAATTCTGTCAAAGATTTTATTTGAATTATGGCCATTGTTCACTTTAAAAATACAGAGATTCTTGTATTGCCTTTTACTGCAAAAACTTTTTTTATTGGCAAGCAATAAAAAAGTCGAGCGCGCTGTCTTACGGACAGCTCTTGTTTGATGAACTTGGCCAATTTTACAAACTTTATCTAGAATGTACTTTTTATTTCAAATACACATATAAAATTTCATGGAAATATTGATAAAATTATAAAGTTCTTAAATTCCATTAAGCTCTATTAATTTTTAAGTGACTATTTAAAAAAAAAATCCTCTTCCCAAGTAGCTAATGAATTTTGTAGAAATTCTATAAGGAATAAATACTTTTAAAAAGGCATATAAATGTTGGTCAATGTGTGGTATATGCAGGCCTCGACATTAGCGGTGGTCCGTTGGTCCGAGACCACTTGATTTTGGCAAGGACCACCTAATTTTAAAACCCACTGGTCCGTCTGACCACTTGAATTTCCTGGTTGATGCAAGGCTCATTTGGGAGAATGGCGATTGGTCAAAAACATGTTATATACTTTTGTTTAAAATCATGTGTCCGATGTACATGTATATGGTTCATTAATCTCTGATTAGTTAAAGAAGTTCCCTATGTCATCAATAACTTTCATTTGAAGTCGCCAAAATTTTGTTTATGCAAGTTAAAAAAGTTAAGAATTTGTGATATTAATTTAGGTACAAAATTCATTAAAATGGTGCTAGTAATTATGCATTGTCTGATACCCACGGCAGAACCATTAACATTTATGTTATGTTCAACCGTGAGTATCCGATGATGGTAATTATATGATATCGGATAAACTTAAATTAACGGCAGCAAACGAAAGGAACTGGAAAAAATACATCTAGAAATTCTTTGCTATTTATCTTTATTTTAACTGTATAACAATAAGAGATCTATTTCTCCTAGAGTTAAAAATACTTTAAAAGGTTAAAAATACTCAATGTCAAAAATGAATATCAACCAACAAGCAACAGGGAGGTAAAAATTCTGTATTATAAATATGTGAGAAAAATAAGCTAAACTATAGTTATCTATAACATTGTTATTATTTTAATAATTTAGATTAGATAGTTTATTAGTTTCATTAAAAATGTTTATCTATAATAGATTATCATGACTTATCAGCAATGAATATTTGAATAACAGTAAGAAAATAACAGACACAAATGGTTTCACTAATAATTCCCTAACTTGAGTTGAGGGAGTAATCACTTCAATATAAAAGTTAACATAAATAAGAGCTCTGATGTGTTTTTTTGAATGACATAAAAACAAACAAACAAACAAATAACTGTACGATAGAATACCTACTGATTTGCTCTCCTTTTTCTGATTAGATGAAAAATATTTATCTAAAAATATCTGTTTTCTTTATAGGTTAATAATACATCTTTGTCATCAAGTTCATTTTTTTCTACATTTGCAGTAAAATGATTTAATAATGATAACTGACCACCTGACTTCTGGAAGGACCACCTAACTTTCAAATCTAGTGGTCCGGCGTACCACCTGCTAAAAAAGTTAGAGTCGAGGCCTGTATATGTATGAAATAAGCCACCAGATGTCAGATTTTTCAAACTTGTCTGAATTTTAGATAACTAGATTTCACTGTAAAATACCCATTTTTTCGTGGCTTTTACATGACCCAGATACTAACTTCCAAACAGAAACTGAGGTAGCAAGAAAATCTGCTTTATCATAAGAAAACAATAAAAAAGTAGTTTTTTAAACAATGTAATATTTATGGTCACATTGAAGATTCTGTATCTGGTTTGTGTGTTACATATTGTACAATTAGTTTGTCTCCCCTAAAGTACTTTGTTGATGGGTTTAGATGTTAATGAAGTAAAAAAAAAAGTGAATTTATATTTTTATTCTCTAAGATATGGCCTCCTGAAAAATACAATAATTATTGAGAAAATTTGGGATCTCTAAAAAACTTTTTTTGGATCTAAAAAACTATTTTTGAAGTAGAATTTGGCATCTATAAAAAACTATGTTTGAAGTAGAATTTGGGATAAATAAGAACTATTTGTGATGTAATATAACCCTGAATCTGCTGGAATTGATAAATGTTATGCTTTTTCCAGCAGTATAGAGCAGACTGACCAAGTTCTATACTTTTGGTAATTTAGTTTTTGTATTTTGATAATAAAACCCCTTAAACTTTGAATAAACTGTTCCAAATTCAAAGCTGGGCTGTTCCATTACAAAAATTCAGCAGGTTAAGGGTTTTCAAAATTTGATGCACATTGATACAGAATATTTTAGATTGTAATCCAGTAAAATTTACCCATGGTAGAATGTATGCAATTTTCATGTATTTGGTGTATTTTTGCTTCCATATGTAAACAGTGTATATCCTTTTTGTTGTTAGCGTGTGGTGTGAGGTTGATTTAATAAAATAATATAAACATATTTTTTGTTGTGTTTGATTTTTACATAATGATAATTGTCCCCCGTCTGATATAGAAATCTGTCTGTCCAAACATATTGATACTTCGGGGGCAATGGGAACAATAGGTAAGTTACTAACAGTAAATTTCTTTTGATGCTATTCATTTAGTAAGCTCTTATGTGGTACTTTTTCTCTTACATCGCTAAAAGAACAAAAGAGATAACAAAAGAGTAGCCACTTAAATACCAAACTTTGAGCACATCCGTCTGTCCGTCCGCCTGTCACATTTTTGTGTCCGGTCCATAATTATGTCATTTATCAAAGGAATTGGAAATAACTTGGCACAAATGTTTGTAATAATAAGACGATGTGTCATGCACAACAACCGGACCCCTTCCTACAAGGTCAAGGTCACACTTGGTGATTAAAGGTCAACAGTGTCTAGAGGGTAAAATTTCTTTTCCGTGAAGGAATTTTGAAAATACTTGGCACAAATGTTAACAATAAAGAGACGATGCGTCATGCGCAATTACCAGTTGACTGCCTCCAAGGTCAAGGTCACAGTTGGAGGTCAAATATTAACATAGTCTGTTTCAGGGTATATTTTGTGTCCGGTCACTAACTAGGTCAAGGTCATTGAAAAACGCTTGTCCCAGCAAAACTTCTACATGTATAGAGGATTTCAATATAACTTGGCATGGTCTTTTATAGGATATATCTTGTGTGCAGTCCATAATTTATTTATTGTTAAAGGGATTTTGACACAAATGTTCACAATGGAACCATGTGTTATATGCAACAGTCCGACTCCTACCTTTAATGTCGAGGTCCCACTTTAGTGCTTAAGCTTAACATGGTCTGTTATTGTGCAGTGTATAACATTTTCATCTATCAAGGGATTTTAAAATAACTGCACAAATGTTAACAATAATATTACGACATGTCATGCGCAACACCTAGACCCCTACCTCAAAGGTCAAGGTCACACTGAGGTCAAAGCCTAAAATATTCTTTTACAGGGTATGATGCCAAGTCAAGTCCATGCAAAAAGAATGCTTTGGTGAATTGCCCACATAACTTGATTGAGGACTGGACACGAAAATATACCCAGTTTAATCCATTTTGTATTTGTCTCATTTTTTGACTTTGAAATAGTGATAACTATACAAATGTATTTCTGTTGACACATACACAGGGGTTATTTCATTATATTTCTTTAATGAATTTATTGTTACTTGCATATGCAGACCTAGCATTGATCAAAATTGTGCACTGAAAGTCCAGATCCATACCTCAAGTTTGTGCTTCATGTAAAACTTCCCTTAGGTAGGGGACGTTGATAACTCTTACAAATTATCATTTCTGGAAAGAGGAAGCATTTTTAAGATCAGTGGTTCTTTTAATTTGCCTTATTTTCGCTGAAATCATTTAGAGATGTATGGATTCTGGATCGAAGTGATGGACCCATGTTTCGTATTGAGTTACGATCCGGTAGATAAAATCAGGTTCATCCTTGTAGCGAGACAAAAGATGTTTTGAAATGTCAACCCCGGTCCGTTTCTGGTCGTCAGTCAACTGTCTGGGGACCCAATCTAGCGGAAACCTTTGAGGTGCCATAGACATCAGAATTGCCTGAACTGAACCAAAGCTTATACCCACTTCCCTAGCAATGCTTTGCAGGTCTGGCCTTCTGTCGCACATGACCAGATCGTGCACAGCTTCGGCAGTTTCATCGTTGCCATGGTGGCCGCTCAGGCCGCTGATCATCTCCAATGCTCTCTCCGCCCCTCTAAAATTCAGCAACTATTTTTTTACAGTGCTATAGGAAGGGGACTCCTTCCCAAGTGTATCCATGAAGCCTTCATGGATTTCCTTTGGGGGAGGGGGGGGGGCATCCCATTCTTACAAAACTTAATTTCGGCTCTAATTTCAACTTTCTCCATTTAGTCTAAATGATACACCCCTTTACTGACTAAAGTGTGTTTTATGTTACTTAATCTGTGTAAAACCGTGTGTAGCTCGGTCAGTAATCTTTAATAAGATATCGGTATCGACGCATCGTGTGTAAATGTCAGTGTAGTGGCTAGAAGAATATCAGGCCGAGAACTTTTTGATCATTTCTCGTATACTTGTTGCCAATATTAAATTTAAATTAACAATTTCAGTTAAATATTTATTGAGCAGAAGAACATATTTAAATGTTTTTACCCACATTTATAACCATTAAATTTTATTACAATGAGAAGTGCAATGATTATGTTATTACAATGAACTATAGAAATAAAGAAGTTTGAAACGTATATATTATACATGTGTACTTGACAAAAAAACAAGACAATTAACTGCTAAACAATCAATGACATAGTAATGTCACTATGATTGGTATATGTAAGTGTTTACATTCAATACAGCCATTGGTTCTTTTTATATGTCCCTGTATACAAAATTAGTTTAACAAAATCAATTTTTAAGGGAGTTGGGGAGATGAATATAATGTGGCAGTTTTGGTCCCAATTGCGTTTTTTCTTAATGGAGTACTGTAAAACACAACAACTCCTTGGACAAGACCTTCAAGTTGAGACTGAACTTGACCCGCATTCATAAATGACTGACATTCAAGGTCATTTTTTTTATCTCACCTTAAAAAAAAAGAAAAAGAAGAAGAAGAAAGAACTTGTTAATACTCTAGTTGCTACTGTTTCGGTCCAAATAACCTGGAAGTTAGTCAGAAAGGTAGTTTAGTTACTTTTTAGCTCAAGATCGAATATGGATTATCTGGGACCAAAAACTGGGCCACACAGTCCAATTATGGAGAAAAAAACCAACCACATTGTTTTACAACCTAGAGAAAAACATTTAGCACCAATATCCTTAACATTTGTCAGAAAGATTGTTTAAATGATTTCAAGGTCATGACCTTGAGTCAAAAACTGGGTTACACAGCGTAAATATGGAAAAGCGTGGCGGAACTGTATCGATCCAAATATCCTGGAAACTGGCCAGAAAGGTTGTTAAGATTACTTCTAGCTTTAGTTTAAATATGGTTTATCTGGGCACAGCACAAACATCCTGACAATTTGTCAGATAGGTTGTTTTGGTGATTTCCAGCAGCTTCCTGGAGTTAAATCTATGTCACACAGCCCAAATATGGAAAAACTTTGTTTACACTCTAAAGCGAACGTTTTCGGTTCAAATATCCGTGAAATGGGTTAGAAGAGTCATGCTCAAGTTCGAATGTGGGTCATCTGGGGTCAAAACAAAGTATTTTCTCCGTTTAGAATATTCTTTTCCTACAAGTTAATTTATTTTTACCTACAAATGCCACAGACACTATGAAGTTAATGACCATCTAAAATTGTTCAATTCTATGGCTATGATGCCTGTATATTAAGACAATTGTTGACTGACAGGACAATAGACCATAAAATTTTTACAAAGTATATTAAATGAGAAGTGATATATTTTAGGTCTGTGGTAATTTCATTATATGTCTCGTGATCGAAAACCATCAATATGAAAACCATTCCGTGCTAACCATGCACATATATCATACGACAACTTCACTAAAACAACTATAATCTCACCCAAAGGCTTTGTATGACCACTGTCCTGGTAGGCTGCCCGAGCGTCATACGTCATGGGGTAATGTTAAAGTAAGTAAATGCCTTGTGGTGTATTTTTTTAAAGAGGTAATTAGTGCTATATATATGGTATATATAAATATAACAATACAAACATTGATTTTTTATCATTTTTTTTTAAATTTCTTAATTCCATAACATTTCAAACAATTCGATTCTACTCTTCAGTATATCCTACTGGATACTTGATGTCAAAGCCAGCTGGACAAGATGGGGTCTGGCAACATTTGCCTGGTGCAGGTGGGTTCATGTGACACTGTTGTGGAAGCTGCCATTGTACACACCTGCAAAATATATCAACATATTCAACAAGTGTACAAAAAAACGAGATTAGGCTTTATAGACCTTATACACACGTAACCTTTGTAAAGCAGCGTTTTGTAGACCGACCAACCATCCCTATACAACACTGTGCACAGTATTAATTTTTCCCAAGTTAGGTTTCCCATTGAAATTAACATTCTGTAGAGGAACACATTTCAGCAACAACTAGATTATTTTCTCCTAAATGGCATTGCTCTGCAGAGGTTAAATGTACTCATTGTCACCCCCAAAAATGTAAGGCTTTGAAAATTTTCTCATGCTAGATAATTGTTTTTCTCCTTTCTCGGGTTAGGGTTAGGGTTATATGTTTCTGTTTTTTCAATAACGAACTTCTTCTTTCCAGATGAAAACTCACCAGTCATCACAGAATTGCTATGATTATCTTCAATATTGAAGGAAATAATTAATGTTAAAAAGACTAAAAAGTGTTGGAGCAAAACTCTAAATACCGTATTCCGGTATAAACCGGACAAGGTTAAATGTTTAAATCTCCCCTTTTTTACCTGCCGATATTCTGTTTAAGACGTCTAATGCATCTGTTCACACATATTTTTAAACAGTAATGAATGAAAAGTGTAAGAATCGGCGAAAAAGCTATATTTTTCTATTTTGTGATCATGATTTCTGCAAGCGTCCAGAGATACTGCTCCAATACTGTCGTGACTTATAAATCCTAAGAAAAGGCTTACAGTTGTGTGCATTGGTATTTTCCGGTTGCTCCTTCTACACACTGGCATCTGAATTTACAACCGTCCTTCCAAGATTGACCTTGTGTATACAGATGTCCGGCATAAACACAGCCTAAGTAAGGATAAACAATTACATATAATGTAATGTATCCATAAGATTCCTGGTAAAATACTGTAATTTCGAAGAAATACGAAATTGTATCCGTATTCAATACTTGGCATTCATCGTTTAGCCTAGTATTCATTAGTCAATCAAAATGACGAAGTTTACTTGCATTTCCATTCGTCAAAGAAATTGTTATTAAATTAATACATTTCATTGAACAAAGTATTTTAAGCCCGCCTAATTTTAAAAATATTTCAGTACTCGTGAACGGACGCACGCAATATAAAGTTTAAAGTACTTAGAAATAAAACATGGAATAAATAACAAAATATTGCTTACCGGAACCTGATCCTGTCATGGTGCCACCAGTTCCAGTTCCGGTTCCAGTCATGGTTCCTGTTCCTGTGATAACACCACCACCGCCAGTTCCAGTAACGGTACCAGTCATTGAACCTCCGGAAGTTTGACTTGCTGTAATAAAACAAGTTCGGTCCGATAATTTTTTATCTATAAAAATAGGAACACATGTGCAAGGATTTCTAGATTTGTTAGATAGAAGTGCTAAAATTAAAAACAGAATTTTCCGCAGCTAAATGATGTTTTATTTAAACAAAATACACTGTTTCAATACGGAAAATTTGTTATGATACGTTTTTTGCTTCATTTTATTCTCTTTGCATACATAAATCCGATCATGACGAAAAGCAACATCCAAACTTTGAGAATCTTCCATGTGTACACCTTATTGATTAATTACTTACAGCACAAATGGCATGTGCCAGCACAGTTCTGCGATGCCCATTGTTTGTAGTCGGTGCTGGTACAAATGGACGGGTCGTAAGCGGCACAGTTTGCGATGGTGTCACTGCAACCTATGGAAAAAATATTTTTTTGAACTTTGAATAGTGAATAATTTGCTAACGTTGACAACCTTTTGCCCTATAATTAACGAGAACTTTCATAATATGAATACTAATAAAATCCCTCTATCATATGGGTTTCAATATAAAGCTACTACCATAAAGTTGCGCTGTCAAAAAGTGAAATGGCCTCTAGAACTGACAAATTTTGTTCAAGCTTAATTTTTTTTTAAAGATTGCTTATTCATTTGCATGATTTCGAAACAGAGTTATTGTTGGAAATTGCCTGTTTTTGATACTTTCGGAGTTGTTGAATGCTAAGCGAAACATTTGCATCATTTAGTTTTATTCAGAATGGTCAGTGAAGCGCATACTGTAGACTGACCTTTTCACGAATTCATAATTCAAAAAGGTTGCGTATGGAATTTCACGCGAATTTCTTGAATTTACGCTGATTTCGATTCTGAAAATAAGCGAAAAATAAATATCGAAAATATTTCCCAATTTACAGTATTTGCATAATTTTTTATACGGGGAAGTCAAAGTCCGGGGCCGCAAGGCGGCCCGGGTTTTGTCTTGCCCCGCTAAAGACTACACGTGTTTATTTAAAAAGAATATAAAATAAAAAATAATAATACGGGGAAGTCAAAGAACGGGCCCGCAATTGGGCTTTGGCTTGCCCGGCTATAGACTACACGTGTATATTTAAAAGAAAAAAAAAACAATTAAAAAATGCATAGAATTCTATACCTATCAATGAAATTTTCAGTGTCAATTCTAGTCGGTCGCCGCTATTTACAATGTAACTCAATGATAATAGGCAGGTTATTCCGATAACGGAACAAACCTCAATTTTTCGGATACATGATAATCGTCGAGTGTTCCGAGTGAAAACGGAAGCGGTGCATAAAATACCGAATGGTACCTTTAAAACGGAAAAAAATAAAAGGAATCCCCGATCATAGGCTTTGCCTAATTTCATATTATATTCAAGTGGATTGCTTAATGATTGAAATGATTGGTTGAACACTTGTGTGCTTTTGGAATATTAAAAATAGTCTGAATATGCTTACCTTTATTTGCATTACATTTTTAAAATCAATGGTACATTACCATACTCTGCTTAAAATTATATCTATACAGTAGAATATTTGGCACACTTATTAAAGAAAGTGTTATCATTGCGAAAGTAGATACTAGTAAGTAACATGACAAAAGTGCAAACATAAAATTGAGTAATATTATTGGTGAACGGTAAACTTACTTCCTGTCATGGTTCCTGTTCCACCTGTCATAGTTCCAGTTCCGGTTCCACCTGTCATAGTTCCAGTTCCGGTTCCACCAGTCATGGTTCCGGTTCCACCAGTCATGGTTCCAGTACCACCTGTCATTGCTGTCATTATAGTTTCAAATAAATGATACACGGGAATTTACTGGATTTTTGTCAGAATCACAGCCATTATAATTGTTATAAAAAACTTTCAAAATTATAGTGGAAATTATTTATTTATAATTATACCGCAGTGATTATTGCAGGTATTTCAATTGTACCATATTTCTTGTGTATTGTAAGTATTGAGTAAATACACCACAGACAATTTTTATTCATTTAAAATCATAATATATGGATTGAATATACATTTCAAAAATCAAAGAGTACTAAATTTGAACCGCTTGAAGAATCACTTACAGAAGTCATGATCTTAGACAGTATTACTTTTGCATTCAAAAGTAGTGAAAACTGATCCTATGTTATACTTACTTCCGCCGCACATATTACATGTTTTTGCACAGTTTTGTTGGGCATAGACTTTAGCGGCGGCATCAGAGCAGATGTGGTTGGCTTGATTCAACAAGGCACAGTTTGATGCAACGTCACCACAGCCTGTAAACAAACACAAACAAAAGTCAAAATCTGTAATAAGACCGGATGTAAATGAAAGGCGTTTTTTTAAAACAAATCTAAGTGTTTATCTCTATTTCTTATTTTTTAATGTTTTGTTTTTCATATTTACTTCCTGTCATGGTTCCAGTTCCACCAGTCATTGTGCCAGTTCCGGTACCACCAGTCATTGTTCCAGTTCCAGTTCCTCCTGTTTTTGTATAACAAAAAAGGTATTTACGTTACAAATCGTATAGTTATTATTACTATTTTATAGAACCGATACCATTGTTTAATTGTTGAAGTTGCCATGATAGATTTACAAAACATCTTTAGAAAATTTGGCTACAATAGCACATGAATATTTTAAAACGAACATAATATGTAATAACTAACATGCTATACCTAAAAGTATATACCGGTATTCAATTAATCATACGAAATTGCAGGTGTTAAAATACAATTGATAGACGATACGCGCTTAATGTCATTTCGTCAAGCACATTTTCTGTATTGAACTTAGCCATAACATGGTATGCAAGGGCAACAACACATAATTTTATCTTTTGACATTTTGGTATTCGTTATAGTACATGAACACGACATCAAAGCAAGCTGAACGACAACAAGACACTTTAGCTTGCCATATTTCAGCACCCATGTTATGGAACGGGATAGCCTCCCATCTCATTGTGAAAATGCATACTGTTGAGTGTCTTTAATTTAATAACTCATTACGTACATGTATGGACGGTACATAGGTGATATTTAAGGTAAACGATCACTAGTCACCTTTGATATAGAATATAAGTGATGTTTAGGGTGTAAGAAGCGCTCAGTGAGAAATATTCAGGGTGTAAGAAGTGCTTAGTGAGTGATGTTCAGGGTTGTGAGAAGTGCTCAGTGAGTAATGTTTAGGGTGTAAGAAGTGCTCAGTGAGTAATGTTTAGGGTGTAAAAAGTGCTCAGTGAGTAATGTTCCGGGTTGTGAGAAGTGCTCAGTGAGTAATGTTCAGGGTGTGAGAAGTGCTCAGTGAGTAATGTTCAGGGTGTAAGAAGTGCTCAGTGAGTAATGTTCAGGGTGTGAGAAGTGCTCAGTGAGTAATGTTCAGGGTGTAAGAAGTGCTCAGTGAGTAATGTTCAGGGTGTAAGAAGTGCTCAGTGAATAATGTGCAGGATTGTGAGAAGTGCTCAGTGAGTAATGTTCAGGGTGTAAGAAGTGCTCAGTTAGTAATGTTCAGGGTATGGAAAGTGCTCAATGAGAAATGTTCAGGGTGTGAGAAGTGCTCGGTGAGTAATGTTCAGGGTGTAGAAAGTGCTCAGTGAGTAATGTTCAGGGTATAAAAAGTGCTCAGTGAGTAATGTTCAGGGTGTGAGAAGTGTTCAGTGAGAAATGTTCAGGGTGTGAGAAGTGCTCAGTGAGTAATGTTCAGGGTGTAAGAAGTGTTCAGTGTGTAATGTTAAGGGTGTAAGAAGTGCTCAGTGAGTAATGTTCAGGGTGTAAGAAGTGCTCAGTGAGTAATGTTCAGGGTGTGACAAGTGCTCAGTGAGAAATGTTCAGGGTGTGAGAAGTGCTCAGTGAGTAATGTTCAGGGTGTAAGAAGTGCTCAGTGAGTAATGTTCAGGGTGTAAGAAGTGCTCAGTGAGTAATGTTCAGGGTGTAAGAAGTGTTCAGTGTGAATGTTCAGGGTGTAAGAAGTGCTCCGTGAGGGATATACAGGGTGTCAGAAGGGCTCAGTGAGTAATGTTTAGGGTGAAAGAAGTGCTCATTGAGTAATGTTCATTGTGTTAGAAGTGCTCAGTGAATAATGTTCATGGTGTAATAAGTGTTCAGTGTGAATGTTCAGGGTGTAAGAAGTGCTCAGTGTGTAATGTTAAGGGTGTAAGAAGTGCTCAGTGAGGAATATTCAGGGTATGAGAAGTGCTCGGTGAGTAATGTTTAGGGTATAGAAAGTGCTCAGTGAGTAATGTCCAGGGTGTAAAAAGTGCTCAGTGAGTAATATTCAGGGTGTGAGAAGTGTTCAGTGTGAATGTTGAGGGTGTGAGAAGTGCTCACTGAGTAATGTTTAGGGTGTAAGAAGTGCTTAGTGAGTAATGTTCAGGGTGTAAAAAGTGATCAGTGAGTAATGTTCAGGGTGTAATTAGTGTTCAGTGTAAATGTTCAGGGTGTAAGATGTGTTCAGTGTGTAATGTTAATGGTGTAAGAAGTGCTCAGTGAGTAATATTCAGGGTGTAAGAAGTGCTCAGTGAGTAATATTCAGGGTGTAAGAAGTGCTCAGTGTGTAATGTTAAGGGTGTAAGAAGTGCTCAGTGAGTAATATTCAGGGTGTAAGAAGTGCTCAGTGTGTAATGTTAAGGGTGTAAGAAGTGCTCAGTGAGTATTATTCAGGGTGTAAGAAGTGCTCAGTGTGTAATGTTTAAGTGTGTAAGAAGTGCTCAGTGAGTAAAGTTTAGGGTGTAAGAAGTGCTCAGTGAGTAATGTTCAGGGTGTAAGAAGTGCTCAGTGTGTAATGTTAAGGGTGTAAGAAGTGCTCAGTGAGTAATATTCAGGGTGGAAGAAGTGCTCACTGAGTAATGTTCAGGGTGTGAGAACTGCTCAGTGAGTGATGGTCAAGGTGTGAGAAGTGCTCAGTGAGTAAAGTTTAGGGTGTAAGAAGTGGTCAGTGAGTAATGTTCAGGGTGTAAGAAGTGTTCAGTGTGTAATGTTAAGGGTGTAAGAAGAGCTCAGTGAGTAATATTCAGGGTGGAAGAAGTGCTCACTGAGTAATGTTCAGGGTGTGAGAACTGCTCAGTGAGTGACGGTCAAGGTGTGAGAAGTGCTCAGTGAGTAAAGTTTAGGGTGTAAGAAGTGCTTAGTGAGTAATGTTCACGTTGTAAGAAGTGCTCAGTGTGTAATGTTAAGGATGTAAGAGAGCTCAGTGAGTAATATTCAGGGTGGAAGAAGTGCTCACTGAGTAATGTTCAGGGTGTGAGAACTGCTCAATGAGTGATGGTCAAGGTGTGAGAAGTGCTTTGCGAGAAATGTTCAGGGTGTAAGAAGTGCCCAGTGAGTGACGATCAGGGTATAAGAAATGCGCAAGATGTTGAGGTTTATAAGTAATGTTCTTCTGTCATTCCACTTACAGGCATTTTGATTTTTAGGAAGATTAAAAGATGTCTTCACACTTGAGGTTTTTCTGTATAAAAATTGTTAGAACATCTAAAGTATAAGAGCTAAATAATATAAATAATTGAAAAGTAGCATCATGTACTGGTGAATAAACGCTTGAACCATGCCCCTGTAAGCTGAAGAATATTTCGAGAGAACTCCTTCAGTTGAGAACGCCAAAACGACAGCCTGCCATTACAAGGACGTCAAACGACAATTAATTTTTATTCATTATAAGTCTCCTATGAGAACCAACATCTTTTTTTGGCCGGGAAAATTTACTTTCTTTATAACATTTGAGTTGCGAAAAAATTACAACAAAAATTCAAATACACAATGTCATGTAATCTGCAAATGAAAGCACAATTCTATCGCTGTGCTGGCATTACTTGATGCTAAATTTAGATTCCTAAGCTATAATTAGAATGTAGCGTCACATCACGTGATTGTAACTGGTGTAATCTTTTTTTTAAAGAAATAATATATGAACGTATGTTTGTCTGTATGCATACCTCCACACATATTACAAAACGCTGCACAATTTTCTTTTGCCCAAGCCTTGAATTTGATGTCTGTGCACATAGCCTTTTCATAAGCATTGCAGTCTGATTTCTTGTCCATACAATACGTGGCAGAGGCGCCACCTGTCAGACAATTTAAGCCTTACTACCCATCAAAATTCCTTATATATTATTTGTTATGTTCAATAACAAAAAGAATTAGAAAAAAAGCAAACCCGCCCACTCCCAAACCAACCGACCACTCCTACCCCATCCATCGAATTTTCGTCTATCTTCTTACTTCACTTTTTATTCTGGATGGTGGCAGGGCGGAGTTTGCAACAATAATGTTGTTCAATAAATTTGCAACAACTTGAAAGTGTGTATTAAACGTGAAAGATTGTATTAAATCTCAGAATTTTGATGGATAGTATGAAGTCAAGCTTAAGCATAAAAAAGCATAGCTTGTAAAGATTTCAAGCCTGTAATATCAAAAGCAGAATGTTTATACAAATAAGAATTGTCCATACAGAAACAGTCAAACCCGTGAGAAAAACCGCCTGAGAAAAAAAGACGCATACAGAAAACTCCGATATTAATGACCATCATTGAAAATTGGCATGAGTTGAACTAAAATGCTCTTAGATATTTGAAAGTGTGATAATGAACAAATATTATTTTTGCTTTTTTCAAAGACTGGTCCACACAAAGAGGTTTGACTGTAATGTTAAAGCTAAGCATGCTAGACAAAATTAAACAAATAAAACTTAAATAATTAGTATGTATTAAAGTACTAGATTATATCTTGCAGAAAAAAATGTGCTATGAAAATTTCGCGATTTTGGAAAGCATGAACTTTCTGAAACAATAATATATCCGTACAAGCTGCATTATGCATTATTTTAAAAGACATTCACTATACTGTATACCTAATACACATAAAAAGCAAGCCTAATTGATAAAGCATATTTTAAAAAAAGTTTAAACGTCTTTACATACCAGTTCCGCCGGTCATAGTTCCAGTGCCTCCAGTCATGGTTCCAGTACCTCCAGTCATGGTTCCAGTACCTCCAGTCATGGTTCCAGTACCTCCTGTCATTGATCCTAAAAAATACAAAAAATGCTTATCACAATCGATATAATATCATATAATATATAAGTAGCATATAATTATGATTTTAACTTATTGCACTTTTCTTTCTTCTAAAGGGTGTAAAGCTACAAATAGCTTTAGTGTTTTAATTTATTTTGTTTAATAGGATTACAATACTTATGAATAATTCGAAACACGTATACTTTACTAAATTGACTTTAATAGACAACGCCGGTCTTTTGCAATATAATTTTGTAAATAAATGCTTACTTATCAACACTAACCTACGAACATACTCTACAAATTTCAAAAGTTGTACAAACATTTTAATAAACTAATTGCAATAATTAAATACAAAAGTAAAAAAGTGTTTCTATAATTAAAAAGCTCCATTAAAGGCTAGTGCTAAGTTTACATAAAAGCATAAGCAAATAATTTATTATGCCTGCCTCAGAAACGAGAAAATGTTTACTTCTTTGGAAAAAGGCAAACTTTTAAAAAAGTTCTATAAAGTATATATAATTGTTTGGAGCAAGTTAGATGCTTGTTACCTTAAGAAAGTAGTGCTTGATTTGAAATTATTTGTAATAGAAAAAGCAATTTGTAAACAAAGTGGTATTTTGACTTTCATACAAAATACTATTTTACTATAACTGTACTAATTGCCCGTATGCAAAAGAACAAAAATGATTCAGGTAATTGGCCTATAACTATAAATTATAACTAAATTATAGAACATACCGTATTACCGGCGGCAGTGATGGCAGATCACTGCAGTGATGGCAGATATCTGAAAATTACCGATCGATACAGGTAGGCTATAAATTTGGTTGGTTTAATTATATTACACAAATACGGCCCATTGAATGGAGATACTGTACGGTAATTTTGGACTAGTTTTTTCCCCTGTTTTAAGACTATTTTGAGCAGGTTAAAAGTGACAGCCTCGGAAAAATCGGGAAAATGTCTGTTTTCTGTTCAAAATATCTCAAGTTTTAGGTAAATGGCAGGATTTCCTGTTATCAATATAGACGTTCATCCATTGGGGTCACGCAAGCCAAATATCTACCCCGTGAGTCTTTTCTAGAAAGTTTTACAGGCGATCAATCTTGTCCGGTCGAAGAAAAAATGCTGCCGTTGTAGGCAGATACATAATATAAATGCTACCGTCGATGGCAGAAATACCATGAAAGTGGCTAACATTCTGACAGAAAATCAAGTTCAATCTTTTAATCAATTCCTCTTTTCTTTGCGTCCTTTTAGTCGGAATCGAGACGTTAAACTATCATTTCTAATATTTTCTCAAGATAGAAAATTTATTAATGCGGTATGTGCATCGAAAAAAACTTTTTAGCAACATGCAGTTACAATACAAGTACGACAAAATTGCACTATAAATAGAGAAATGAACATGAAAAACTTCATTTTTCTATATTCATGCATGTGTGCTTGATCTGTTGTGTCTGTCAGTTACATGCATACAATACTATATGTAACTTAAGTTTAGCAGCGCACTCCCTTTTTAAGACATATCGCCAATTGCATATTACAGCAAGTAACTTCTGTAAGTGGATATTCATTTGCTAGCATATGAAATTATTTTCTCGAGGTAACAATGTTCATCGCTTTGTGACAAATAAAGGCTGAAATTTACTTAATCGGCAGATTATAAGTTATTAAATTGATGTAATAAAGGGGAGACTATTAACCTTGCAACTGGCATCAGTGTATCATAAAACAATTGTTAATGTAAAATGGAAAGATAATATTATTGACAGTTCAAATATTTCCCTATATTATCAAGTTCTTGAAAAACACGAGAACGTGGATTCATTGCTTTAAATTTCATGTTTTTAATAACGCTGCAGTTTGCCTTTGAATTACATTTACTTTGCTAAACTATTAATAGCAGTTCTAACATCACGTGCTCCCATTTAACTATACATATTTTTTACATTCATTTTAGTTGTAACTATGACAATTTTTTCGTACTTGTATTGTAACTGCATGTTGCTAAAATTTTTTTTTCGATGCACATACCGCATTAATAAATTTTCTATCTTGAGAAAATATTAGAAATGATAGTTTAACGTATCAATTTCGACTAAAAGGACGCAAAGAAAAGAGGAATTGATAAAAGATTGAACTTGATTTTCTTTCAGAATGTTAGCCACTTTCATAGTATTTCTGCCATCGACGGCAGCATTTATATTATGTATCTGCCTACAACGGCAGCATTTTTTCTTCGACCGGACAAAATTGAGCGCCTGTAAAACTTTCAAGAAAAGACTCACGGGGTAGATATTTGGCTTGCGTGACCCCAATGGATGAACGTCTATATTGATAACAGGAAATCCTGCCATTTACTTAAAACTTGAGATATTTTGAACAGAAAACAGACTTTTTCCGGATTTTTCCGAGGCTGTCACTTTTAACCTGCTCAAAATAGTCTTAAAAGAGGGAAAAAACGAGCCCAAAATTACCTTACAGTATCTCCATTCAATGGACAATAGTTTTATAGCAATGAAATGGGCCGTATTTGTGTAATATAATTAAACCAACCAAATTTTTAACCTACCTGTGTCGATCGGTAATTTTCAGATATCTGCCATCACTGCAGTGATCTGCCATCACTGGCGCCGGTAATACGGTGTGTAGAAGTGCATCAAAAAAAAAAAAAAAGAAAAAAATAGAAAGCCATTGAAAAATAAATATAAAAGCATTTCTAGGGTATAATGGACCTTTAAGATTTGCATTAAAAATTCTCACCGCATTTGTTGCAATAATGTGCACAGTTGTTTAACACCCAGGTAGCGTAATCTTTGCTTGTACACACGGCCTGTGTGTAAGCTGCGCAGTTGGGCAGTTTGTCGGCGCAAGTGCCTTTAATAAATAAGAACAAGAATAGAATAAAACAAAATGACTGGTAATTACGGGATGATTAAATAAAATATATTCAGAACAAAGAAAAATATCAAGAATAAAAAGTAATTGAACCAAAAAAATCTTAAATCGTTGCTGTAAAGATTTTATGTATTTTATGTCCAGGGAGATCAGAATATAAAGCTGCGGCCTACAAATTGCGTTTCTATCTTAAGCTAGAATCAATTATGTTTGTTATATCAATTTAGTTCTTTGGTAACAGATCACCATGTTATTACAGCATACTCCTGATCTTTGGAACAAGATTTAGAATATTTCTTAGATTTCGTAATATCGGGCATAAACTGTATATTAATAGGGTTATACTGTAAGACTTAGAAAAAAATCGGATCATTGTAACAAAATTTGAACATCTATAAGGGTTCGTCATATCGGGAGTTTACTGTATATTAATGGGTTTTATACTTTAAAGAAACAATATTATTTGTTCTCTGTACAATGAACATTCAAAAGTGCCTGACGACAACTGTAATCACGTTGCTATAGTTACTCACCAGTCATAGTTCCTCCTGTCATAGTTCCAGTACCGCCTGTCATTGTTCCGGTTCCTCCGGTCATAGTGCCTCCAGTTCCTATGTACCAAGCGACAAAAATATTGTTTATATATTCATGACATTTTTGTAAAAGCTCAGTATATGCCGCATTTTTCTATGTGTCATACCGATACCTTACGAGCATCGATAAAGCCAAGTGACACCACAATTTTTCTAACTAAAAAGATTATCTAAGTCTACGAAAAGTTACGAAGACTTCCGAATTGCACTTTCATCTGGACAACCGGAAATCAATCACACGTAAATAATTATAGCAATATTGAACAGTTAAATATCAACTTATTTAAACTGTCTCAGGCATTTGTGCCGATTTCTTTTGAAAAAAAAATCTTTAATTTTATATTAAATTGTCTGCATGTGGTTATTTCAATCTGTTCTTTAAATAAATGTTACTTTTAAAAGTGAAACAATTTTCATAATGATAATATGACGCACTACAAATTCTGCATTCAAGATAATTAAAACCCGTTAATTTCATAAAAAGAAAGCGAAAAAAAGTATATCTCAAGTAAATGAATTACTTGTCCATTAATTGATTAATCATTGCTCAAAGCAAAACGAAAGTAAGAAAAGACGGGCTAACAGCATTGCACATAAGCTATCCTGATCCAAAAAGAAAAAAAAAACGTGAACAAGTTGACGCTTACATCTGTTCTTGCAAATAGCGTAAAGTTACACTTTTTAATCATCAGGAGGGACATTGAAAAAGATGTATAACCAGTAGCATAACTCACAAAGCAAAAATGTTATTCTGAACAAATCAACTTCCGGTAAACAAAGCTTTACGATAAAACATACGTTATTTCAAGATGAAGACATATTCAATTAAAAGGCGAGTCGACGTTTCGTGATGTACACATATAAAAATAAAAACTGCATCAATAAAGCACGTTTCATTAAACATTTCCAACAAACACCATACATTGGAAATAAGCTGGAATATAAAAAGAAAGGTTTGTTCAGCTTGAAGGAAAGTTTATATGTTTGTTAACAGTTGCTGAAGCTTCAAAGCCCATGGACACAAATAAAGCTTTATTACAAGCAATGTCGAGTCTGCGGGAGACAGAATTTCTTGTGGAACTAGGTTGTCGCCGAAGAAGTGGTGTTAGCAGAAGCATTTTTAAAAACCGGAAGAAGCATCTTGAAGCATTTTGGCGACATCAAAGTATCAGCTAAAGGGTTTCCTTATTTATTAAAAGCTCAGTGTTGGCAAAACTCTAAGTATATAGCTGCAGATATACAAGCTAAAAGTTCCGTCCAAACTGTTTGCCATCCATGTTAAAAGCGATAAAAAGCTGTCCAATGCAGGATATTGTACGTGTTTTGACGGGTTTCATACCTGTTCCTGTTCCAGTTCCGGTTCCTACGGGGATCGAAATTCCACCTGATACTGTTAAATTTAAATAATCCGACAAGTTATTCTCAAGTGTTGTTTTTGGTTATCACCTTTGATATTTTTCATTTGTTGTGAATAAATTTTAGAGTTTTGTGTACATATTTTTAATCTCGTAGAAATTAGAATTTAAAAATACGTGAAGAAAATGATGACGATTTTACAATAATTGCCATGGATTTAAAAATGATAAACCATCAAGGTCAAGGACAAAGTTATAGGCAATCTACCTCCACATTTATTGCACCAATGTTGACAGTTTTCGAAGACCCAGTCATGGTAGCTAGCTTGATCACAAATGGAGTGATCGTAACTGGCACAATCCGGTAATTTGTCGGCGCATGCTATATAAAGGGAGATAATCTTATAACACCAAAAATGAAAATATTTTCAAGAGTAAATTATTCGATAAATGTAAATATTTATAGACTTCAAGAATTAGATTTAACATATGAAAAACTTGAAGATATATCTAATCGGTCACATCGGTCACTATGTTTGCTGAAACTATAAAATTCTTTGCGGTGAAGTATTTGCCATATACTCGAATATCAATATTCATAAATGACGAGGTTCAGTTTAATTAGAATGAAATTGCGATAGTATCACCACCTCCACCACCGGTTCCGCCAGTTCCTGTCATGTGACCACTTCCTGGGACTAAACCGGTTCCTCCTGTTCCGGTGACGACTCCTGTTCCGCCTGTTCCTGTCATAGTTCCACCAGTTCCGGTCCCTCCAGTTCCGGTCATGGTTCCCCCGGTTCCGGTCATGGTTCCCCCTGTTCCGGTCATGGTTCCCCCTGTTCCGGTCATGGTTCCCCCTGTTCCTGTCATGGTTCCACCTGTCATGGCGCCTAATTTATATAATTCAAAATTGTGAATTTAAAGACAAACGCCGGTTAATCGATTAGAGATATATTTTCTAAGCTTTGTCCTTCTCTGTAAAAACAATCTGTAATGTGTAAAGTATAGCCATTATGATTCTTGTGGCAATGGGCAACATAAATATTGATTTTGATTAACATACATTTGCAATTTCAATGTTTATCATGAAAATATGATGAAAATATGATAAAAATATGATGAAAAAGTAAAAATACCAAATATATTGAATAAACTGATTGTGCAATGTATGGTTTGAAACTAATATAAATGATCAGCGTTTTAGGTGACATTGCATCTATTATGTACTCAAAAGGGATTGATCAAGACCTGGTTGGCTAAATTCTACAATTGATATAAAAATACTTAAAAAGTGTGAATACATGTACAATTATAATACGACGAGCCTGCTTAATGCATGAAGAAAGGTACTTACTAAGCTCTATTATTGCATAAAAGTATACGTAATAAATCGGTTATTCCGAGTTTTGTTATCTGTATTCCGTATTCGGGACCAATTTATTGTGCTATGCTTTCCACGTGCTATTGTTTTCTTTTTCGTTACACGTATACCTGCGTGCGCAGTTTTGATATGCAGGAAATTTATCATTTGTTTTAAATAACAATCATACTAATATCAGCCATCAGTAATTTGTGTCTTAACATTAATTTTTTTAAAGTAAAGACGGCAGAAGTTTATCCTCTGCCAATGCCTTTCGTAATACTTTTAAGGTAATTTTCAAATATAACCTTTGCTTTGATCCTTGCTTAAGTTGAATTTTCATGCTCTTGTTGAAATTCTTATGTTTTGTCACCAAACATATATCTATAATGTCAATTTAACAGGCGATATGAATAAGTTTGACATGCCCTGATTCTAACTACTTTAAACTTCTCCTTCGTCCTTAAAAAGTTTTCGTTTGCCGACTTTTCATGTAAACCTTTCCAACATATAAATCAAGCGTTAGAATTCAATCAGTAAATAGCTTAATGAGGGAAAAATGTAAAGAAATAGTCATTTAATTATTCAGGTGTTAAATACGCTGTTTAACAATTTAAAAAAGGTTAAGTGTTGAATACAACCTAATGTACAAAATAAACGGCGGTAAAATGGTAATAGGCAGAAATCAGAGTAACAAAAAAAATCGAAATATTTTTTTTCAACAGTGGTCAGAGTATAAAATTTGTCATACCATGATTCAATCGAGAAGGTATTGTTTAAAAGATTCAGATTTAAATGAAGATGACCCCTCGTCTGTTGTATATCTCTAAAATACAGTGCATTAAATAAAGTTATTCATATTGTGAATACATGTGTAATGTTCACTCAGTGTCCCAGTTTGGTTCCCGAACTTACCACATTTGTTGCAGAATTTTGCACAGTGTTTGGAAACCCAGTCTGCGAATGAAGAATCTGTGCAGACGGCCGCGGTGTAGGCAGCACAGTTTGGAATGGTATCTTGGCATGCTACAAGCAAAACGAAAACAAAATTTTAATCCCTCGAGTAAAAGCTTTTTGGCAATTAATTACACTAAATGTTTATTATTTTTATGAGGTTCAATATGCTAATATAGGATAATCTAACACTGTTCTGTCTAAACATTTGGATTTTTGATAGTTAGTTTTATTACCCCTCACTTTTTTCGTAATGCTAATTTCCCATAGGCCTCTGGGAGTTATTTTTACTGTTAATGCAAGTGTACCACGTGACTAAGAATTTTGTACTGTTACATAGGTAACAGTATTTTTCAACAGGTCACGTGGTCTATTTCCTAAATAAAATGAAATAAAATGGCAGCCATTTTTTTCTTGATTCATTTAACGTTAAACCCCGATAGGACATCGATTTCTCCTCTGGAGTCACTATCACGCCCGTTTAACTCACAACGAGTGAAAAATATCCATCGGTAAAAATGTTGTGAGCAACTTCCGTTCCTCGTTGTGAGCACCCATCTATGACAGGTGACACGAATAAAAAGGTGAGTTTTTCATAATTTTTGAAGATTACAGACATTTATGTAAAGATATCGGAATGCAGTTAGCTAGCGATGTGTTTTCCGAGTATGCACATGTAAAGATATTGCCTGTTGTCGACAATTTGATTGAAATACCGTGCGACGCAGTCACTCGGGGTAGCTGGAAAACTGGAGACAACTTCTCTCCGGACCAAATTTAACATTGAAAACGTCGATTCTGGTGAAGTTTTGTGCATTCTAACCTAAAACAGATGCCGACAAGTCTTCAGCGTAAATTATTACCTGAAAGTCTTCATAGAAACGGAGATATACCCCTTTTTGCTTTTGTCCTCGTTGTGAGCACCATAACCTCGTTGTGAGCAAGACAAGCGCAGTGCGTGTCTGGTTTTAATATGTAATTCTAATGGCGAGAATACAATTTTCAATCTACCAAATGCAATCAAAACGTTTTTGCACAATAGTTTTTCTTTGCAATAGTTCTTCTTTTTCTACATAACTTGGCAAGTCTAACATGAATGAAGCTCAGGATAAATACTTGCATGTTTATATATAGGTCAATTGGAAGGTCTTGTCCAAAGGGGCATTGTATCCAAATATGAATTAATTCCACTTACTAATAAAGAAGTTATGACCAATGTTAAAGTTTTTTGATGTTCTAGAAGGTCATTCAGTGGTCGAGGTAAAAGAAAATACAGATCAGTTTGAAGGTCTTGTCTAAAGGGGTGTTGTGTCCAAATATGAGTAGAATCCGTATACTAATAAGGAAGTTATGACCAATTCTTAAGTTTTTGGACAATTTGACCTTCAAGGGGAAGGTCATTCAGGGGTCAAGGTCAAAAGAATATAGGTCAGTTGGAAGGCCTTGTCCAAAGAGGTGGTGTGCCTAAATATGAATTAAATTGATTTACTGATAAGGACATTAGGGCAAATCTTAAATGTTTTTGGACAATTTGACTTCAAGGTAAGGGCCATTCATGGGTCAAGGTAAAAAATACAGGTCCGTAGGAAGGTCTTGTGCTAAGGGATGATGTGTTCAAATATGAATCAAATCCGTTTACTAATAAGAGAGTTATGGCCAATGTTGAAATTTTTGGACGGATTGACGGACGGACAGTTCAAAACTAATATGCCTCCCTTCGGGGTATGCACAACGTCTTGCAAAGAAATGCTGCTGTGCAAAAATGTTTTAATTGCTTTGGTAGATTGAAAATTATATTTTCACCATCTGAATTACATATTAAAACCAAACACGCACTGCGCTTGTCTTGCTCACAACGAGGTTATGGTGCTCACAACGAGGATTAATGCAAAAAGGGTATATCTTCGTTTCTATGAAGACTTACAGGTAATAATTTACGCTGAAGACTTGTCGGCATCTGTTTTAGGTTAGAATGCACAAAACTTCACCAGAATCGACGTTTTCAATGTTAAATTTGGTCCGGAGAGAAGTTGTCTCCAGTTTTCCAGCTACCCCGAGTGACTGCGTCGCACGGTATTTCCATCAAATTGTCGACCAACAGGCAATATCTTTACATGTGCATACTCGGAAAACCCATCGCTAGCTAACTGCATTCCGATATCTTTACATAAATGTCTGTAATCTTCAAAAAATATGAAAAACTCACCTTGTTATTCGTGTCACCTGTCATAGATGGGTGCTCACAACGAGGAACGGAAGTTGCTCACAACATTTTTACCGATGGACATTTTTCACTCGTTGTGAGTTAAACGGGCGTGACTATGACATACATAAAATTTAGTTGTTTGCACCCTGTGTGCTTTTCGCGTATAAAATATCTATTTGTTGAATAGTCAAAAAGTGAACATCCGTTTTCAACTGTAAATAATTATGTGTCAAACTGGATCATGCTGTGATGCAGACGATTTAAGCATGCAACAAAGGATTATTTAACAAATTTAATCAGTGAAACGTTACAGATATGGTGGACAGACATAGGAAATAATCGTTATTTTGTCAAAAACCATGCTAAGAATATTCTGAAAACAGAAGGATCAGATTTCACAGATCATAACCGTGTAAATGGGTTAGTGTTTTGTTTCCTAAATAAAACCTAGCTTATTGTATGTTTATGATTTGTAGATATCATCACTTGCTTAAAGAATTAAAGAAAAAGAAAACTTCTCAAGTAGGCCTACAGTAAAGTACACTTCAAACTTAAAAGGTAAGGGCAGTTAAGTTATTGTTACTCTTGGTTTATTTTTGTTACAGTTAGATTTAGTTGACAATTTCAGATCATTTCAGTATTTTTGTTCGGGGTAATAAAATAAATAACACATGGGTTTGTGAGTAACAGTAAAAATATCATCCCTCGTAAAAATACTGTTACCCTCGGCTACGCCTCGGGTAACAGTATTTTCCTCGGGATGATATTTTTACTGTTACCCACAAACCCATGTGTTATTTATATACTGTCCATTTGTTTGTTATAACCTGTTGCAAATTGTATGCCTTGGTTTGATAAAACCTGAAACTGTTCAATACGAAGGTATACATTTGGAAGAATACTAGTTAGCTTGAAATCTCTAACTGTTTTTTTATTTTGCATCTATTTTAATATATATTATACATTACATTAACATTTTCCTTCTATATTTAAACACATGTTAGTGTTCCTTCAAATAGTATATATAATATTCACGACGACGTGTTTGACAAAAAAAGTAAATTGACCGCTCAAACAGGCACTATTATATTTTTTTTCGGACCGCTAAAATGAAGTGGCGTGTAACCGCGAGGACAATTTAGCAAAAGCTCATGTTATAAAAGCTGACTGCTAACAGATGAATAACAATATAGATTATACGGATGATAAAGTTAAAACATACTTCCGGTGTAAGTGCCTCCGGTCATGGTTCCCCCAGTTCCGGTCATGGTACCCCCAGTTCCTGTCATGGTTCCCCCAGTTCCGGTCATGGTTCCACCAGTTCCGGTCATGGTTCCTCCTGTTCCTCCGCTAACGTATGTTCCTCCGGTACCACCATTACCTGAACAGATTTATTTCGTTCATTCATTTAAATGTGCAAATCGAAAATAACCACTTATAACCCTTATCTTTAAAGGCTATATGGGCTTTTAACAAAAATTTTAAAAGGTAAAATTATGCTGTTTCCATAAACTTATGTTAGATTCTCGAAAAAGTTGTAACATAGAATATCTTTGTTATTTAACACACATGAATATTTTATGTTAACAGAATAAATTTTTCCGGAATAAAATATTATGCTGCTATTTTTTAACGTTCTTTTTTACCAGTGAGCAATGATTTCCCACATGACCCAGACTCGCTAACAAAAAATTCAAACATAATTATTTTATACAAATATTTAGAGTTATTATTAACAAAAAAAGTAAAAAAGCTTCCTTTTGCCGATATAGAGCTTTATTTACTTAAAAACCAAAACAGAGAATGCCATTTGTTCTTCTTTTGTTTCTATTTTATTTTATCTTTTTTTAAACAGTATGTCCCAAATTTGGTTTTAGAGTTACTGCAAATACAATAGCTCACGTGACATAGTTTCCAAATATTTACAAAATAGCAGAAACTATTTTAAAGTGTATAAATCTATATATTATGAAATATTTTCAATAGTAAAATTATATTGGTTCCATTATTATATGGTTGATTCCCGAAAAAAGTTGTAACACACAGTCTCTGTTATTTAAAACACATGAATAATGTACGTAAACAGAATAAAATGTTCCGGAACAAAATTTCATTTTTCTATTTTGAGAAGGATTTTATCATTTTAGCAATGATTTTGTGCATGCGCCATCCGCTTTTAAAACAATTAATTACCATTTTTATTTCATGCATGCAAGCATTCATGCGAGTATACTATTTAAAATTCAAACAATATTAAGCATCATATATATAACTTTATTCATTTTAAAAACGACTTTATCAAATTGTCAATACATGTATATACTATTCGAGCCGCGTCACGACAAAACCAACATGATGTGTTTGCGACCAGCATGGATCAAGACCAGCCTGCGCATCTGCGCAGTCTGATCAGGATCCATGCTGTTCACTTACAGACCATATAACAAGTAAAGAAACTGATAGCGAACAGCATGGATCCTGATCAGACTGCGCAGATGTGCAGGCTGGTCTGGATCCATGCTTGTCGCAAACCCATTATGTTGGTTTTGTCGTGACAAGGCTCATATTATCATTACACATGTATAAATGAGTTTGATACTCACAGAATGCGCAGCAGTTATTTTGGACCCACTGAGCATAGTCGTGGTTCGAACATACAGCCTTGGTGTAGGAGGCGCAGTTGGTAAGTTTGTCAACACAGACACCACCTGTTCCGCCGGTCATTGTTCCTTTAATATACACACACGTGAGTAATTACATGTATATAACATACATTTCTTTCCGCTAGCATTTCATTTTAGACAATTCAATACAAAGCGAAATAAAAAAAAAGAAAATATATAATAATGATTCGGACGAAGAAAACAAAGTAAAATAAGGGCTGCAAACATTTTTTTCTAATAAAGATTTTACTATTATTATAACTTTAAAGAATTTTTTTTCTAATAAAGATTATACAATTATTATTACTTTAAAGAAAATCTTTTTTTTCTAATAAAGATTATACAATCATAACTACTTTAAAGAAAATATTTTTTTTCTAATAAAGATTATACAATAAGTATTACTTTAAAGAAATGATATGCAAATTTTAATGCACGACCATGTTCTTAACACAAGATATTCAAGTTTTTATATTTACAGAAAAAACTTTAATTTTCTTAAAATTATCTTTTTATTATATATTTTTCTCTTTTTTGACCTAATTATTTGAGAAACGTCCAGTTTGATTTTGTGTAATAGCAGAAAGTAGTCCGACAAGACACTAGTGAAAATACGAAAAATCTTTTTCACTGCAGTGAAAAAATGCATTTTATTTCATCAATTTTTCTAAATATTTCATTTATACATCTTAAAATATAAAAGAAATATGTATAATCAGATTTTCCAAATTTATGTCACACTGTCCTATATAAATCAATTGATACAAATTTACAACGATATTAAGTTATCGTAAAATGTGTTCATAATATTAACATTAATGGTATATCAATAAAAGACATTTAACAGAAACCCAACACCTACATTTATTACACACATGCAGGGAACTTTGAAGTAGGAAAGGTAAACCGGTTACCCAAACCCGCTTTCTTGTTCACCGGATACTTTCAATACGTTGTCATTGACTCACATAGAATTGTGAAAAGCTTATATTTAGCGACTGTCGCCGGACAACAGTAAGCATATTCCCTTAAAACGAATTCTAGCATTTAACTATGGTGACTATTCTTTTATTTTTCGTGTGGTGGGGCGCAACTTCGAAATCACAACTCCTTGTTTTCTACCTTTTGCCCTTCTAAAACTTTCCACGGAGCATACTTATGGAAAAGGGAAACTAAATTAATCCTATAATTGTCAGCAATCTGTTTTCAAGAAGTCACTGTCCGTTATCAGCCATATCTATATTATTCGATAACTTCAAATAGTTTTATTGTTACTCGATAATGCCAAACCATACAGCAAAAAGAAGTAATGATACTTTATAACAAGTATAATGTTCATCTGGACGCCGTTTTTAGGAAACGATATGCAAATATCAGACCACGGTCTTAGGCACTTAGCAAAGCACTAATTGAAGACTAAGTGCCCTAAATGTAAGATAACAAAAGTTTAAAAATAATGATTATTCATGGCAAAGATTGTGATTAGCTGAACGTCTCTTTATAGAAATGATATGCAAAATATATAAGACCATGGTCTTAACTGAAGAGTAAGTGTAACGAAACATATTAATTGTAAGAAAACAACATGAAAATTCGGCGGCAAAGATAAACGGTATGCAGCCTTTCCGCGTATACCTCATATTAACAGTTGTGTAAGTACTTAAAACTTTACCAGAAGCACAACCTTTTAAAATAACACCATGAAGTTGCACTTTCGCCGTGGCATGCTATTGAGACAATGTTCAGATTGCAATCTTAAAAAGTATATAAAAAGCTGAAGCAAAGCAAATATTTATAAGCGTCGAAATTTCGCCTTTCCGTTCGCATTGCAATATTGATCAAAAGCTAAGCAGAATGTCAAGCATTTTCCGGTAAAAAATATACCTGTTCCGGTCATTGTGCCGCCAGTTGCAGTTCCGGTTCCAGTACCTGTCATGGTACCACTTCCGGTCAAGGTTCCACCGGAACCGGCAACGGTGCCACCTCCACTTGATTGGAAATTACACTGAGGCTCAGCACAGCACTGGCCTGGTTTTTTTACCAGGGCACACACGGGTGGGAGTTGTCCATATGAGGGGCAACTAGATAATATTAATTAAGAATAAATCCAGGTAGATGTTATGAATTCTTAAGTTAGCTTCATCATGACAGTCTGATATAAAAGTAAGAGTAATCTTGGAGCGGAAAGATGATAATCTAGCATTTTGATTGAAAAGTCCATTTTGGTCATATGAATAACAGCAGGGTCGCACCAAGCCTTCGATTGTAAAAATTATGCAGATTCATTCTTACAATATTTAGTAACGTATAACGTTTTCAAGTTATCTTTTCAAAATCGTAAATGACGTTAACATAGAAAAAGTGACAACTCGTGCTGCTCAAAATGATGGAACCAAATGAAAAAGAATGGCATCCAAACTTGCTAGACAGACATAGATAGATTTTATTATAAATACGCGTCACATATGTCAAGTTATAAGCCAACAGGATCAAGAAAATATGCACTGGTAATTTGTAACTACGCCCATACATCCGAGGAATAGCAATCTGGGACTTTAAACTCCCGAGCATAGGCTACAACCTGTGGGAACAATTAGTATTGCCTACTGCAGAATCGCTATTTGAACATATTTCCAGCTTTTTTTGAGTCAAAATAAAACCTCCACAATGACCAAACCGTGCGGTTACCGCCTGAAAAGAATTGAAAAAACTTCGCTGACCCACATGTGAGTCAAAGGTTCGCTTGCCTGGTGCGTTTCTTTTCTATTGTTCTTACACAATTTTTGAAATATTTCTCAACATATGAAAACTGCTTGCACTCACCGATCTGTGCACTTGTATGACCCGGTAGCTCCGTTCTCACAGATACAGTTATATAGGCAACCATCTTGCCACGCCATTCCTTGCTGGTAGGTCTGCCCCTTGTAAACACATCCTAAAATCCCGACGGATACTTCCTATATTTTATGATTAAATTATGTATTTTATCTATTTGTATTTTCCGTTAATTTTGGGGTCTAAAATTGCATTTGAAGTGCATATTTCGTCGGCTTTAAAAGTACCTGTAGGCGTAAAAGTTTCATTCAAAGCTGATATTTTTTCAAGTGTGTCCCTAGCCCACAATCAATATCCTTACGATGTGGCAGTTAAGCTCTATGCCCCTTCATTATTGTGTGTACCTGTAAACTTAAAACAATAGAAGTATTCTGCAATCTATCTGGTCACAAAAAATAAAAATCATGGAATCACTGTCCTATATTAATGATTACATGAAAGGGAAAGAATGGAGGGAAATAAGGGCAATAAACATGCAGACGACAAAAACCAATGAAAAGAACGCTCACGTGCAATCAAAGATAAATGACTTGCCCATGCCACCAGTATAGTACCTCATCAGCCAGCACATCTGTACTATCTTTCCAGACGCTATACTGTCGGCTGCTCGATTTCATATTTTGTTATAAAAACCCTTAAATTTGTAATGGCAATTCCAAATTCAGTGCAGGGTAAGTTCATTACACAAATTTAGCGACGTCAGGCTAAACGCGAAATATACTTTTGATATCAATTTCTATAAAATATCAAAAATAATTTTGTCATTGAGGGAAAAAGGCCAAGAAATTATTCTTTACTTTAATTCTAGCCAAGCATTTTTCTTTGTTTTTGTTGTTGTTTTTTTTCTTACCCGAAAAAAGGAAGCATTTACGACACAAACCGAAAACCACAATTACAATACATTGTAAAATTCACATCACAAACAAGGAATTCAAACAAAACATATTTAAGGGAAATAACACATCAAAGTTAAACTCGGACACCATAATTCTTTTCAGTATTGCTAGAATTATATTTGAAATTAACATGTTGTAACCGGAAGTGATCAGCCATTGCTACCAGTCTTCATGTAGTCTGACCATTCTCTGTGCTTTTGGTTGACTTACTTAAAATTTCAGTTTCGATTTCCCCAATTTTGATAATGGACCGTTCCGTATACGGAATCTGGACAAAAATCAGACAAAATTCAGTTAATAATTTGAATACGAGAAGAAATTTTTCCTCATAAGCGTACACAATTTAATATTTATAAATGACACAATATTCAGTTTACGATGTCCGAGTTTTTAAGGTAAACTTATAAGATTTATACCTCCTGCAGTGTTACCCGCGGTCAGTATGAAAGGTTCGTCTGCTGAATGATACAAGCGATTTGAAGCAACAATAAGCAGCAAAAATAAGCATTAAAAAAGAAATGAAAAAAAGAAGGACAAAAAAACCTGAAATTAGAGACATCACTTCTGAAAATTAGAAATATCAATATCTAATATCCCTTTAAATAATGATATCAATTCTGAATATCTCTCAGATATGAGTCATCAATATTCCAAAAAAGACAATGAAATTAGATACAATGTATATCAATAAAGAATAAATTATGAAACATTTTTGTATCAAATATCTCTAACAGAAGTGATATCAACATCGGTTAATCTTAAAATTACAAATGCTTCTGATATTAGAATTATATCAATATCATAACGAAAAGCACGAGGCAGCATAAAATAAATACCGCTAGAAAGTCAGAGTGCATCATTTTATTTCTAAATAAAATTTTACGATTAAAAGTTATACAATTAAAAAAAATATAAATATGCAAACTCGATTTTTTAAGCAAATTTGAAAGAGGCCAAAACAACATGAAGAATTGCTGTGGCAATGCATTTAATATATAATGTAAATTAAACTGCAGGCAAAAATGCTAAAGCATCGGGAAAAATACAGCCAAATGTCGCACAGCAATACAATATGAAAGTATAATATGTAAAGCAAAAGGGAAACTGAAGCATTTCCTTCTGGCCCTGATATCAAAGCTATTGTTATCGTACAAGAAAATGTTGATACAATGTTTAAGGTCATAACTGCATGCATGCCATTTCGAAAGCAATGGTAAAGCAATGGTAAATGAGTTGTAATTTCGAAATGAAAATAAGAATAAATATATTTAAATAAGAATAATGTGTAAAAGCAATGTTTTCGAGTGCAATAAACAGATGTAATAACCAGAACAATCTCGTTTCGAAAATTACGCTGTTGAAACACAGAGTGCTGTACTACAACACACAAAACAATTTTTAAGGCAAGTACAAATGTATTAAAGCAAGGAAAAGCACATTCTTCTATTCTTCATGGTACATTCAAAGAGCTTACATCTAACCGCAACATTTTTGAATCTTTATTTTGAAAATTGACCTTAACTTGAGAGGAATTGATATAAATATAGTTTAACTTGTTTTTCAATCCAGTATGATGTTTTGTTGTTGTGAAATGTTTGTAATTGTTGTTCATGTATAATTTATTGTATCAATAAAGTTAAAACTTAAAGAACGCTGTAATTTAGAAATACATAACCTATAAAGAAATGTATATCAAAGACAATAATGTTTCAAGAGCTTTGATAATTATGTTAATTGTTATAGTCCGAAAGCAATTTCTAATATTTTATTTTTCCAAAGCAATGGAAGCACCGTCGTTTTTTGGGGGGTCTTGATTTCTTTTACTAATACACACAATGGTCATTCAAAAAACATTTATTAGTAATTTGTTATGTTGTAAGTAATGATAAGTCTATTTTATTTTTTTTTTAAAGGAAATACATGCATCAATATATGGTTATTTTGAAAGCAATGGTCGTGATATTATTATAACGAAAGAAAATATAAGAAAAGCAAGGACCAATACAAAACAATAAACTTAGCATAATTACTTAAATTAATTAAATGTAGTAGTGAACAATACGTTGTTATTTCGAAATCAATTACAAACACAAGTTAAAAAAATAAAAATAAAATAACGAACATTTTATTCTATAAATAGCTGTAACTAGTTGTCCTGAACATGATATGTCATGTTTTGGCCTGACATTAAACACGAATAGTGAACACTTGTTAATTTCAACTTAAGTGTACAACAACTTGTTTTTTTAATAACAACATACTTTTTACAGGAGGTTAGTGAACGACCAACGTTGTAAAATTCTGATAATTATGAATGAATGTTAAATATTATATATCATATCTTATTACGTCATCAACAAATCTTACTTTACATATTGAAAGATTCATGATGTCATATTTAGTTATTTACATCTTTTTTAATTTAACATTTCCTAAATAGAGACTTTGATGAGAATAATTATCATTATTGAGCAGCCAATGATAATGAGACACAATATTCAGTGCTGTCCTGTTACTACCGGTGTCGCGTGAGTACCGCACGTGTGGTAATATACGCGACACCGGTATTCATATTGCAAAGGTCAAGTAGGTCAAGTACTTTGATAGTATTTTATACTTATAGAATTTGGAATAAGTGATATCAGGATCTTTAATCATGAATGCTGGGTTCGAAATATTCTTCAAAATAATGAAAAATATGAACAATCTTTAAGATGTCAGAATAAATTAAATTTAGAACTTTATCATGGCGCATAAATTGACATTCGGAACACCTCTTAGATTATCCATATCTGGAATGACTGACTAGGACTTAGTAGGTCATTATGTGTTCACCTGATAAGGTTTTCATAAGATAAGTGAATTTCTAGCTTTTAAATTTCACCGAGGTCGAACTTTCATACAGTAAATATCAAATGTTACTCTTCTATTTCGTAAAATGTGTTTGTGATCATGTGTTAATTGTCTGATTTATTCAACATTTAAATGACCTAAAAATGTAAAATTGTTATTTATAATCATGGTAAAAAGAAAACTTTCAATGTTCCATAATTATATATCATTCAACTAGCAAGGGAACGGTTACACTAACTTGCTTATGAATAGTAACAACTATCAGAACAAATGATCGTAACATCGTAATCGTATCACGGTCCTTTAAAATGACATACACTCTTAAACGAATATAAATTTATCTTATTTTACGGCACATACTCTTATTAAAAGTCGTATTAAAAAACAACATAATTTGGACGGCTGTCTTATACATAAAAACTCAACTTTAAAAAAAAAAAAAACATGAATAATTATATGTTTTTATAATAATAATAATAATAATAATAATAATAATAATAATAATAATAATAATAATAATAATAAAGACTTTATTTAACGAGAGAACTCATTTGAACAACATATCAATCTTCCATGAGGCCCTTAACAAATATTATACATGTACGTTAATATCCAATTTGAAAAGTACTACCCTATTTCTTCATCTTCATAAACATTTATATAATTGTAAGAGAATAAAACAACTACAAAAAAAATCAAATGAAATAAAAGAAAAAGGATAAGTATTAAATATAAAAAAAAGATTAAATTAGAGGAATCAAAGTAATTATACAATAACGTCGTCAGCTAAATAACATACTCATTAAAAATATTTTTCGCGACATAACAAAAAAACCCAAAACATTCCAATACATACGATTACATAATTGGTACGGAAAATTCTTACCTGCGGCCCTTTTCCTAAGTTTTTCCCTGATTTTGCTATTTTTGGCAGACACCGCTACCAACCCAACACAAAGCAGAAATACTATAGACGTCTTCATCCTGTAGCGGTCCTACCGAAACTAGTCGAAAGTTATAGGACTACTAGATAGAAGTGTGAGATAAACTTTAGACACAGAGTTTATAAGGTGCCGACATGTGCCTCCCTACAGCTGTTCAAAGGACATAGATAAGGGAGTGTTTTTTTCTGTCCCGAGATAGTATAATGAAACAATTATTACATAATTAAATATCGTCGGTTTTAATTATAATGAAATTGAAAAGTACGTTGACGCAGGTGTATTAATCATGTATTAATCATGTATGTATAAGACTGCAACAGTTCAATAAATCTTGTTGTAATTGCAACAACATTGTTTTCATGTTTATTAAGACATCACGCTGTATGAGTCTCTCTCTACATTTGTTTTTCAATTTTCAAGAAATATTTTACAAGAATATTCAAAAATACATAATCAAATTTTGTTTTTCCAATGAAAACATCGAGTAGCACAGGAAGCGGACTCGAGAAGAAGATTGCCAATTAACTCACATTAAACGTGTTCCAAATGAAAAAAAAATGCATTTAATAAAAAGTGTCCGCAAAAAGTTGACACCATCATCAAGGTTCACTGAAATGACTGGAACTTGTATATCCGAGGTTAGCTGGCATCATTTAAATTCGACGGGCATAGTTACTGATTATGTTATGACAAATTTTAGTGATCAAACTTTGTGTAATCGGCAGCCGAACTACCATCAGCAACCGAACTACAATTTATAGTATAATTCAATTATATGCAATTCTTCCGCATTAGTCGATTAAATGCTGTAAAAGTTTTACAGTAATTTTACTCAAATTTGAAATTTTATTAATGTCTACTGTTTTCGATATATTCTTTGATTTGAGACTAAATTTCCAGTTTTAGTAAAATATTCACATATCTGTACTGCCAAAATGGCCTATCAGCATTAGAGATTATTATACGGCATTTGCGAAACTTTTTTTGTAAATAAGTAAGTGAAGTACCTTTATTGTTTTACATTAAATAGAAATAATAATGATTTAAATTAACGTATTGCTTAATTGTTTGTAAATAGATCAATTAATTAAATGCGAATAAAGAAGCATAGTGTATACATGAATGGACATTTCAGTTATAATAAGCTTCGTCATATGTGAAAATGAACATGAAAACTTCAAGCACGTAAACATTTTATAGTGAAAATATTCCCTGGCATGCTGAGTGGAATCCTGACTGTATATAAATGCTTCGTACTTGTATTTAACATGTTTTTGCACAAATTCTTGATAAAGAAACGGAACCACCGTGTCATTTATTGCAAGTCTATACCATTCAACCTGTATCATTATTGCAAGAACGCGCATCTTTTACTTCCGGTCACTGTATCATTTATTGCAAGCGTATACAATTCGACTTATATTATGTTTTGGGAGTACAGGGAGTATTTGCGTTTATCTACTGTGACATTTGCTGTTTTCAGTTTCACAATTAATTGGTCTCAAACAGTTAAGGAGACGAATTACTTTCAACTTTCAACCGTCGGATGCCCATGGCCGAAACATTAACATTTATTGTTGATTGCATGTTATCTTACATGTTAATCTTCGAGGGTATCCGACGATGATGATGCATTTTGTTATGCTATTTTTTACCATATTTAATGCCATAATTACCATATTTTATGCCATTTTTACCGTAATATCTAATGCCATTTTTACCATATTAAAAAAAAGAAAGGAGGAAAAAAAATATTAAAGAGGAAGTGTTAAAGATTGCCCGCCCACTAAGATCTCGATATATGCTAACTTCATGCGGACATGCAGATACAATCCAAATATAATGAAAGTTTGTCAAATGTTATCTCATTAGATCATAACATTGCTTCTCCATGTGTAAAGGTCAGAAATTACATACATTCCTCACAGTATAGTGTCTATGATCACGTGATACACGCATGTTTAGTATTTAAGCAACTTCTTTGGGTGAAGCAGTATTTAACTCGAGTTTTTGATCTGCAAAGAATAAAAATTACCAAAGATGGTAAAATTGAAAAATCTGCAGGCTCGGAATTTCCTGTTGACAACCCAAACTCCACTCCTTTCCTGGGTTAAGCGAAACTTAACACTTAAACATTAAACGTTTTACATTTAAAACTTTTACTTTGAGCTACATTAAAGGAACTTCACCGAGGTCCAAAAGGCTTAAAACATGAAGTTTGATGTTTTTACATTAATCAACTTGGGCACTTGTAACAGAAAAATATGCAAAAGTTACAGAAAAATATGCAAAAGATGATTAAGAAATCAACTAAAAGATAAATTGAAAATCGTTTTTATGTGCTATGGTAAGTCCTATTTGGATAAGAGTCGTATTGAAACTAGAATACATTTTCTGGAATCACGGAGTGATCGGGTGATCTGAATTTTGCACATAAGTTATTGGTCTAAACTTACACCAAATGAAACATTAATATCGAAATATTATTTCTTGTCCCGTCATGTCAAAAAACCCTGTCGAGTCCCTTTAACATCCTCTTGATACAAAATGTATTAATTATAAAGTTGTCTGACAGGTTATGTGGCTCAGTAAAAATTACCAGTTGTAAGGGCATATAATCTGAGCCGTTAGGCAAGGGTTATATTTCATACAACCGTTTATATAGGGCCATATAACCTGTAAAAATCTTTAAAACTAATAACATAATCTGAGCCGTAAGGCAATGATTATATCGCAAACAACCGTTCATGTAAGTCCATATAACCCGTCAAAAATTTTTATAACTAATAAAATAATTTGAGCCATTAGGCAAGGGTTATATTGCAAACAATCATTTATTCATGGTGATATGACATTAATGTTTATAATATAAAGCATTTATATACAGCAGAATAAAAAGAAAATGAAAAAAAGAGCCATTTACCGAGTGTTTAATGTATCTGATTTTCAAACCAGGGATCGTGGGTTCAGTAAAAAATATCGGTTCTTAGCTTATATAAAATGAGCCGCCAGACAAGGGTTATATTGCAAACAACCGTTTATTCATGGCGATATGGCATGGCATAAATCTTAATAACGAATTTCTAATAAAATCAATAAAAGTGAAATGAAAGGAGTCTTTCACCGAGTGACTAAGGTGTCTCATTCCAAACCAAGGGATCGTAAATTCGAGCCCTACTTAGGTCACTGGCAATTTTCGGCATTCATGTGACACAAATAATGACAGTTTCAGGCAGCGAGAGTGAAATTAAGCTACACATACATACTTCAATAAAGTCCATGGGTTTTATATCTTTAAAAATGGGATTTACGCATATAGTCAAGCTCTATGCTTATAGAGTCAAATTGAGAAATTAGAAAAAATAGGTCAAATATTTACTGATCTTCAAGTTTAAATATATGTGCAATCAGAACAAAGCCTATCCCACGCAAGTTTACTATATATATTTCATGACGATTTTACAAATCGAGACTGTTTTTGTCCTCATTGAGAGACCCTTTTCCTGATAACAATTCCGCTGGTCACATGTTTCTTGATCTTAAGCGTTTAACCTATGCTAAAATCATGTCTAGGATGGGTCCCATCTTCTACAAGTCTGGCATAATATTATCATTGTTAAAACAACAGACATAGCGAAATAACGTTTGATTTTGGACCATTAAAACTGCCAAAGCACACTACACAATTGTCTGATAACGCTATGTTCCAATTTTTGGCCTTGATTGAAGAATGAAATAACTTTAAATGAAGAGCGTTTATAACGGTTTCAACACTTCATTGAAATAATACATGTATATTTTTGTATAATCTTTCAATTGAAATCTGTAGTTTTATTAAATAAAAGAGAAAAATTCAAGCCCCCTCTACTTCAACTTAAACTTCTCTTTTAACATTGATCACTGAAAAACTCACTGAACGTTACTCACTGAAAATTTCTACTCCAGCATGGCTCACTGAACATTGCTTATTGAATATTACTCACAGAACATTACTTACTGAACATTACTCACTTAACATTGCTCTTTGAACATCGACCATGAAAAGGTCACTGAATTTTACTTACTGAACATTGCTCACTTACTGAACATTGCTTAGTGAAAATTGCTCACCGAAAAGGTCACTGAACATTACTCACTGAATATTGCTCCCTGAGCATTGACTCTGAAAATCTCACCGAACATTGCTCACTGAACATTGCTCACTGAACAATGCTCACTGAACATTGACTGTGAAAAGCTCAATGAACATTGCTCACTGAACATTGCTCATTGAACATTGTTCACTGAACATTGCTCACTGAACATTGACTCTGAAAAGCTCACTGAACAATGCTCACTGAACATTACTCACTTGACATTGCTCATTGAACATTGTACACTGAACATTGCTCACTAAACAATACTTACTGAATATTACTCACTGAATATTGCTCAATGAACATTGCTAACAGAAAGTCACTGAACATTGCTGACTGAACATTGTTGACAGAAAATTTCACTGAACATTGCTCACTGAACATTACTCACTGAACATTACTCACTGAATTTGGCACACTGAACATTGCTTACAGAAAAACTCACTGAACATTACTCACTGAACATTGCACATTCAACATTGCTAACCGAAAAGCTTACTGAATATAACTCACTGAACATTGCTCACTGAATTTGGCACACTGAACATTGCTTACAGAAAAACTCACTGAACATTACTCACTGAACATTGCACATTCAACATTGCTAACCGAAAAGCTTACTGAACATAACTCACTGAACATTGCTCATTGAACATTTACTCCGAAAAGCTCACTGAACATTGCTCACTGAAAATTTCTTATTCAACCTTGCATATTGACTATTGCTCATTTAATATTGCTCACTTGACAAATCACTGAAATTTGTTTTCTATTAATCATAATATAGTCATTGAATTTTATGTTCAAATAAAATATTCATGTTTTGCGTCTTGTGCCCCTTTGTTCAATTGAGGAACGATAACACTAGCCTTTCCATGAAAAAAAAACGGATCCAGAAAAAAATATAATTATAAAGGTATAGTAAAATCCCGGGATCTGGGAACGTATTAGATATATCGGGAAAAGTAATTTAAATGTTTGCTTTTCGTAAGTAAAGGCACCCCTCCTGAAAAAATACAAAAAACAACAACAACCGGTACTGTATATCTATTTTAACTATTATTATGAACGTAAAAAAATGAAAACAAAAAACAAAAAAAAAAACAACAGTTTTTACCTTAAGTTTATTTAATTATTTATATTTTTAGAAAAGATCTATGACAGGCAACGATTTTATCGGGTATTCTGTATGATCACTTTTAAGTCTATCGCGCGCATCGTGCCCGAAAATCCAAAACATCCACTTAATGTAAATTAATTTTATTTTTAATTGAGTCCCGTTCTTACTGTTTTTTTTTCAAAGTATTATTTGTATGTTATTTCCCGTTTAACTTAATTTCGTTTTTTATTTGATGCTCTTGTTAGTTAATTTGATAACTTCTTGTATGTGTCTTTGATCCGTTTACTATCTAGTTGTACTATGTTCTGTTCGACAGGTGTTATTGTCTGTTATCTGCTGTCTTTATCTCTTATTTTGTTATTTGCTGTTCTGTTAAGTTGCCGTTGATGCCTGTCTTGAAATGTTCCACTGTTGCGTTGTTTTCTGTTTTTCTATTTTATGATGTTTGTTTTCCGTTCCGTGTCTTGTCGTTTGTTCCATTCAATTTATTTGCTATCTGCCCGGCCCCGTGACGTCCCATGACTTGTTTTTCTATCCTTTATTTGTCTGTTCCGCTTTGTTTTCTGTTTAAGCACACGTACCAACCTCTCACTTTCAGCCATTTAAAGCAAACAAACGGGCTACTTTGCATAATGAAACATTTAAAGTTCCATGAGAAACTTGTCATTGAATTTAATTTGATGATAAAAGAAAATGATATAATCTTTATAGATCAAAGCGCTGAAAGCACTGAGTGCGACAGCTAGGCTTAGGCTATTATAACACAAAAGGATGACTTAGTGTCTTGTACATCTCTGCAGTTATGTAATTTAAAGCCCCCAAAGGTGTTATAGTTAGTTACAACATACAATATAGGCTAAATTAAGCAAATGTGATCAAAAGCTACGACGTATTGTCAGCTGAACATGTTCAGCATATGATGACAAATATATAAGCTAATTTATACATTTATAATGATAATTCAAAAGAATGTCTGAAATTTATGCAATACAACAGCTCTTAAACCGATGTGTTTCGTCCAATGTTACGTACTTTTATTTTCATCGAGGCCGTGTCTTTCCGCATTTAAATCATGCAACTTATTTAAGACAAAAGACACAGCCGCAATAAACATCTGCTTTCAAGTAAAACATATTTTTAATGTATCGTATATGTATTAAATCTGTCAAAATGACGTAATTTTATATGGTTTTGGGGTATATATTTTTCCCAAAATATGTATATATCTTTTTTTGTTTTTTAAAAAAAATTTTTTAACCCCAATATTTAAAATTGTATCTTTTTTTTGGGGCCCTTTTTTTTGAAAATGTGGTCCGGGTTAAGTGGGCATACATACATATACACGCACCTTGCGTTAACTGGAGTGCAGGTATTAGTTATCCTCACTCCTGAGCATGCCCATTGATTGGATCATTTTTGCCGGGGGTTTACGTATTGTGACGGCAGAGAAATGGAAAGCGACAGAACATTGATTCTCCACTAAACATTCAAAATAGGCTGTTAGAAATAGTGAATAATTGACATTTGCGAATAGTTACCAAGACACCTTTTTTTGTTGGTTTAACTAATGTATAACATTGAACACATACTGGTTCTTTTAACATTTCACCAAAAATCTTGTAATATTTCCTGAAATTAAGTTACCAAGAATTCGAGATTTGTGCAAAAACAGATACGTTACCATTTTTTTCAAATTGCTTTCACAGAGACCAGACAAAAATAATTAGCATGGATATACACGATTTAGAAATTTATTATCATTCTTTCAGCAATATAGTTCAAGTATATACTACAAAATATTATGCATTAATATGCATTTTAATAAATTCTACGTCTATGAACAGCTTGTGAACTGAAGCTGATGAAAATGTTACTTATTAAATCAGACTTGTTCAATCCAAACACATGATGAACTTAAAAAGTATTTTATGCCAATAAAAATACTGATGTTCCATACTCATCTATTGACACAATGAAGCTCGGATTTACTTAACAGAATAAATTTATTCCGCTAAATGGAAACGAATATTAAATCATAGTAACGTATCTGTTTCACCGTTCTACTATGAACAAAATTATGAAAAAGCCTGAACACGTACATAGATATTCATAAAGTTTTTTAAACAACTGACCAATAGATAATATGTCTGAAAGCCAGTACTTCAACATTAAACAGAACACACAATATCATTAACAGTTTTTTTTTTAGGTTTTTATTGTTTTATGTGTAGCTTAAAATAGTCAAATAACATTGTGACTTAAAGAAACAGGTTGACTTAACAAGAACATTTTAAATAAAGACACTCATCTATTAGAATAATTATGTAACAGCTAGATTAATGTGAGTGTTCATAGTGTGAATTGACATTCTGTATTTCGTTTGTCTTTTTGGTTCACCTGCTGTGTTCAATTGTCTTTATTTTTCTAATATATTTTTTTTTATATAAATGGCTCTCGACCCTTGATTTTGTCATACTTGGTGATATGCAGTAAGCCTACATGTATATGCTTATCTACATTTAACAAAATTATATCAGAAACAATGGTACGACTTAAAAAAAACCAACTTAGTAATAATCAATCCATATATATGTGCACCTCCGAGATTTTGAGCTATATCCAATTAGTCCATCCCTACCATAGACAGAAAATCTTGATACGACCCTGACTAAAATTTAGAAAACTAACGGACATTCATTTAAAAATACTTTAATGTTTGTTTTTTTTTCATTAAGTTACAGTGTAGTTATATATTGCCTAATCATATATTTACTTATTTAAACCAAAGTTTTGTTGAAGATTTTGTTATATTTATTAAACAGTGCTCAAATCTCTTTCTAAACAGATACGTTACTATGATAAACAGATACGTTACCAGAAGTTATACAGCCCTCTTCATTTTTTTTTAATACAAATTTTGCAAACCAAAAAGATATCAACATATATTTATTCCAGAAAATAAAACAGTAAATTTTGATTATGTTTCTTTCCTGTTTTTCAACATTTTATTTTCTAGAAAACTCAACTCATCCTTGAATTTCAATTCCTGATTCACATTTTCAGTTTTCCAATAAAATCGAGATCAAAGCATCATTTATCGGCTACACGTACGTTATGCTGTGATTTTTTTACATGAAACCATTTCAAAACTGAGCAAAATCGTCAATTAAGATTCAAACAATAAATATTGGTAACGTATCTGTTGGTAACGTATCTGTTGGTTCAAAAAACTAAAATATATCAAATATACACATATGTTTGCCAAATATATTAAAATATTAAGTTTTGTAAAGCATATATTTGAATAATGCATAAATGCAATCCTACTTTTAAGTGCTGGTAATAGTAAATGATTCTCAGTGGGATATCATGGTAACTGACTGTTTCACTTTAAAGTATAATCAAAATTGCCTAATCAGTGCAAAGTCATTGTGGTTCTAGCATGTATATAGTAGTCAAAATTATTTTTGAATAATGAAATATGATAAAACTTGAGTTCAAAAGCAAACTATTAATATGTTACAAGTTCATATTACTCTTACTCAGGTTTACCTGAAGTGTGGTAACGTATCTGTTCAATATATGAGGGACATGTATTTCAGCTTGTAACTTTTTTCCAAATTGACTATAGAAAAACAATAAAAATCGCTCACTTGGACATTTAAACTAAAACTTAATACTTAAGAGGTTTTTCTTCAACACATGTTTCAGGGGTTTATTTATGTAAAACCAACAGTAATATGGGACCCAAGCCTGGGGACATTACATAATGGGTTATACAGCACCTTAGCATGATAATATTTTTCGTATAAATCCAACAGACTAAGTCATTAATTTGATTGCTTTACATACATGACCATGTAATGAAGCAATAGAATGCCCAAAAAGTATATTTCAACTGCAGTGCAACAAAATATACTTGAGGGACAGAATATTTTCTAATTTGCACGTTTAGTGGAGAATCAATGAGAAATGTCATATTTAGACGCTCGTTCATTGGAAACTCCGGGGTTTCATATTGTGACAACAGGGAACATGCTTTTATGTTTGACTATGATACAAAAGATAAAGAACATCAAAACACCAGGCAATCTGATTCATACCCGGGGGCTACACCCTATAGTATAAATCAGATAGCCTCGTGTTTCGATGCTCTTCCTATTACTTACATTACTCACTTACCACTTCTTATTGAATAATGGTTTTTGCTACATTTAATTGTTTATAACATTCTGAACTCTGCTCATTGTATAAAATTTATAGACCCCTGGTCTTTGAACAATTAATTTTACTTACAATGGCATGAACTTTGCTTTTTGAGCATTGCATTGAACTTTGCTTTTTGAGCATTGCCTATTGTTTCATGAACTTTGGACACTTAGAGTACCCGGAACCGTGCTGACTTAAGAACTTTGGTCTTTAACTTCAATTATATTTCTCTTGAAATCATCCTATCAAAAACGTATTCCGATGCAATAACATAACTACTTAAAGTATCCCAAACTTTTCAATGAATCATTACTCATTCTTAATTGCACGCTACGAAGTGATCACATTACTGCTATACCGCATGACTCACAGCACCATACAATGTCTCATCGTAAACAACGATAAACCATTGTTTATCACCATTTTCTGTTTGGTTAATCATTTAACTTAAAGATATATTTTAACAATAATGGTCCATTGCTATCAATTTTTCATTTTACTTTAAAAATGACAAAGTCAACTGTAAACAACAACCTTTATTGATAAAACTGTAATAAAGCAAGAGATCATCAACTTTAGTTGCAATATTTAGATTCGTTTCTATTCTTCGGTATAACCCGGTGGGTACTGAAGCTTGATTGAAGGTGGACATACTGGTTTTGGGCAACATTTGCCTGGTGCTGGTGGATCCATTCGACATGTGTCTGGCAAGCTCCATGTCAAACATCTGAAAATAGAACGAAAAAAAAACATCTAAAAATAAGTACAAAAAGATAAAAATAGTATCAAATTTTAGATTTTCAAATGTCAAGTCGTACTTCTTCAAGGATCGAACCTACGGCCGCTAGATAACTAAGCTGATAATCTCCTGACAACACTCCGCTTTACAAAAGATAAAATGACACAATTTGACACTTACAGTGATCGGCACTGGTATTTTCCAGATGTGCCATCCACACATTCACACTTATATTTACATGCGTCCTTCCATGTCTGGCCTTGCTGGTAAACTTGGGAGTTGTACACACACCCTGAGAAGCCAAGCATTTATTTATGCATGAAAAACAACAACAACAAAATTCGAATCATTGCTTGAATAAATTAATTGATGTATATAATTTTTATTCATTTTTTTATGAAATTGCAGGAAATACCATAGCCATTTTTTTAAATTGTTACTTTATATTTATAAGCAAAATGTAACTAATAAATAGATCTTGTTGCATCTCCAAGAGCAAGTTGTCCAGTCGGTAGAAGCTGTCAAGACCGTCAATCAAAGCATGAAAAGTATACTAAAACCCGTACACTACATTTAAAGAACTGTAAAGAATTACCAGTTGACGTTCCGGTCATTCCACTCCCGCTGCTTCCACCACTGTTCAATGAAGGACTTCCTGCTGACATGCTGCTACCTGGAGAATTTTAATTTTCATTCATATAAAAAAGCAAGATGATTAATACAGAAAGGCATCTTTACTAAGAAAAGTCTTATTTTAATCATGCGATGCGCCATTCTATTGTTACCACGACCCCAATCCTCTGAGACTTCAACTAAATGCAAATGGGATTTAACTCACTTTACTACAGTGTACAGTTTTTAAAATCAAAGGAAGCAAATAAGACTTAAGTTCTCATGTATAGGTAATCTTACATACATCATTTGATCCAAAATTTTTATAAGGAACTTATTATTCAATTTCTGTTAATGAGGGAAAAACCAACAATAAACTCAGATGAAAATGAAATATTAAGTTTCATGGTCTGTCAGTAAAGTACGCTAAGACAAAGTATTCTATTTCTTCCGACTATTATGTAGTAACGCCCACTAAGAGTAATTACTTACCACATAGTATAACGAAATCACTTCCATAAAGAGTAAGTACTTACCACATATTATAATTGAGTCACGCCCACTTAGAGTAAATACTTACCACATAGTATAATGGAGTCACGCCCACTAACAGTAAATACCACAAAGTATAATGTAGTAACGCCCACTAAGAAAACATACTTACTACAGAGATTGCATGTTTTAGCACAGTTTTCAGTGGCCCATGATTTGTAAGTTGTACATGAATCTGCTTGGTATTGAGCACAATTGTTCAGTTTGTCCGCACATCCTGAAATTCATTTTGTAGGTCAAGTTAAGAGTTAAGGTCCTTGTAAAGACTAGAAATCATATCAGATATTCGCCTAGCTTGTCTTTATGAAAGCAGTTCCATTCATTTCAGTTTGACCAATCTTGAACAGAACTAAAACTTATAGATTGAAAATCTAAAATATGTCTCACCAGTACCCAGTACATCTTGTATCCTTTTTTGTTAATATAACTATTCGCCCAACTGACGATTCGCCCCACTTGAGTGACGATTCGCCCTTTTTTAAACCTTTGTTTTATAAACATAACGCTTTCTTTATTATAATTATGGTAATATGGGTGCATAAAGGAACTCGTTTTCTTACATATAGCTGAAAACGATATCACACTGTGCATATGTTATATACAATAGTGACTATCGAAAACGTGAAAATGAACAGTGTAAAGAAGGAAGAATATTTTTTGTTGTTGGAACTATTTTAAATATTAGAGCGCTTAAATTAATGCGCATTTAAAAGGCAAATATTGGCTTTTCGATAATGAGAAACCCCTTTTCGATAACCTAATTTAGTTCACATCTGATACAAAGATTTTTTTTTTGTAATTTCATCTATTGTTTGCAAAAGTGATAGCGTAAGGTGCTACTTTAAAATATTTTCCTGAATTACTTTCATAAAAGTTTTTGTATGCCTGACATACTTTTATTTCTAATTGAGGTATGTTTGATTTAAGTATAAAGAGCAAAAACGTTCTGAATTAAAAGAAAGTATTCAAATGCGTTAGTCACGTTTGTACTATGTATAGAAACCTTTCAATGATTTTAGATGCTCTTTCCATAATAATTATATTTACATACACAAATATATGTTAAGAAAAATGGCCTTACTAAGTTAAATAATAATAAGGTGACATAAGAATTTCGAGCACAAATATTCAAGCTTACCTGTTGAGCCACCACCCGGGCTTGGAGGTGTAGGCACCCCACCTCCGCCTCCGCTAGCTGCTGGAAGGATATAAAATGCACATGTTAAGAGGTGACACATTTAAACCGATTTTTTTGTTTAACCATTGTAACATTGATCTTCCGAGTCAAAAACAAAGGTCTTGACAATTATTTTAATATCCCGTAACAAAAAAAAGCTGTCATGATCTGTTTTAGAACAACATTTGAAGTCTTTCCTCTAAACTTGACCTTACACATTCGGGGTACACGACCACGGCATGCTTTAGATGTATGGCAAGCTATAACAAAATTATTATACAAAACGAAAGAGTTATTGTACAGACAACCGTTTTAGACTAAAAAACTGTATGATACCATTGTTTGACTTTTAACCTCAAAGTGTTACCTTGACCTTTGAGACACGGTTTTGGTTCTTGTTTGTGACACAGCCCTTTTAAAAAAAAAAAAAAAAATATTTTGCCAAGTTTTTTGGGAAACTCTTTTCAATGACAAGACGATTTTGTCCGAAAGATTTGGATGCCATATTTTAGTCAAAGACGAAAAAATACGTGATGGCTTAAATGGAGTGACTGGATGCTTCATGAATGGAAGAATTTCATTCCTTTAGACTTAGAGAAAAATGGCTTTAATATATGAATTAACTCATACTTACGACACATATTGCACGTTTTCTGACAGTTTTCCTTTGCCCATGCAGCATATTGTGAGTCTGTACAGGCGTTTTGACCGTAATCAGCACAGTTCGGTAACACATCCGCGCATGTATCTGAAATGGTTAACTTCAGTCAAGAATCAAATCGTTCTTTCTCGGCTATTTCTGTCAAACATGACCATGAAGTAATGGTTCACCGATCGGACATGGCAATCTTGTTAACCCTCGCTACTAAAAATTTATAGATGTAAAAAGACTATAAGTTATATCATTAGAACCGCACTGCAACTGCTGAGCATTCTCAGTAAACCAAAAATTTAAAAATCATGTAATTATTGTAAGAATCAAGTAAATATTGTAAAAATCGTAAACGTTAACTATCTATTATCCAGGTTTTCCTCAATTTTATAGTTGAGCAACTATGTTTGAAACCTCAAAAGATCGTAAGCAAATGACGCTACAGACGTACATGTGGGTTAATTTTAATAAGGTTTTTATCAGGTATTTATTGTGCATTTTCGTTTGTGCAAGTACTTCATTTGTTTTCAGTTTTGACATGTATGTCGAAACAGTAGACAGTAAGGAATTTATTACAAAGTAGTTTAGCCTAAATGTTTCTTATTAACCCAGGAAGATAAAAATCTGAAAGTTTATATGTCAGTGACACTTTAGCGCGTGTTATCTTTGGATGCCAAAAGCATGATTCAAAGGCCAGAAAGATTTTAAATGTTCCTCATTATTTGAAGTATCAATTATCTTCCTTGTTACATCGTTTTTAGGTGGACACTCGTTCTCTTGTTTATTGCGTCTTTAATGCCGTTGAATAGAAGAAACGTGCAACTTCGGCACATTCCGTTAAAGCTTCTTAAAGACATGGAGCAAAAACTAATCTTGTTCAACTGACTTCCGTAACGGGACAGGAGACATGTTCGAACTATGGCCCGATCAAATTTATTAATAACACAAACATAGTGTTTTGAAAGTACTAATATTTTTTTTATTTCTTTGTCATTATATATTTTTTTTGTTTGTTTTTAGGAAATGATCAGCTTTTTTTTGGTTTTTTTTTAGGGTACCCTCTGAAATTGTATTGACTTTTTTTGTCTCCCCAAATTGAAGAAATAAAGAATTACATTTGGGCCCCAAAAACAAGTAAAAAATTTGGGAAAAAATCAAAACGTGTGTTGAATTTTAAAAATTTGGGACATTTTTTAAAATTCATTATTGCACTTTGTGTTAAAAAAAGTTAAAAAATTTTTAAAAAAGGAAGGGAAAAACGCGAAATTTTTGGAATATCAGGGAAACTTAAATGAAGAGGGCCCATTTTTATATTTTTCGGGTTTAACCCATTTTATTAGGTGGGGGTAAATTATATCTATAAATTACTGTAAGTCTTTATTTTTAGGGGCAAAAAAATGAATGCAAACTATATTTTTCTTCAACGTATGCCATATATATCAGTGAAAAATGCTGCACAAATGATCATCTGCCTGTGTAAAAGATTTTTAAGTACTTTGATTTGTGTTTTGGCAACATTGGAATTTAAAATTGTTCAGTTTTATCTTATGAAATATTTGGAAAAAAACAACAACAAAAACCACAACATTTACTGCAGTAAAGTAATGTTATATTGTTTCAATAATCTAATGGTCGATTCTCAAAACAGTTGTGACATAAAATGTTCAAATGTTTTGCTATTATAAGGGGGTTTACTTATTAAGCAAGAATTTCGTGCATCCGCTTTTATGCAATTTAAGCATTTTGGAAGTACTTCTTTTAAATTTAAAACACTAATGTTTAGAAAGGATATATAGCTTAATACACTATATCAAAATAGTGAACTGTCTGATAAGAGTTGTGGAATGTTGACTTGGTAAATGCTAGTATACTAGTATGAAAGCTTTGCATATTTGTAGAGCAGCCAGATTGCATTATAAAGGTCTAAATGTAACGGCAACTCGTCTAAAGTTGGAAGGCCAACCTTATCTACGAGGTCAAGGTCAAATAAAAGTGTCAAAACTAAAAACTAGCAAAACCATAATTGGTTTTCTTTAGTTTTCGGACGCTTAAAGCTGCACTCCTCCAGATAAGCCAAAATATTTCAAGAAATTCAATCTTTAGAAAATGTATTAAGATCTTAAAAAAGTGAAAAGATTCAATATAATTAATTATCTTCATGTTATGTGCGATTAATGACTGATTTTACAGTATCAATCACTATAATTCTACTGCGTTTAACGCTAACGCAGTAAGAGGTATTTATGTATATTTTGACCTTTTTTTGTAACTAACGTGCATTGTTTGTACAATTTGCAATGTGTAAATTACTTTCTTTGTTTTCTTCGTAATATCTTACTTTTGAATACATTTTTAAAATTTTCATGAAAATAAGCATGAATCTAGAGGCATGTTGATTTAATTTCTATTATTTTAGCGGCCAATTTTGGTCTAATGATGATGATGATGATGATGATAATAATAATAATAATGATGATGATAATAATAATAATAATGATAATAATATTAATGATAATAATAATGATAATAAAAGATAAAATAAAATGTTAAAAAATCAGGATCAGGATTAAAACAAAAGTTATACATGTATTAGTTAACTAATCATTAAAACATTATGATATTGAATCTAAACAATGGATTAAAACTGCAAAATATGGATAATTCTTAGAGAACGCGATTAAAATTGTTGAATTTCTTGAAAACAAACCATGTATTTTTACCCTATAGTTTCACAATTCTATATCATTTCCAGTCCACTAAAGTACATATTTTATTTAGTTAAAATAGAATAAAAACATATGGTCATAAGCATTGGAAAAAAGTTTCTATCCAGATTTTTCCCCCTTTTGTGGACACGTGACCGGGACAGCATTAGTCAATAACCGCACAATATGAAACCAGCTTCAGGATCGGACAGAGAATAAAAAAACCCAAACATCTCAGGTTCGAGAATGAGCAGTAATTAAGAAACAAATACAAAATACTCTTGAAAGAAGTGTAAAGGAATATACCAAAAACATTACCTGATACAAAAGAAAGAATAAATCTTTTATCAATGTCCCTTGACTCAACGCCTCTCAGCAGGGACGAAACAAGTCCGGTACTCAAAATAAAAACTAAAGTCGTCTGCATGTTGGTATCTCTTGCAAGTAACAGGAAAGTGGAAGAGAATATATCCGAGGTTGATGATAACCTTTGCTCTTATGAAATTTGACCTTTGTACACTATCGTGTAAGACGTAAAGATAACGTAATTTGTAACTCTATTGAACGGAAGATCGCTGGTGACTTTTCAAGTTTTTGAATTCTCGGGTTCATCTTTAGGGATTCACAATTTCAACTTAATAAATTCACGATCTCAACATACAGAACTCACGAATTCACGATTTCGACTTCATAGTTTCGATATTTTAACTTCTTGATTTCATGAATTTAATTCACGATTTTAACCTAAAAAATTCACGATTTCAACTTCACGAATTCACTTCAACTGAATCATTTCAGCTTCCTAATTAAACGATTTCAACTTATGAAGACGAAATCTTGAATTAGTGAAGTTGAAACGTGAAGTTCAAAATATGAATTCATGAAGTTGAAACCGCGAAGATGAACTCGTGAATTCGTGAAGTTCAAAAAGTGAATTCGTGAAGTTCAAAACATGAATTCATGAAGTTGAAATCGTGAATTCGTGAAGTTGAAATCGTGAATTCATGAAGTTGTTATCGTGAATTCTGTTTGTTGAAATCTTGAATTCACGAAGGTAAAATTATGAATTCACTAAGCTGGAATCGGGGATTCATGAGTTTGAAATAACCTTATCTGGCTTCCGTACAATGACATTATTTTTCATTATATTTCATAATTACCTTAATCTGAACTTGTATTTAAAGTTCAGTGTTGTTATTTTGTTGTTGTCATTAAGGACATTTATAAACAATGCTTTTTAGTGCATTTAGTGTTCATAATTGAATATCGCTCATGCCGGTGTAGGAGGGGGGGGGGGGTTATTGTTAAACATCTTTTACTTTTATTTTCAATAATCTTTCCAGAATTTCCAGAATTTTGAATAAAAGTGGTAAATATAATTATAGTTAAAATTAGCAGCTTTGACATGCAAATGTTTAAAACAGGATAATTCCTTTATTAGGACTTACAACGTAAAGATACAAGTGTATTAATTTGAGTTCCATTGCAATAACAGAGTTAAAACTGAAAATATCTAGGGATAACTTGTCGTGTTATTGTTTTGAAACTTGACGTTGTTCCTTAGATGACCGTTTGTGTCTAGGTCAAATTCTAATTCGAGGAAACTTTACCATAACTTTGTTGCTGATTTAATATCTTTAGAACGTGTGCATTTGTCATTTGAAAAATCTAATGGTTAAGTTATAACACTCAACAGTGGATGGACGTTTTTTGTTTTAAATTTGGAGCTACAAGTTTTAATTTCATTTATTTCAAGTTCGAACAATTACATTAGAGGGACTCCACTGAGTTTGTTTTTGACATGACATGACTGGAAATAATTTTCAAGAATAATGTTCCATTTGATGTAGCACAATAACTTGTGTTCATTGGTTAACGCAATTTTTCCAGAATAATTATTCTTGAAAGATGATCCAAAATTGAAATCGTTGCTATGCTTTTCTCTCAAATCGGGCGAAGAAAAGCACAAAATACTAGTTTCAATTTATTTCTTAGTTTATTTTTAATTTATCTTTCGCAAATCTCTGATTTAAATGCCCTGGCTGATCTATGTTAGAAATTCAAATTTTATTTTTTATGCTTTTGGACCTCAGTGGAGTTCCCTTACACACAGGCTCAATGCTTGTGAAATGAGTCAAATGTTCAGATTTTAATTTACTACTTTTTGATATGAACAAACTTTAAGTGTCCCAATATTTTCATATCTATAAGGCAGCCGTTCTTTAACTTGCTGGAATTGAAAATTATTCACTATTGCCACCAGTATAAATCTAGTTCAGGCTGCACATCTATGCAATCGGTACATGGTCAGAGGTTATAAAGATATTTTTAAGCTCAAACGCAGGTATTGGATTAACCTGAATCTGGCAAAGCATGTACATTTAACCAATGAAAATTCTGAGATTCGAGAACTTCTTACATCCTGGTCAGGCTGTATATTATTGGTAATTTTGTTCTTTAAACCCCTTTCACTTTTAAAAGGATAAAATTCATATAAGAGTTACCTTAGCACAGTTTAACACGTTTGGGTAAAAAGGCTTACAAAAGAATTCAGCATGTAAAATAAAATAAAAATGAAATTATTCTCGTATCGGATATAGCTTGAATGAGTGTTTATGTATGGTTTCTGTACCTTAAGTTAAATATGGAGTGATACCTTAAATATTTTCTTTTAACGGTGCACGTGTATTTCGTGGGTTAGTGGGGTATATATATAGTGTTTTCGCGGTTTTTCTTCACTCGACGCTTGCATTTGGTGGTACATAAATAACCTGTTTAAATACGCCCCACCCCGCCCCATCCCTTCTTACAACAAACGTTTTTGTAATGAAGTATTTTAATACACATTCTTGCTGAATATTTAGGCTTTTTTCATTATTCTTCACATGACACACACAAAATATTTTCTTGAAATATAACTTATTAAAGTTGCATGATTTAATGCTTTTTCTTTGTTTTAATGAGCATAACTTTATTTATTATTTTACAGATTACACAATATTATTCTGTTTTGTAATATTTTGTAACCGCGTATTCAGATCTGTTTTAGTTTCGTTTCAGAGTTTCGGATACAGCAACAATGCTATACATTTGATGAATCCCAAATACAAGAACATAACCGATACAGATAAATACCGATTGATTCTATTGATTTGTAATATGTACTACCAAATATTAAGCGTTATTCCTATGTATTTGTTGTTGTTTCTTGCTATAGTAGATTAGAGAATAATTGATTTACTCTCGACATAAGAGAGAGTAACCTCTTTTATTAGTAGTAATCCTTTAAACAAACAGATAATTATATCTCAACAATCGTAAGATAAAGTTATTTTTTCACTCTGCGACATAACCAGGTGGATATTGAAGTGTGATTGACGGTGGACACGCTGGGGTGGGGCAACATTTGCCTGGTGGAGCAGGATCCATGTGGCATGATGAAGGTAAGTTCCAATTGAGACAACTGCAAAAAATAAAATTAACGCACAATTATATATAACAAGTACATTTGTTGTAGATCTATCTAATTTCAACAAAATTTGTATATATGTTACACATTATTTAAATTATCGTAATATTATCTTGATATATTTCTTTATATACGGACAAGACAAATAGCAATTTGACGAATTTCAAGCTTTACTTTTGAGGAAGATTCTTTTTACATGATTGTAATTGTGGGAGATTGTGTCTGTGTGTGTGTGTGTGCGCGCCGGTTTACCTGTCCTATCGAGGTCAGTTTGTTAACTTGACTAATACAAAGTGAGGTTTCATCTACATTGTGTGGTAGACCTCGGGACTTTAACCTTTTCTCCTAGTGTCATTTAAGGGTTAGGATGATTTATTTTAACACATGTACAATGCCCTAAAACACCATGCCATAGAAACTTTGACTCCAAGATAAGAAACGTATAATAAAAAAGGTTTAAACATACAGCTGACGGCACTGATATTTTCCAGAATTTCCATCTACACATTCACACTTATACTTGCAGTTATCTTTCCATGTTTGACCTTGTTGGTAAATCTGGCCATTGTATACACATCCTGAAAGTTCACAAGTTTGACATTAAACATTTGGATATTATACTAGTACTTTGCTAAAAAGCCTTTCAATAAGATCAAAACGAACTTTTTATCATTGTTTTTTGTGTAAGATAAAAGTTATGCACTCATAGTCAGCAATTGCATCTTTTTGCCAATCTTCTAATAAGGATTCATGGTAGTCTGCGAAATGTTCCGTTATTTCGTGCAATTTTTTTGCATAATTCGTCATCCTTCGTAACAAGGATAAACGAAGCGCCCGGATGGCATAACAACTAGATAACACACTACTCACTACTGCTTCCATACAATAAAAACACATTTTTTCATTGAAGCTGAAATTAAAGATTGCTATAGCTGAATTAAAAGTCATTCGTATAGACTCAAAACAGTATCACAAGTTTGTTGCAGTAAACTATTTCAGTGCAGTTAACTATTGAGCGTGCTGTTCTTTTTTAAATGAATTAAAAATAATGCTTCGCGTTAACGAGTCAAAATTGACCTCTTTGTACCTTTTTACTCTATTTATTTACAGCAAATGACGTTATATTTACTTATCATTTTTCGGTAGGTCACAGACTATAGTTCAGTAACTGTGACGTTAAGATATGTAACTAATTATATTTGAGGAACGTCATGGCAAAACCAACGTAATGCGTTTGCGACCAGCATGGATCCAGACCAGCCTGCACATTCGCGCAGTCTGATCAGGATGCATGCTGTTCGCTATCAGTTTCTCTACTTGTAATAGGGTTTGTAAGCGAACAGCATGGGTCCTGATCAGACTGCGCGGATGCGAAGGCTGGTCTGGATCCATGCTGGTCGCAAACGCATTACGTTGGTTTTGTAGTGACGCTGCTCATTTAGAGCTGCTTGTAAATTCACCTGACGAGGTACCAGTTATCGAACCTCCTCCGGAACCACTCGGCATGGCACCACCTCCTGTAGATCCGCTTGCTATATAACAAAAACATGATCAATAATGACGTGGAAACTGTAATCTAATCATTCATCTGTGTATTTCAATATTATTTAGTGTTTGACTTAAAGTGACACAGATGCTATTAAGACTTTTTTGTGACTTTTGAACTCGTTTTGATCTAAGCTGATTGAAAGTTTAAATACAGTTTTGGGGTTCGTTCAGGTAATGATGGGTTATAACCACTGAGCTTCGGTAACTGCTTCCTAACCAATTATTACAGTATTATCAATATTTTTTTATACTTTCTTTGTTATACCAATGCTACTTCAGATATATAAAATTATTTAAACTTAAGCATAACTTGAACTTTTTTTAAATTTTGATAAATTACTCATTTAATTTAGGTCAATACGTTTACATGACCGCCTTCCTTAATTGTTTAATTACTCTAACTATACTGTCTTATTTAGAGATAAAAATGTATGAACTGGTTAAAATGCACGTGGTACTTATCAATCATTTCGAATGAGGAAGGAATGAGTTTAAACGTAGAAACCTTACAGCACAAATTACATGTCCGTGCGCAGTTATCTTTCGCCCATTGTGCGTAATTTTGACAAGCCGAGGGGTCGTACTGGTTACAGTTGGATAATTTATCGGAACATCCTCCTGAAAATAATATTACAACAATTTTCATGTGTGTTATAATTTATACAAACACAATATGTATGTTAAGATATTTAAGTTAAGATATTCAATACCGCACCAAGCTTTACACAACCGGAAACAGTACTTACTGATTCTCATGGACATTGAAATATCACGCAAAACCGGTTATATAGGATATGCTTGCAATGTTGTTGGGTAAAACTGATGGCTGCTAAAAGTACAGTTCCGTTTGAGGCCTGCCTCAGTGAGAGTAGGTGTTAATAAACTATATTACACTATTTAAATGGCCAAAAAAACTTGCTATATAGTATCTACTTCCCTGCAATCATATCGTTTTAGTTTACCTGAAGAATGGATGGGTTCTGGCTGTGGTGGTGTCAAACTTCCGCCTCCACTTGCTGTGAATAATGTTAAAAACAATACATACCAATATAAAACTCGCATAAGTTTGCGATAATTTTACATTCTAACGTCTAAAAATGTTTGAAAAGGTTTACAAACGTTTACATACAGCTAATTTCAACCTTACAGGCGTTAGATTATATTTAAATCCAATACATGTATATTTGTTTTTCTTATTAAAATGGTTGTGTTAAAAAACTTTTGCCTCAAATCAAATATCTTTTTGCCCATTAATATACCAAATAAATATATATCATAAAAAATACAGGATATTTATATTTCTTCTATAAATCCATGATTTATTTTCATCGAGTGACGTAAGTATTTTTTCATGAGTTGTGGTAGCCACGAATGAAAAATGATAATTTTCGTGCCACAAGGTGAAAATTAATTCTGTATTTATAGTAAAGAACTTTCTGTTTATTATATACATTTTTCTCTCCTTTTTGACATTGCATTTTGAAAGACTTTCCCCTAAAGTTTGCGTTTCGGCTTAATTTAGAAGAAGTCTCGCAATATACCAGTGAAAATATGAAAACTACTTTTCATTGCAGTGAAAAATAATTTTTACAGTAAAGATACGGAAAATGAAATTACGCATTTTATTTCAATAATATTTCTCAATATTTCATTTATAAATAAATTTGTAACTTTCTTCAGATGTGACATGGAATTTTTCTTTGTGTGTGGAGTGTACAAACAACAACTACAACAAAACAATAGAAACATACAGCATAAATTGCAGAACGACTTGCAGTTGTCTTTTACCCACTGGGTATACATCGAATTTGAACAGACAGCGGCACCGTACGCCTCACAGTTGCCTAACTTATCCGAACAGCCTGAAACAGACGAAAAAAGTAGTTTACTTATTTGTCTTCACAAAACAAAATCATGTACATGTACATGGTAGCTTATTTCAGCTCATTAATATTAAATTTCACAGACATAAACTTTTGATTGCATATCCAGTCTTTTCAGAGTGTATTTTTTTATTGAATAAGGCCTGCTTTGCATTTGTAACAGTCTATTCCAGATTAAAGGGGGTTCAATATACAAAATACAAAAACTGAGTATAGAGCCTGGTCGGACTATGTGCAGGCTGAACTGGCTTTATACTGGTGGCAAAGACTAATAAATTTCTGTTCATTTGCAGGTAAAACCCCTTTAAACTAGTGTAGATCCTTTTGGAGAAAAAACATAATTTACGCATGATACTTCTTAAAATTTGCCACCTTTTATATTTATAAAAAAAAACTAAATATATATACTTACCCGAATCGCCGCCTCCATTGTCAGTTGCAAATGAGAGAATAAACCGTTTGGCTTTTCCCGTTAAATCGTCGCCTTTCGCGAAACATGACACTAGTGCGAAACACATAAAGAAAAGCGTACACAGTTTCATGATGATCCTTGTCCAGGTGAAAGTGTAACCTAAGTGAACGAATGATTAAGTTGTAGATAGGTTAGCAGTTTGACCTGGACAGACAGCTGTTAGGGGACACCGATAACAATAACAGTGTCCAAATATGGGCACATTAAAATGATTTAGGACGGTAAAGATCATGAACGAATTGATCGCTTGATTTGTGTGTGTTTCCATTGCAAACCTGACTCCCAAAAGGTCATACTGCACATATATTTTGTTCTGGAACATTTTATTTTGTTTATATATGATATACTGGAGTGTTGATAACCAGAGATATAACCAGAGATTTTTTTGTTGAAACTTCTTCAAAAATCTACCCACAGATTATTGAAACAAACATAATGTTACTGATAAATCTTTCATTAGATGTAGCTTTATACCCTTTAAAAGGCAGTGATTCAAGTTTGTTCCTTTGTAAAAGAGCCAGCTTGCTGTTTCTTTTTAAGTTATAAAGAACAGTATTTACATTCATATGGACATCAGAACTAACATCGCGTCGCAAAAGACAAAGGAAAAAATAATATACTCGTATATATATATTAAAAAATAAATAAATAGATAGATAATTAAAAGAACCAAACCACCAGAAAAGCATATGTCAAATTTTAATGTTTAAATGGTTTCAAAGTTTCAATTGGGGGAGATTCTTTCACCAATTTTCATTGGTGATTAAATCATTGCTGGCACGTGATATGAGCTAAGAAAGACATGAATTTAAACCGTTTTTCATTCGATTAATAATTAAAAGCATGAAAATTGAAGGTTCCTGTTTGATTTAATGCCGACTTGAGCATTGCTTCGATTTTTTTTTGCCAGCAAACACGCGTTAAAGACATATATTCACGTGCTTTCGTCCTTTAATGCCAATTTTATTCCGTCTTGTTTCAACTTAAATGAACAACGTGAAAAAAAAATTGAAAATTTTTGGATAATCGATTTGGTTACACGAAATAGGTCAACAAGTAAGTAACCTTAAATCTTCGTATAACTACACATAACACATAGAAACTGAAATCCGAAGTGCGTGACCTTTCAACTTTTCAACATAAATATTTAGTGTAAATAAGTACAAATATCAACTCACTCAGTACAGTTATTGTTTTTACAGAAAATAAAAAATCACTTTTACTTTTGTGATGAATTACACAAAATTTAATGAAACGGTGATACTGTAAGAAATAAAATGAAACGCGTGTTAACAAAGACAACTAACCAAATATTTTTTTTACGAAGATTCATTTCAATTTATTAAACTTAAGACATTTATGATTTACGTCATTTTACAGTCGTCTGCTTTATCTGCTATTGTTGACACATAAAACGTTATCAGTATTTAGTAAGGCAAACTTCTGGACTATATTGAACTTCTATTAGAACTATTTCCTAAGCAACATCATCAAAACCTCTTCACTGGGAAGCCAAGGCAGCTCCGTCAAAGGTGTAGAACGGTATTCATTTAAAAAAGAAATGCAAAAGTATGCAAAAATGTATTTATATATTTGACAGAGAATTATTTTATGTACTTTTTGGGTAACAGAATTCAGAACTTGTGGATGGCAGTTGTGAATGGAAGTTTCATTGACTCTACTAGCGCCGGCATAAGTAGAATTGCGGACTTAAATTACAAGGATCGGAAACTCCCAGTTAACCATATATAAATAAACGATTAAATATCTTGTCGCGCACCTGAAAAAGTCATGGTAGAATGAAACAAGTATAAGCAGAAATAGTATAATTCAGAATTTAGAAACATCTGCAAATATGTTCATATACGGCGGCGATAATAAGACATTTAAAGGCCCATTTTGCCACAGAAATGCTTTCATTTTTATTCCTGAAAAATTTCTTGTTTTAGGGGCATGTTGTAGTTTCCAAAAGGTTACTCATTGGCCAATCACTTGAATGATATTGCGCGTCTGTTGATTTATGGAAATAAGTTTATTCATAGACATATACATGTAGTATTTTTGTATAAATTACTACTTAGTAATACTGTTAACATTTTGCTACTTTCATGACAAATAATTTCATATTCAGCACTACTTTCTTCATGTAATAAGTATCTGACATGCTCTATAAATATTATTTAAACGTTTTAATGCTCACGTTTGCCCTTTCTTGCAATTTTATATTTGAGCCGCGTCACGACAAAACCAACATAATGGGTTTGCGACCAGCATGGATCCAGACTAGCCTACGCATGCTGTTCGCTATCAGTTTCTCTACTGCAATAGGGTTTGTAAGCGAACAGCATGGATCCTGTTCAGACTGTGCGGATGCGCAGGCTGGTCTGGATCCATGCTGGTCGCAAACCCATTATGTTGGTTTTGTCATGACGCGGCTTTAGATGATCCTTATGGCAATAACACCGGCGATTATAGCCTCTGGCTACACAGTCAAGTTAACACAGCCAACGGTGATAGGTCTTTTAGAGAGTTCTCATGACAATAAGCTGGTCGTCATAGCTTCAGGGAACAAAGTCAAGGTGACACAACCAACGGTGATATACCTTTTTGGGGATCCTTATGGCAAAAACACCGGCGGTCATAGCCTCAGGGAACACAGTAAAGCTAACATAACCCACGGTGATAGGCCTTTTATAGGATACCCATGGCAATAAAACCGGCCGTCATAGTTTCAAGGAACAAAGTCTAGCTTATACAACCCACAGTGATTTTAAAGAGTTCTAATTGCAAACAAACCAGACGTCATATCCTCAGAACACAAGCCGGCGATGATAGGCCTTTAAGAGGGTTCTCATGGCAAATACCCACGGCGGTCATCCGGAACACAGTCAATATGACACAAGCCACGGTGATAGAACTTTTAAATGGTCTTTATGGCAATAACACCGGCGGCCATAGCCTCTGGCAACACAGTCAAGTTGACACAACCAACGGTGATAGGTCTTTTAAAGAGTTCTCATGGCAATAAGCCGGCCGTAATAGCTTCAGGGAACAAAGTCAAGGTGACACAACCAACGGTAATATGCCTTTTTGGCCATAGCACCGGCGGTTATATCCTCAGAGAACACAGTCAAGCTGACACAAGCCACGGTGTGATAGGCCTTTTAGGGGGTCCTTATGGAAATAACACTGGCGGTCGGAGCCGCAAGGAACATATTCAAGTTGAAACAAACAACGGTAATATGCTTTTTTTAGGAGTCCTTATGGCCATTACACCGGCGGTCACAGCGTCAGGAAACACAGTCAAGCTGACACTACCCAAGGTGAAATGTCTTTTTTAGGGTCCTTATGGCAATCGAACCGGCTGTCATAGCCCCCGGGAACACAGTCAAACTGACACAACCCACGATGATAGGATGATAGGCTTTTTAGAGGGTTCTTGTCGCAATAAAACCGGCGGTGATAGCCTCAGAAGACAGAATAAAGCTGACATAACCGCGGTGATAGTCTTTTTAGAGTGTTCCTGTCGTAATAAAACCAATGTTGATAGCTTTTGGCCTTATATTATGTAAGGAAGACCCTCCAAAGCTGTACAAAATTGAATCTGGAAAGAAATCACTCAACTTGTCTTTAAACAATTGGCTCGACAAAATGATACTTTTTTGAAAATTTATACAATTTTGTATACAGAAAGATCAAATCGTCAGTCAGAAAACGACCATGCCATGCGAAATCTCGTAGACATATTTCTTGGGTTAGGACTTTTGGCTTAATAATGTGCACAGAAAACCCTCCAAACTTGTACAAAATCGAATCCGCATTGGAATCAGACCAATGGTGTTTAAACGGTTGGCTCAGGAAAATGGTGTTTTTTTATACAATGTATATAGAGAAAGAACAAATTGCCGAAACCAAAAACGACCATGCCAAGCGGAAGTCTATAGAACATTATTCTTGTGTTAGGGCTTTGGGCTTTATACTGTCCACAGAAGACCCTCAAAATATGTACACAATCGAATCCGCATTGAAATAAGATCAATGGTGTTTGAACGGTTGGCTCAGGAAAATGGTGTATTTTATACAATTTTTAAAAGAGAAAGAACAAATCGCCGAAACCAAGAACGATCATGCCACGCGGAAGTCTCTAAGACATATTTCTTGTGTTAGGGCTTTGGGCTTTATACTGTGCACAGATGACCCTTAAAAATGTCGATCTTGCAGGAATTTATCTCAAGTACAGGAAGCCATTAAAAAATGAACGCTTCGTACTTAAAAAAAATCTAGTAGATTGTATTAGTTAGAGGTTCTTCTTTATTGCTAATTAAGGCTTAAAGGCACAAATATTTAATTCAATGAAAATAACAGCAACTATTCCACGTTCAAAGGTCACTATTCGAACCTCCGATTTGTTAGGCTTAAAGCCCTAACCAAAGGATCATGTCCAGGAGTTTTCGCATGGCCAGGTCATTTTCCGGTGATTTGCTTTTTCTGTATATAAAGTATATAAATTTTCGAGAAAAAAAATCATTATTTCGAGCAAACCGTTCATACAGTGGTCTTCTGACTTCATAAAAATGTAAATCAGTGCTGGTGTGTGTGACAAAAACGCGCTTGAGAGAACTCAAACTTGCAGGAATTTATCTCAAGTACAGTTAGCTGTTTAAAAAGAAAGATACGTAGATCTACTTAAAAAAAACAACAAAAAAAACAAAAAACAAACAACATAAAAAACAATCTAGTAGATTGTATTAGTTAGAGGATCTTTTTCATTGCTAATTAAGCCTTAAAGGCACAAAGATTTACTTCAAGGAAAATAACAGCAACTTTTCCACGTTCAAAAGTTGCTATTCGGACCTCCGATTTGTTCTTTATTGATATAAAGTCTTAAGAAATTTCGTAAAAAACCCATCATTTTCTCCTGTCAACTGTTGAAAATCCATCCAACAAATATCGTTGCAAATTCGATTTTGTACAACTTTGGAGGGTCTTTATTGAAGATTATAAGGCTTAAAGCCCTAACCCAAGTAATATGTCCGGGAGATTTCCGCGTGGCTTGGTCATGTTTTGCACCGGCGTTTTGTTCTTTCTCTATATAAATTGCGGGAAAAAACATCAAATTTACG